TAGGGACTCTACAAGTAGGGTAAAAAAAAAACACTTTAAATCTATATGTCTAATGTAGACTTCTAGCTCTACACTACTAGCTTAATAGTCTTGCCTACGCTAGGTGTGCCGCTAGAGTCGATCGCAAACAACAACCAAAACCCTGGTAATGCTACCCCCGGATCGCTTGGAACAGTCACAGTATAACTAGTGCCACTTCCCGTAGATGTTAATGGGATCCTTCTCTGATCTGTGTTGACTGTGTGAGTTGCTGTGCCGAACCTGACCAGCGAGAACCTCGTCACAACTCCCGTCGTTGTGATGCTTAAGGTTGCACCTATTCTAACGCTAGACGCTACGGTACTTATGACAGGGCGAACACGTCTTGTTCCATCAGTGTTCAGAAGGTAAGGTGGTAAGAAGATTTCGGCGTCGAAGTGGTTACTTTCTGGTACCCCACCGTACTGTGTGCATGGACCACACAAACCACCACCGCCGGTGAAAATCGTTGCATCTGGAAGAAGAATCGCAACCGAGTGGTATGTTCGCGGAATCTGCATGGGGTTGAGCTGTGTCCATCTCCCAGTTGCGGGATCCCAGAGTTCAGGCGTAAGCTGCGCCGTATCGTCCCTAAACGGTTGGAGTCGCGATTGTCCGCCCGTAACAAAAACGGTGCCATCGGGCAATACCACACTATTGGCGAAACCACGCGCATACATCATAGGCTGTGTCTTCGTAACAGTCGGATTTGTCTTGGGTGTACTAATGGTGACAACATACGCATTCGTTCGTCCGTCACTAAGCGGGGTCGCCGTTAGCATGCACATGGCCCACGGTCTTCAGCATTGATTTCCATACCTGTTCTCATAGTCTGCAGCCCCTCCTGCCGTGAGTATCTTTCCGGCTGTGGCGTCAAACATAACAGCGTTCCCATTCATAGCGTGCCCATCGTCCAAACGGTTTCCAGCACCTGTGGTGCTACCAGCTCCAACAGTGTCGTACCAGTTCATTGCGATAGAAGGCCCAGCTTGAAAGACTGATTGGTTTTTCCAGCTAGATTTTGTCATTTTGACGAACGATACCAAGCATGCGCACCACTTACCCGAAAAGCCAGGCATGATTGTCTGAACGCCATACGCCACCACGATCGGCCGTAAGCATGGGACTGACAAGAGCGTTCTGCAACAGGGTCCATGCATTCGAAGTGGGGTTGTATATTTCTCCATTCTTGCCACCAGTTCCTCCGCTCCAAGAGCCGCCAATGTTGAAAATGCGTCCATCCGAGCACGTAGTAGTGGATTGATATCCCCTAGCTATACGCATGTTACTTCCTGGATTCCATGCTCCTTCTAATGGGTCATAGACACTGGTCTTCGCCGCGTCGCTGCCACCCGTGACAATGACCCGACCGTTGAAGTCCATTGAGATGCCGGGGCAAAACATGTCGTGTTGTGTGTTCGATACTTCCAATTGCGTGGACTCGCCTGTAGCAGGATCGTAGATTCCCGTTTGAGTGAAACCTCTTTGGCCACCGAAGTTGTCTTTCGCGAACGCCGACCACATCAGCACTTTCCCGTTTGGAAGCAATGCCGCAGCTGCCGGTATGAGCGGAAAATTCACGGTCTTTTCCCACAAGCCCTTGCCTGCTGCTGGTGGGGCGTATGTTGTGTCTTCAAAGATGTTGATTTCAGCGATGGCCGTCCACTGATTGACGTTGTTCTGCGCTTCGGATGTTGCAGTAATTCTTATATACCGCGCTGGTCTTGGGACAAAGAAGGTTTTCTTCGTGGATGCATCGTTGTTGTATGTACCAACAGCGGCGATCTGCCAGCTTGTGTTGTCGGAACTGACTTCAATCTTGTGACCTCCAATTCTGCCGTTCGCGTTGTCACTCGGACGCGGTTGCAGGCTGACTGCGTTCACATTATATGACGATTTCATGTCGACAATTATCCAGTTAGGCAGAGGGTCAACAGGGGCGGGCTCATACTTGGAGTGCCAGAAGCTTGTTCCATTCCCATCGAGCGCTCGATAAGGCTCATTACCAGCCTGGAAACTGTCCGACGTGGCGGTCCATCCGGAGCGGCTGATAGCAATAGAGGCAGAATCGACAAGACCAACGAAGATTGCGGATGCGATGAGAATCGCTGATATAGAGAACGTGAATCCCATATTGAACCAGCGTAGACGAGTTTAGCTTATCTGATGCTGATGTGAGTCTTGTGATGGGAAGGCCTCTCAACTTATAGCTCTCGACGAAGTCCCAAGCGCTGGTCAGCTTACGCGACGCCCTAAGCCCATCAGCATCGCGTGTTTCGCATTGGTTCTTCACCCGGCTTTGCAAGCACGGTGTGACACACATCCAACGACAACAAATCCAGTGGTTCCAGTGCAAAGCCTGTCCATAACACACTCATGTCTAAACATAGACATATGGTAGCCATCGCCAAGTTACGACGGCACCGAACTAGGGCAATGGTGGAATATGAAATATTTGTTCTCGTAAAGAACGCCATGTGGCGATGAGAGTCTCGCAGCCTACCTTAGCGATAGGTATAGCACTGCTTGCTCCAGGTTGGTTGTATACTCTGGCTGTGGGATATATTAGCGTGCATACTAGCTGCATAACGAGAGCCTGGCAGCACGCGCTCCAAGACCGGACCGGGTATTCGGACTCCGCTGTTACTATGGGACGCAACTGGTTAATCTAAACTACTATAGTCCTCAGCAGGCGTAGTGTCCAATATTGGATGCATGCAGAACTATCTCGGCTATGTATAGAGGGTGGGTCGAAGTTCGGTTCGTATCGCTGACCGGGAACCTGCATGAACGCCGCCAACTCTCCAATGAGCTTCTAGACCCACGAATCCGTACGCTAGTCATGCGTGATAACATATCACGGCCATGTCTTCAACCACTAAGATTCTGTCCCGTCTAGTCCACAGTTTCAATAGATTCTGGGATATGGTCCGCCAAATGGGTGAGATCTGGCATATCGTCGTCACCCTCAGGCTTATCGCTATCGGTGTCATTGTTCCACTCCTCCTCCTCCTCTTCATCCTGGTCTTCTTCACTAGCGGCTGTGTCTAGGCTTCCTTTATACCATGACTCTGCCAAGTTAGATCTATGCTCTTGAATCTGACAGTACGTATACGAATCAATTCCAAGGTCCGTTGCTAGCTCCCACCAGATCTTGTCAACTTCGCTGGAGAAATACGAGGCTGGTGCACCAACTTCGTCTCGACAAGTCAAGGTGATCTCTTTGAGAACCGGAGGCGGCTTGGCGTCGTCAGTATCCGCCGACACGAAGCCTGCCACCCAATTCTCAACTTCTTCGCTAGGATAATAGATCTCTAGTGTCTCTAGCTTGGGTGGCAAATCCTTTGGTCGGCAGGATTTGCTCTCCCAAGGCATGGATCCGACAGCAAAGAGGAATGCTTGCGGAAGGACGAGATGTCTCAAGACGTCGAAGTGCTTAAGTGAATCCTTCGGACTTGTTATCATATCGAGCAGCCACTCGAGCTCTGAGTCATCATCGGTTATTTCAAGCGTGATAGCAAGCGTCTCTAAGGTGCTTTTCATGCTATTCAATTGATCCATGAAGTAGCCTCCTTCAAGCTGCGTATTCAAGTCATCACCAATGTGGTAGCCGTCATTGATACTGCAAGAGTGAGAGCTTAGCATGTTTACCGCAAAAGGCAAATGTGTGGTCTTACAGTAGTATCTTGAGGCTTCGAAGCTGAACGCAACCGAGTGCGTCGAAAAGATCACCAAGTTGTATTTCGGCCTTTTCGATGAGGAGACGATCAGCAAAATGTACCGATACAGTCAAAGCTAGGTCCTCAAGGTTCTCGGCACCCTCCAGACATCCAGGTCCGTTGAGACGCAGAATGGTGCCAATGGAAATCGTTTTCAGGTCCAAGCTTGTCAGGCTAGCAAAATTGATCCCGGACTTGAACAGATGTGTATCACTAGTAGTGAGATGACGAAGAGTACCCCATCCGTTGACGATGCTGTCAGGGGCGGACATGCCCCCAAAAAGCCCCGATATGCACTCGCTTGATGGCGGACCTCGATGATGATCCTTGACCCAGAACTCGAGGTGTGTGAGGTTTGGAAGGAGTAAAAGTAAAATCCCAGCAAACCCTGACTCAATCGAGTTTTGAATCGTTTTATGCCAGGGATGCTTCTTGTAGCCTAGTTCTTCCAGCCTTGCTAAACTTCGCGTGCGCAACGGCGCAAGGCTAAATCCTTGCTCTTCACAGATCTTTGCGACACTCTTGCGTACAGTTCTGATGCGTAAGCTTTTCACTTGGGTTGCAAGATCAGGGCGATCGAAGAGCGTACGAAGGAGCCTCAGAAGAGGGTTTATCTTGGAGTGACAGCCACAGGAGATCGATAGCTTCGCTACAGTATGCAGAACCTCCTGCCCAGCCGCACGGAACTTGCGAGACGTGAGACATAGACTTTTGAGAGACCTGGGTGCGGCCGAGTCGGGAAGATGAGTCGCGATCTGCAGTAGCAGCTCCTCCGGTAGCTTATGGATCGGTGCGTCGAATGGAAGCGCCATTATGGGACCAGAAGAGCACTTGGAGTACTGCGTGAGATGAACGCGAGGCCGGTTGTGGTGAGTACTTTGTTCCAACCTGTTGCGCAGATATTTCGGAAAGTCGTATGTAACAAAACGCGCTTCTTGTGAGTTGCAGGGCAGAGGCAAACACTGTTGTATACTCTGTCAGCTAGGGAAATTGGCTCCGCAACTAACTCGAGCGCAAATTTCACCGAAAGAAGTCGGAACTGCTAAGCTTTTATGAGTTGGGCTACTAAATGTGGCGCTGGTGTCTTAGACTGGTGATGAACGGCTGACATGATGCTTGCGAATGAGGACGAGAGTGGTGGCGGGGATAATCTCACATGATGACGTAATCACATGCTCATCCATGGAAGGGGTGCAGACACAGGCTACAAACTTGACAACTCTCAGTGTTTCTCTGGTAGGTACGACCAGTCGCCTTCTCCTATGGGTAGAACGCAATTACACGTCCCTTGCTCGCGCTTTCCCCTCCCTCAGTTGCATCTTGAGCAGGAACAACAAACTTGTCACCACACCCATGCCGCTCAGTCCGACACTAACGTACATGGCACCTCGATAGCCGCTCAGTTTGTCTGAGACCGTCGCTCCGCCATTGTTGACATGCACCTCCACTGTGCCCGCAATGCCAACCCCGATACTGATACTGTAGTTCACGATGGTGTTGACTAAGCTCGCCGCCATACCTTGGTGTTTCTTAGCAACAGCGTTACTCATAATCAGTGTGCCAGCAGGAAAGCTCATGTCCATGCCCCATGGAATGATAAGCGTGGTGACGAATGTCTGCGCCCAATACACTTGGCCGATTGGCAGTGTAGCGACGAGGATACTACCTGTCAAGAAAGCAAGCATACTGATGAGCATAACCCATCCTGGACCGATACGTGAGATGACATGGCCGGTGGTAACGGCGGCGATGAAGCCTGAAATTGCGACAGGACAGAGATGAGCCATCGTCAGGAGAGGAGAGTCGCCTCGCAGCTGTTGGAGAAATTGGATGAAGTAATAGACCCAGATACCTGCATTCGCTGTCAATAAGATTTTCCCCTACACGTACTTTGGTAAGGTCGTTACTTACCGAATGCAGCCCAGCCGCATGCTATGCAGGTCAACACGAATGAGACATCCGTGCTAAGAACGTCGAACGGGATGAGGGGCTTCTTGGCAACTTTGATCTCTATCCAAAAGAAGACCGGAAACAAAAGAATGCCGATTATTAGCAACACGTAGATGTACGGGTGCTCCCATCCAAAGCCTGGTGCTTGGTTCCAGGCAAAGTTGAATAATATCATGGCGGTGATACCCACGCTTGCGCCGAGGAGGTCAAGCTCGCGAATTCGCTCTCTATGGGAGAGACTGCGAACATCCGCATCAAGAGGCACCGAGGGAAGAATGAAGATTGACAAAGAGGCAAGGCAGAAGAGCGCAATGCCAAACGTCCAAAAGGTCCACGGCCACCACAAAAGCGACCATAACCCAGCGAATGTCCCGCCGACTACAGCACCACCTACAAAACGTTAGAAAGCATACCAAGGAATCGATCAAAGAATACTTGCCGGGTGCGCATGCTCCAAACAGCGAGAAAACCATATCCTTCCTCCTTCCCTCATTGTATGTTGCGCCTAAGAGGCCGAGTGCATTAGGCAGCAATATTGCTGGCCCGATGCCACCCAACACACGTGAGAAGATGAACAGCACTTGGCCGCCATTCCCGTCAACGTACACACTGCATCCAGCCACTATGTTCCAGATAGCGAACCAAACAAAGCCCACGATCAGCATGTTCTTGTATCCGAACAGATCTCCACATCGACCGGACAAAAGGATGAAAGTGCCAACCGTTAGTGAATAGCCTGCTATCAGCCAGGACAAGATGCCAGGGTCGGTGATGCCAAGATCAGGTCCGATGATGTGCAGGATATTCAAGGTACCGAGGAGACCTGCTTGAGTGACGAATTGAGCAGAACAAAGCAGGCCGACGAAGAGAATCTCGCGCATTGGAGACATGGTCTCTGCAATAGACTTGGTTTTCGCTAATTCCAGGTCCTGGTGCTGCTTAGAAGCGTGCGCAGAGGCGTGAGAGCTGTGGCGATCCATGTCTTCGTGGGAATCACTGTAGTCGAGGTCGCTATCTGGAGGAGAAGAAAGTTTCTCGACCGTTGGGTCGGGTGATAATCTGGTCTCGTCCATTCTTAGACGCTTCGAGGACACGACAAAGCAAGGATTTCGTCGGATGTGATCTTGCAAATGTCTTTGAGTCGTAAGGGACGGCTCGGAGGTATTAAGTCGTGTCCTTGGAAGCTGAGCGATGATGAAAGACTTTCAATTTTCGCGCCTGAGTTGTTTTGGCTGCACGTTCCGAGATGGAACCGCGATGGCGACAGTGCTGATCGACTACCGACGTGTTTGGACGCGGGTGCAGAAAATGTCCGTGTGAAAATCAATATCGTTTTCCAAAGAAGAGGGAGATCTGCCTACAAGATACATAGCGACGCGCTTTACGAGCTAGCTTGTCGCCTAACGTACTCGACATTTGCATGCTGATAGTTCAGGTTGTAAAGCTTTACGTGAGCGCGGAATTGCGTCGTTAGAGCGAAGAAAAGCGGGTCTGCCGAACCTCGGCCGCTGTCAAAGGCACCATCTCATGATATTAAGGTGCGCAAAAACGGTTTCTTCGGGCAAAAGAAAAGCGGGTTTCGGTTTCGCATGCAAGAGTCTAGATCCGCCAACAAAGCTTTCGCAGTTTGCGATGCTATGTAAGCCTTGACATAAGCGTTCGCCGTGAACATGCGAAAACCGTCACACCAAGTTGTCGCGAAAACCCCCCACACCCAGCGCCCCAAGGGTAATCCTCTCGCTGTATCTGCCACGGTGACCAGAGCAAGTTCCCCAACTACTGTTGTTTCCTGTCCTCGTAAACCCGCACTCCCAAGAGTTTCCATACAGCCCAGCTGTGACCACCCACCCAAATTGGCCCGCCTCGCCAAAGCGGCAATACGTCATCCGTTCCACGCCTCCTCTGAGCGACAGGCTTCTCCCACTCTCCGTGCTGGAACCGTGCGACATCGTCGCTGCTTACAGCATGTGTTCTCGCATTTGCAGCCATCGTCCAGAACCCTATCACATGGCCCTGGTCGATCTTGTGTTTTAGCCAGCCTTTGCCCTCATTCTCTTCCGGGCTACTATCAAGAAGTGATAAAAGCTCGGTGCAGGTATATTCGGCTTTGCCTTTTGGTAACGTTGCAGAGCTCAATTGAGTGCGGTGAGCTGAAGTTGGAATATTGTCCACGACGATGGGAGACCAGAGGAAAGGAACTGGCGCATACATAAGCCTTAGTGACAGGCTCAGCAAGACTGCGACAGGAAAATCAAGACCGATCGATACGCCTGCACGGAGAGCTGATCCGAAAGTGAGCCTTGGTGGAGATGTAGGCGTCGAGAAGTAGATCAAGTGTCTTTGAAACGCGGTATAGGTAGAGCGAGACATGGTTGCCAATTCTCTTTCTTTTTATGGGGAGTACGCAACGAGTTGAAGACGTTGAGCGGACACGTCCATTCTCTGAAAAAGCATTCATGGTGTAATATTGGACAGTCATGACGTCACGCGAAGCTACTGCATCAGAAGACAACACGATACATGAAAGAGGTAGGTTCTCAGCTAGCTCGGTTCAAGTCGTTGTTTCATCAACGTCTAGGACAATTGCGAAAGAACTTATAGCTGCGGAACCTATTTGTGAAGCGACAAGATGAGGATTCTGTTCACTGCTTAGGCATCCGTTCGCCGAATACACATTGCAAGCCTTCGACATCAATCTTACTCGCGCACGCAGGGTATGAGTCCCCTTTCGCGTTTTCTATAGCATTATCAAGCCTCCTACAGCTGCGGCAATGATCGTACTACCCAAAAAACTCGTGGAAAGACCTCCAGACGCAGCTGCGGTATAAGTAGGCATAGGGAAGCCAGTTGCCGAGGGTGCAGTCCCATTACCGGAGGTTCCGTTGCCTACTAGGTCTGGGAACAGGTAGCTGGTGTTGGCGTCTACAACAATCCAGTTCCGCACCAAAGCCGTTCCGTTCATGACTGACTCCCACTGCTCCGCTGTGCATTGTCCGGGATCAAGAACGTAACACTGCGTGCCTTCGTCGACGATTGGTTCATTGGTTATGTTGTACACGTCGCTTGGCCCTTCGGTTGCGTAGTCAGGATTTTCGGTTGTGGAAACATTTCCGGTGCTGATGTCGCGGTTGAAGAGTGCACGTGTAAAGATCCTGTACGCAGTCTCGGGTTGGTAGGCTGGTACCTCGTGGCCAGCTTCGTACACGCGTGTGAAGGACAGATTTCCGTACTGACGCACTTGACCTCCAATATAGGTGTCGTTGACAATGACAGGCGCATACCCTGCATCCGCAAACGAGGTGGCGTTGTCGTAAGGGATGGCGAGGGAGAGCAGTTCACCGCCATACCCTGTGTTCATTATGCAAACTCAGTACGTGTCTCACATCAAAGTCTTACTGGGTGCTACTCACAGTTGCAGGCGTAGTCTCGGTCGCCGTACACCAGCGTTACCTTGATGCCTTCTTCGAGAAGGTATGCCAAGTCTTCCTTCCAGCCTGGACGTGGGTAGTCGCCAATGCCGCGGAATGCCCGCGATACCGCAGAGTTTGACTGAGTCCAGTTCAAGGGCACGCCTAGCCCCTGCTGCACATGAGGCTGATTGAGCCAGCCCTGATACCATGGAGGTGGGAATGTTGCCGCGCCAGGAGCAGAGATGTCGTAGTAATTGAGGTCGGTGTCGAAGTACGGATCGCGAATCGTCTCGGAACAGAATGTCTCTGCAGCCTCGCATACTTCGTTGACGGTCTCGTTGAACCCTTGGTTGGTGGGGTCGTAGGCAACACTAAGGTTGCGACACTCTTCAATTTGGTCAAGACATCCTCCTTCACGGTACAGATTGTCAAGCACTTCTTCGTAACGCGACTCATTGACGGCCTTTATACCGTATGTGTTGTTGTACTGCATGGTCGGGTAAGCTGGCCACTGCACGTAGCGATCAATGCAGCCGTTGATGATAAGTAGAGTATCGAGATGGAGAAGATGAGTCTGACCAGCTTCGCTCCACGTTCCATTCTCTATTTTCTCGTTCTGCTCCTGGAAATAGGCCGCAAAAGCAGGTCCGTATCGACCTCCGTACGACTCAGTTGCGATCGAGATTCTGTCATCATTCGGCTTGTGTTCAGGAAATTCTTGAAACCAGACTTGGGCGAAGTTCCAGAGAGCTCGTGCAGAGTTCTCCGTGCCACGGGTGGTGAGATTGTAGTTCTCACTGGGATAGGTGCCAACGTAGAAGCTGTTGTTTTGTGAGGGGATAGGACCGTTCTCAAAATCTACCACTTCGAGATCGCCGGTGTCTAGATTAGTGGTGATATTCACCAAACTGTCGTAGCTCATGCCTACTTGGACGGGTTGATCGAGGTAAAGCATGTTAACTGTACTCTTCAGCTTTTGTTCTTTACAGATCAGATCTTGTAATCTGGCTGATCTTACCCTCATTATTCCAAGACCACTCGTTGAGGTAAGTACTATTAGAGTCGGCGCCAATAAAGCAAGGTCCGTTTTCACGCAACAGTCCGACGAAAGAACTGGAGCCCGGTCCACCTCGAAGCTGTTAGCGAATACTGTAAGAATCCCTTGTAGGCCACCTACCGTTCATCCAAATGGAAAGAGGCGCATTGGCAGGGTCTTTCCTGGATTCGAAAAACCAAAAATAGGTATTGATCTCATATGTCTGGTTCTCAACACCTAGATCGGCCAGTGCTCCAGCCGGGCTGCAAGTTGGTGTACGAGATCAGTATATATCTCATATGCAGTCCGTGCAAAGACACTTACAGATGGACATAACCGGAGAAGCTTCGGACGCCGTCAGTGGTTTCGCAAAGTTCGGTCTGGGGACAATCAGTGAACAATGGAAGTAATCTACAAGGATTTGACCTGCCTCCTTGTACGAGATTCTGACTCCTTCATCAAGCTGCGATTCCAGAATGGTCAATCCTTCTGGCTTTGGAGGGAATTGGGCGTTGACAACCCCGCTCAAAAGGCCGATTGCGCCGAGCAACGGGAGTCCAAATGCGCCCATTATGATTATAGTCAAAGTGCAGAGAGGTTTTCCTCCCCACTTCCTGGTACGTATAGTTTTTGGAGGGTACGTAGCCCAACTTTATACTAGGTCGCACCACTCTGCGTACTTGATTCCAGCTGCATATCAACTGGGTACCAGCTTGCATGAGCTTACATATCAGGTATTGAGCTTCCTGGTTGAGCTATAGCGCGTGTATTGTTGCAGCAGCGCGGGATTGAGGCAGCCCATTCATGACGTCGAATTACCTTTAGCGAAGTGAGATGGGCGGGGAAGAATGCGTAGCCAAGACTGCCAAGGAGGCTTTTCGTCACTTGTTTATTCGGCATCGTCTTGGTTGATGGGTTACCGGCTGAGTGGGGTAATGGGATCGTTGCTAGGATGCGCATAAGGAAGGTGGTGAGGCTTGCGGCGATAAGATAGCCAAAGTTTCGAGCAAGGAGAGCAAGACGGGAAGCGTCATTGGATTCGTTTGCAAAGTTACACGGCTCAAATCTATCACACCATTTGTATGCAGCAACTAACATCAAGGCCAAGATCCAGTCATGGCGTAAGCAGCTCAAGCAATGCCGGCGCATTGCCAATGCCACTAGAGCTTATGAGCGTGGCATATCGCATGATGCAAGATCTTTTCCCACTTCAATGCAGAGGTTTGAGCTCTGTTGGCGTCTTCCTGCCTGACGCGGTTTTTGGTGTTCAGATTTACCGATGGATTTGTATACAAGATATATGGTAGCAATCCGACAATTGGTGCCGACGCTAGGATGGGAGCAATGAGAGCAAAAACGTTCAATAATACAGGCCTCCTTCAGGTTCCCGAGGCGCCATGGAACGCCAGTCGCAATTGTAACCTCGACAACACCCCAGCGAATATGCAGATAAAGTTTGAATCGCGAAAGCAACGGTCCAATTTCCAAAATGGTTCCAGTTCAACGAAACATTGGGTATCGATCAAAATGCACCTCTCCTGACCTAGACAGGCGCACCCCAAGCTGCGCGCAGACGGCGAGCGAGCTGTATGTCTTTCTGTTGTATGGTGACGCGCTTGGCGTGGATAGCGCAAAGGTTTGCGTCGTGGAAGAGGTTCACGAGGAAGGCTTCTGTGGCTTCCTGGAGGGCTACAATGGCTTGACTCTGCCACCTATTGGGGCCGTCCTCGGTTGTGACTGTCTGTGCGATCTCGCGGACCTGGAGAGATGTTAGTTGGGTGTCTCGGCGCCGTACTGGTGATGGGTACTTGCGAGGCGCTGAAAGGGGAGTTTTAACAAGAGCAGGTCGGTCGACTTTTGGTAGCGCTTGATCTCACGGAGAGCGACGGTGCCGGGCTTGTAGCGCTTCTTCGCGCGGTCTGGAGCAGGTCCTGCTTGTCCAACTGGGCGCATGTCAGCTCGGCTGCGCAGACTCGTCAGTCAGTCAGTCAGTCAGGCGCAGAACGTACGTCGCTTGCCCGAGTCCCTCCTGCTTCCAACACTCGATCTTCCGCCCCGCGACGGCCGCGCCTTGTTGCGCCTTGTTGGAGATTTGGGTGACATGGCTGGAGTGGGATATGGATGGATGCGTCGAGGGAATGCCCGCGGTGGGAGACGTCAGGGCGCGTTCACGTCGTGAAAAGTCGCGAACCCCAAAGCGCGACGAGGATGGAATGGGACGGGTCGTCGAGTCTTGCGCGCTGTGTCTGCTTCAGGAATAGCGATGAGGATGGAGTGAAGCACGGGCGCACTGCTCGTCTTCGCGTTGATGCAGTTGACGCGACCCGGGCGAGGGGCTGGGCATTGTGGCTGGTCCGCATTCACCGACCGAGGGAAGGAGCTTGGACCCTGTCGAATGTTCGGCGGGACGAGGAAGGCACAATCGCGTGCTGATTGGACTAGCGCCTTGGCAGGCTATCGGACAAGTTACGTAGCCACATGGGGTCGGTCCATCTGTCACTCGGAGTCTCGGAAAGTGAATGCGTCTGCGCAGCGACGACACCTGTCCCTTCGCTTTATATCTGGCTGCAGGTGCTGGAACCTGCTTGCTCCTCTTGTCTTTCCACATTCCATATCATCCCTACCACAACCCGCCATGGCCAACGTCTTGCAAGGAGGGGACGGCATGATGGGAGGAGGGGCCGGAGGCTTTCCGCTCGAGCAATGGTTTTATGAGATGCCTGTGTGCACGCGCTGGTGGATGACGGCGGCGCTGAGTGCAAGTGTGCTGGTGCAATGCCACATCATCTCGCCCTTCCAGCTGTTCTACAGTGTGCGCACTGTCTTCTTCAAGAGCCAGGTCAGTTCATCGCCGTGTCTACCCATCGCTGCTCGTACTCATGTCCAATAGTACTGGAGACTACTCACAACCTTCTTCTACTTCGGCCCCCTCAGTCTCGACCTCCTCTACCACATCTTCTTCCTCCAGCGATACGCGCGACTACTCGAGGAATCGTCTGGCCGCTCGACGGCACATTTCGCATGGCTCCTCACTTTCGCTTCCACCCTCCTCCTCTGTATTGCGCCCATCTTCTCCATGGCCTTCCTCGGCTCCGCTCTGTCCAGCACGCTCATCTACATCTGGAGCAGAAAGAACCCCGACACAATGCTTAGTTTCCTTGGACTTTTGGTCTTCAAGGCGCCGTACTTGCCCTGGGTGCTGTTGGCCTTTTCGCTCATCATGCACGGGACGGTACCCAAGGACGAGATGTGCGGCATTGTTGTCGGCCATAGTACGTCACCCTCCCTTGCGCTCTAGTATGTCGACTAATCATTCTCAGTATGGTACTACCTGAACGACATCTACCCGCCGCTCCACCACAACCACAGCCCTCTATACCCACCCGCTTGGTGGATTCGTCTGTTTGAGGGGCCTCCCGCTCCTGCGGAAGAGCCTGTTGAAGATGCGGCACCGTTGGACACGGACGTGAACAGGAACGGTGAGAACAACCCAGGGGAGGCTGCTCAATAAGCACCACCGTGAACACGTGCATTTATATCTGGCGTTTGGCGAATACTCATGGTTTTGAGATACCCTAGCTATCGTTGGTGCATTGGTAGTCTGCGTTAGTTTTGTAAATACATGCACTAGACATTGACGAGACTGCTTACCTTGCCCATACTCTCTCTTGATGCTTATCTCCGTTGTGTCATTACTGTCGTCCAATCAGAACCCACAACGTGCTCTTGTCGAGAGGCTCAAGTTGAAGATATCCACCCAGCTCCTGCCTGTCTGAGCGTAGAACCTTCCTAACTGGGCTAGTATCTCCGCAGACCTGCATATCATCGCTCATCCAACACCGCAGCCATGGAACGGGCATGGCCGATACCGCCGGGACCATTGGTTGATACAAATTGCCATCGCGAGTTGCTTATAACAGCGCATTCCCTTCAATGTGAATGTTGCCAAGCTTCCTTCCTGTCCTTCACTACAACAAGTCCCATCACAGGCCAGTCAAGACCAAGGTCGTAACATGGCGCCACCCAAGACACTTCTGCCTCTCCTCGCGGCTGTCCCCTATGCTTCAGCTTGGGGATCGCTTGGCCACACCGCGGTCGCATACATGGCGCAAAACCTCGTCTCTCACAAGACGGCCAAGTTTGCCCAGACTCTCTTGAACGATACCTCGTCCGCATACCTAGCCAACGTAGCAACCTGGGCCGACAGCTACCGCTATGAGGCTGGAGGACAGTTCAGTTCCGTCTATCACTACATTGATGCTCTCGACAACCCGCCTGAAAGCTGCAACATCGACTTCGAGCGAGACTGTCCCGAAGAAGGCTGCATTGTTTCTGCTATTGCCAACTACTCCAGCCGCGCTTTCCAGAAGTCGGTCGGCATCGTCGAGCAGCAGAAGGCACTCAAATGGGTCGTTCACTTCGTTGGTGACATTCACCAGCCCCTACATGTAGAGAACATCGCCGTGGGTGGCAACCTCATCAACGTCACCTTCAACGGCGCGCGCACAAATCTCCACTCCATCTGGGACACAGCGATTCCGCAAAAGGCATACGGCAACTTCTCTCAGGCCAATGCACTGGCTCTGGCCAACAATCTCACCGCGGAAGTAAAGCATGGCAAGTTCAAGAAAGAGAGCAAGACGTGGCTCAAGGGCTTGAAGGCGAAAGATGCAGTAAGCAGCTCCATGACCTGGGCGCGCGACTCCAACAAATTCGTTTGCTCTACTGTCATACCCGATGGTCCTGATGCAGTTTTCGCGCAAGAGCTATCCGGAGCGTACTGGGATACGGCAATTCCAGTCGTCACCAAGCAACTTGCAAAGGCAGGATACAGGCTTGCTGCTTGGCTCGATGCGCTTGTTGAGCTCAATGAGAAGAAGGGTCATGGACAGTGGACACGGGAAGAGAAAAGGACTGTAAAACTACAGCCATGGCAGGAAGAAGCGAGACAGGCCCGACGTGACTTTGGGCCCGACTGTGGATGCGGTGAAGAGCATGCGCACTGAGGGATTTGATAAGGTTGTGTGTTGGAACTGTATAGTTGAAGCATGTAGAGTAAATGGCGAGATATTGCGACGATGACAATGAGACATTTTGATTCTGATAGCCATGGGTTTTCAATAGGGTAGTTGTACAATGCATGTTGCTCAACCTCGATCCGACAGGACCTCAGGGCTGGCACGTGGCCCGGTTACTCAGCAACCGCCGCCGGTGTTTCGGACTCTTCCCGCGTGCCGTTCACATTTCACCGTTCACTGAACATGTATCCACTGCGATCCACCGGCAAGTGTCTGCGATGGGCAGGCCACCAGCGAGGCGAGCATGCGACAGATGCCATATCGTAAAAGAGAAATGTAGGCGCATCCCTGGCCGGGACGCGTGCGAACGATGCCTCCGACTCCAGAACTCATGTCAGACCCTGCGACCAGTAGGGACAGCCGGCCGCAAACCTCGGTACCAGCGCAATGAAGAGAGTACACAGCGTCAGCTACACACGGCTCGGAGCGATAGCAGCCTTTCTATCGCTGCTTCATCACCACAATGCCCAGCCTCGGCCGCCAGCCTGGCTATGCCGGATTGGGACTTAGCATCCCTGCCCAGGACTCCGTCTTCACTCGCGGACTTGACCGAGCGGGAAATGCATCTTGTCAAGGGCGTCTCCCAAGGAAGAACGCGCATCGACCAGTTCTTGGTTGCTTCAAGCTTTCGCATCACCCATCACAAAGCTTTTGCGCAACAACTCCACGATGCTACTGTGTGGGTTCAGGACTCGTTGTTGGCCACTGCAGCTCTTTTGGCTTGCGAGTACGAGCCTGGTTCCGACCATGAGGATCGCATCATCGGCCACAGGCGCGCAGCTTCTGCAATCTCCACCTTGCGGTCTATAAAGGCTGTCGATCTCGGCGACCTTCCTACCATTCTGATGCTTTCGGTAAGCGCAATCACCTTTGCGCTACATATCTCTGGACAAGCGTTAGAGATATGTCGACATAGTCTCAACCTCATCAAGCCCGTATACGAATCATCAACGGAGCTTACTCCGGATTGCCTTGCCTTCGTAATTTGTCTCGTCCAAGCCGAGACCGAAGAGTGCATCCTGCGGGGCGAGGTACCAACTCTACGATTCACGGCTCGAGGGCTCGATGACGTTGTGGATCGGTACTTGGGCATTTCGTCGCCCATGCTACCGTACCTCTACGACGTCTGTACAATTACCAGTACGCTACGTCATGACAAGCACGTTGATATTTCTACAATCATGCAAGCTTTAGACGCGATCGAAATGGCTGTTGAGGCGTGGGAGCCAAAAATGCCTGAAGCTCATATCACTCGCTTCTTGCAAGAGGAGGTGGCCAGTATACTGGCTCAAGCCAGATTATATCGTTGGTCTGTGTTACTCATTGCACACCGACTGCGACATCCATATGGTTCGGCTGTAGAAAAAGGGACGGTCATATCTAATGCAATCCTGGAAGAGCTGCGTCTGACACTCCAGTCCACCGGGCGCTCAGTGCCAGGCGCCACTGTCCCATACATGTTCGCTTGCTTCGAGTTGGTCGATCCCGCTAAAAGAGAATTGGCACTCAAAAAAACTGATGCTGTTGTCGAGTTTTCGAAAGCGTGGCGGACCAAGATCAAGAAACAGTTGACAGCATTTTGGTTGATCAAGGATAACACGGATCGAATTCATTGGAGCGACATGGTGTCATGGTTTCCTCAATAACAGATCTGGCGATGGAGACTATCACATACAAGCGTTGTTTGGCTTCGTATGCCTCGGCTGAATGCGCCTTGCCATGCTTCAATGCCTTTCTGGATCTGGGCGTTGTGAGAACTATCATTTATCAACTCGGCTTGACCTCCTCGAGCAACCATCGACTTTATTCAAGTGTTCGATGAGCTGGCTGTCGCATCGCCATTCGCTTGTACCTTTTCGCCGTCGCAATCCTAATTTTCTTGCCCCAGACTAGCAAGGGGATAGGAAGCAGCAGAATCGCAAAGCAAAAGGCCGCTGTAATAATACACACGTTTTGCAGCCCCATGTCCTTTGTCCAGGGCGTGACTGCGAAAAGAATGACGACGGCAAATAAGTTACGGACAAAGACGATGCCTATCATGACGTCTCCGAGAATCTGAGCATCTGGTCGTTAGCAAATGTGGTGCACTCAAGAAGCGTAACGCTTCCGACTCACCTCTTGATAGCAGTCTGTCACATACGCCAGAGCGATGCCGCTGGCCAGAACGAAGGTGAAGCCGAACAAGCCGAATCCCACGGCTAACACCATCCAATGCACGCCCTGACGGTTGGTTAGTATGCGGCATTGTTTATCGCAAGCTCTCAACATACTCTCACCAACGCCAATCCGAACATTAAAATTCCAGCTGGAAGCAGCAGTGCCGAAGCAAGAGCAAGCCATAGTCGCATTTCCGGTTCGTATACTCCTCGATTTCGTCTCGCAAACCACATAATCGATCTGTCGTTCAAATAGCCGCCGGCGAAAAATCCTAGGAACGAGCCAGTAAAAGGAGCAATGTTCATGAGTCCTACTCCAGATGGCCCGAAGTTGTACGGCGGTTGCAGCAGGTACACTGCCTGCAGCGAAGACATTAGTGCCAAGCACGCCAGTACCGTGCCATACGTGAGAGCGGCGTAACCAACTGCTGGAAAGGTGGTCAACACTATGACTGGCTGGTAGAAGTGGTGGCCGATCGGTTGATTGGAAGAAGTAAAGAGGGCCAAGCGCTGGCGATATGTTTTCCGTGGCAAGGTTGTGTCAATTCGAGATTGCACTCGCTCCATGCTACTGTGTTTGGTGTCCCCTTTGACATCTGCAACTTTCTGCGATTCCGAATCGACGTGCAAGGTTTCTGGTCCACTTGAGCTAGAAGGACCATGGTGTACACTGCGGCCGTTAAGGACGGGTACATACTTTGACTCTTCGAAGAAAAGCAACACGAGCGCGAGGTTCAACGACAGGAAGATTGTGCACCACCACCAAATCCACCTCCAACCCTGGGACTCCACTATGAAGCCAGACGCCACCGGGCCAAGGGATGCACCTACAGATGTGAAGACGAGGTACCACGCGTTCATGGTTCCATGTTGGTGCACAAAGTACAGATCGGCAATGGTGATCTGGACAACAGCCTCACTGATGGCACCCCCAAGTCCAGCAAGGAAGTTGCTACCCATCCAGTCACCGTACGTCCTAGTCTTGGCCTGCCAAATTACTGAACTCAATTGCAGCGCTGAGCTGATCAGATAAAGTGGCCGTCGCCCAAACTTGTGTACAAACGGCATGAAGATCATACAGCCGACTGCAAGTCCAGCACAACTCATAGCAGCTCCGTTGTTCAGCTGATCCACGGAGAAGTGCAGTTCGCGCATGAGAGAACCCCAGGATGTTGAGCCTGTTTGCAGCTGTACGAAGGTCCAAAGCACGAAAAAACCGACTAGACCAAAATTGATGGCTTTTCGCAGTCGACTCCAATTCAGCGGATCATCTGGATCAGAGCTAGGCACAGGGTGGAGGATGACATCTGATGCCGGTGTTGTCACTGGAAGTGGGTTGTCAGTGTGCCGTCTTATCGGCGACAAGCGGAACGTCTTACTGTCCTCCAGCCGTATGGTACCAGGCGCCCAGAAGTTTTCATCTTCCTCTCTAGGAGAATTCGTGTCGGTCATCGTTGCTGAAAGATGTTGGTTACGATAGATTCACTGCGAGAGAATATCGACTACAGGCATAGAGCTTGCAGGACGATTACCATCCTTATCATTTGCCAGAACTTCTTGCATATATATATATCATATTCAGTCCTCAGGCGGGTTTATTCCGTTCTGTTGCCGTCCGCGCATCCCAATCCTCGACCCCGGAATGCAGGTTTCCGCTAGTGAACGGGCCTAATCGAACGAATTGTGTAGCGAACAACCCCCCGGCTTGGCGTTGGCGGCTGTGGGGTAGTGGCACGCTAACGAATGCCGCTCAGACATGATACGAATGTACGTACTGACCATCAAGATAACAACACCTTATCACGTTACCAGGCAGACGGAATTATGATGCCACCTCCATGGCCCTCGGTTAGATTCCACGGCAACCGAGGGTACTACTCATATACATAATCAGGGGGGTGCCGATGCACACTGTCATATCATCACTCGTGCCTAAGTGCAACTTACAGCCTCAGATTCTATTACTCACTTTGATATGGCTATCACTGCATGGGAAAGCAGAGTTGCTGCTAAACAACAAGCCTGCCGCGACAAGATACCAAAAGAATGGGTTCTCCCAGCATCCATCACGAATCTGCTTCAAGCACCGCTTTCGGACCATCCAAACCGGGTGAACGAGATGGACATCCCCCGAAAATCGGGCATCATGAGCGAGAAAGAGCTGAATATAACCGAGAAATTCACTGTTGAGGAGTTGTTGCAACAGCTAAGAAAGGGTGTTCTATCGTCACTAGAAGTCACGATAGCTTTTTCCAAAAGAGCGGCTATGGCACAGCAGCTGGTCCGTTGCGCCCCTCTCGATGTATTTACAGGTTCGCTAACATAGTCTCCAAGCTTTCTTGCCTTACCGAAACGTACTTTCCAGAAGCACAGGACCGAGCACGCTTCCTCGATGGTGAAAGAGCTGCTGGCCGCATCGTAGGGCCCCTTCATGGTTTACCGATAAGCGTCAAAGACGGTTTTCAGATTGCGGGAACAGCGGCAACCATCGGATTTGTCTCTTTCCTAGACCACGAGTTATCTGAGAAGAACTCGCCGCTGGTGGATATGCTGCTGGAGCTGGGCGCAGTCATATATGTCAAGACTAATATCCCGCAGACACTTATGGCAAGTTATATCTTTTCCGTCGATCTTGAGAAGGATCACGATCTAACATTGCATAGACGGCTGACTCACATAACAACATCTTCGGACGCACATTGAATCCCCATAACACTGCTTTGACGGCAGGAGGATCTAGTGGAGGAGAAGGTGCACTCGTTGCATTCCGAGGATCGCTACTTGGTATTGGAACGGATATCGCAGGTTAGTGAATGTCTTTGGGTCTGTGGCAATGACGACCACTGATAAGTTCCAGGCTCTATCCGTATACCGTCCCTCTGCTGTGGCACATATGGCTTCAAGCCTTCTACTGAACGTATCCCATACGGTGGCCAGCCTTCTCCAGTCCGAGATGGCTTGACCTTCTTTGAACCTTCTGCTGGACCGATAGCAAACGACATCCAGGCATTGAACCTCCTATGTCGGTCAGTTCTATCCATGAGACCAGCCATGTACGACGCCACTACTCTAGATGTTCCCTGGAGAGACTTGGAAGTACCGCCGAGCGTGCCGAAACTAAGGTTTGGTCTTTTGACCGAAGACCCAGCGTTTCCGTTACATCCACCGGTTAAAAGAGCACTGGCTCAAGCTGTAAGTGCTCTGGAAGCCAAGGGTCATCAGGTTGTTCCAATATCGCCGTCGCGCGCACAAGTCTCCAATGCGCTAGCGCTCGCGTTTGCTTATTTTGGGCTCGACGATCCCCCAGCACATATAGCCGCTAGTGGTGAGCCGCTAGTACCATCAGTCATTCAAGCTATGCAAGCGTTTGGTGCCTTCAAATGTGATTTTCTGGCTGACTGCGAGGGTCTGCAAGGCATTCCGAGGTTGGCAGCGCTCAATGTGAAGAGGCAGTCAATCGCGGATGAGTGGAGGAAAGTTTGGAGGGATGAGAGACTGGACGCGGTAATCGGACCGTCGGCGCAGAATACTGCAGTTGCGCATGATACATACGGGTTGCCACCGTATACGTTGCTACTAAACGTATTGGATGTAAGTCAAGGTCAAGCATCAGTAGACGTCAGAAAAGCATTACTGACACCTTGTGCAGTATCCCGCCTGTGTCCTGCCGTTTGGCAGAGCGTCGAGCGCTCTGGATCCCGAGCCTCTGATCATTGGAGCTGGTCAAGTAGGTCCAAGCTGTAAGTTGCCGTCTTCTAGCTCGACACGGTATTGAGATGCAAGCTAATATGCCCGGCGCACAGACGAGCCCGAGCTCGTACACGGCGCACCAACCTCAATCCAGGTCTTCACGAATAAGATGCGCGATGAGGAATGCCTACGGATGGCCACCATCGTAGATGAGTGCTTGAGGGCTGTGTAGACTGGATGATGTATAGCATCTGATTGGAGGAACACAAGCATAAGACATTCGTTCCCGTTCCTCCCGCATACTTTGAAGATTATTTGGCATACTAGACCTGCTTTCGCACTAATTCTTTCTGCTTTCTCATGGTGATCGAGCTGTGTTGCGTTTTCTGAGGGGTAGTTGCAGTCCGCCTGGTTGATTGAGTCATCAGCTAGCGTCTTCCACATTGTCCAACACCGAAAGCTGCCGCTGCCTATATTTGACGAGACTATCATGGAGTACTTTGACTATGCTCACCTGAAAACCGCGCCGTTAAACAATCTTTCTACTTGACTTACTCAGGTGATATCGCAGTAGTTCTTTTGGGGGCGCTGTGCAATAACGCTGGCATGCACCTCAACCCATCCATGAATATGCCTCACACGACTGGCTCCATGGGAACAGAGCGCACTCGGCGGTCTAAAAGACACTGCATTACTTCTAGTTCAAGCAAGCCTTATCGAAGCAAACTTATAGCTAAGTGTGAGTGGGGTGCAATCCAATATGAGAGCTGATAGAGATTATGCAAAGTAGATTGAGACGAAGCTAGCCGGAGCTTTCAAGTCGCTCGCCGTCTCTCAATACTCCTAGTTACACGAGCTCTCGGTGACTTACAAAAGATGTTTCTACTTGTTGTTCAAGACAGACCTTACACCAGCAGCAGCTACGACTTGTAAGAGGAGGTAGCCAACGGCCAAGTTTGTATTCACAAACCAATAACGAGAGCTGGATGCCAAAACCCCGCATGTCACTCCCATCATGAACCACCTCTATGGGAGCATTTTCGCCTATCCTTCACTACTATGTATAAGCCGTCCGACTATCCACGTGACATAGCTAACCGTCAGACAGCGCCTCCCCGAAAGCGTCCTTATGCACCAGGAGCAATAGCCGCCGCTCGACTCACTGAGCGTATCAACAGCATCAGACCTACTAAGGAGGGCATGAGAGCGACAACTAGCCGTACTGACAACCAAATCAGAACACTGCACCGTCCTTGAACCCAAAGGGCGTGCAGGCTCGCCTGAGAAGTGTCGCCACCTCGCGATTGACGACCACCGCAACTAGAGTGGACGGTCAGCAAATGCTAGATGTACGCACACTTTCATTTGAGAATGATCCATCACCTGAGTTACGCTGGCTCCTGTCAATCTTGTGCTGTGTGTAGAGCAGGCATGAAGAAGCTGGAGGACGATCAGGTTCTTGCCGAGTGAGATCTGATTGATCAGCAAAGGGCAGCGCTCAAGGGAATTACAACTTTCGTCCCAGTTATCGCCGACCTCACGAGGAAGACTATGAGTTCCGCAGGGAAACACGTCTCCCGATAGTAAGTACGTATGCGATACTTACTTTCGCGCCAGTTTACTGGTGCTACTATTGTTGACCAACTTCAGCCATGTTGGTCGCGGCCTTCCGAATGAGACCACCATGCCAGTTTCGAAAAGGCGTGGGCCGCACTCCACGACGAACACATCCGCGACATTAGGACAATTACTAAGCCCGAAAACACAATTCCGCCTTCGACGACGATGACGCCCTCAAAGGATCAACAATCCAAGAAAGGCTATCACACTTAGAACCTGACAGCAGATATCTTTGCTAGTCAATGAGGTCCGACCAAAGTCAGCATGGTATGAAGATATTCGAACTGCTGCTGAGTGCGAAGAGTTAACTAGGAGGCTTTGTAGTGATGGCCTTTACTACTATATCGACGACCAATATAGGGATGAGAAGGCGATTTAGACGAGCAATATGAGCAAAGATCAAGGCACCAAGTGAATACTGATACGCCATGAACGCAGTATGCCCGGTGCTTAGTTTTGAAGAATGCAATTCTTTACATCCAATTGGACATTACGAACCCCACATGTGGTCGCCTCTTCTTGTTCAAAGGTTATAAGCACAGTCTCGTTCTTGTCTGCCCACCTTTACTGTCACGAATCGCCTTCTTCTGAATCTTGGATCGGTGGAAGGATTGTTGCTGATACTATATTTCTTGCTATATTATAAGGCTAAAAAGCCGGGCGTGGGGTTTTCTGGAAAGGCGAAAAAATCTCAAACCCTGAATATGCTGGTGGTGATTGGACGAGAAAGACAAGTCGCGAATGAACGGGAAAGGTATTGCAAGTGAAATTTCCATTAAATAGAATATCAGCGGGCTATACCCAGAAAAGACCTGGCTTTGTGGTCAGACTGAGCATCGCTCTCGATGGTCACCGTGACCGTGTTCGTCTGCATGATATGATCGTCCTCGTATGCTGTCATACGGTGAACTCTTCCCAGCTCTTCATCATCCAGTATACCTCTCTGACTGGAGTCATCTCCGTTTTCTTCGATTACGGTCCAGTGGCCCTCTTTTCCTTTACCCATGGCATGTACGGTCGTGGTAGTTGCAGAGTGTTGACTTTGGTTCAGTCTCGACAGCGGCACGCTTTTGTTGGTCCGAGTATGCGAGCGCGAATAAGAAGAGATCGTTTCCTTGAAGAACACACGGAGAATGGGGATGGAGGCGGCAATAATGGCAGTCGCTGTCTCGACGGCAGTCCAAATGGTGAGCTCCTTGCCGTTGAAGGAAAAGTCCCCCTGTCCGAGTTGAATTACATATACGCCTTTGACGATTGCGCAAACACCAGATCTGAAGTCCAATGTTAGCGATCTGATGCCGTTAACCAGAAGGGCGATTTGAATGACACTCACAAAACACCCATGCTCATAGCGATACCCACTCCAATCTTCTCGCGGAGCCTTAGCTGTAATCCCCATATAAGATACCATGGCAAAAGCGCAAGCGCAAAGTCTGCCGCAGCACACCATGCAGCATTGAAAATCCCATAATTGATGGAGTGACTGGGATCCCAGCAAGTCCCAGGGATAGTGTCATTCCAAGCCTTCTCCATTGGGTGACACTGTACCCATGTGGCCAACGCACTTGGCAACATTATGAGAAAGAGGGTGACGATGCAGAACCATACGAACCAGCGTAGGTAGCCTGTCGTGAGGCGGAGTAGAGTGACGCCAAAGGAGATCTTCGAGAAAGTCGAGGCGAAACAAGATATCGACGCAGCAACGGACATGCCAAGAGCAACTGTGGTGAGATATTTGACTGGAATATCTTCTGTTCGCTTCCCGAACCCTAGTTGTTGTCCTGCTTGGGTGATGGCGGCCTGAGCCAGTAGGAGGACCTGTTCGCAAAGTGTCAGCGAAGTCGTGATTACGACAGAAACTCAACATACCCAAGAAACGGCTAGAATGTAATCATCCCACCAAAGACCTTGTTTGCGACTCATCTTTGCGTAGAACCTGATGCCCAAGAAGCCACCACTCAACACCGTTAACATCCATGTTACGCCAGCAATCACAGGGCCATTGTCCGGCACACCCATTTCAGTGCGCTCAGTCTGGAGGACCACCAATCTTTATCAGCCAAAGTGAATGTGCAGTCATGCGTAGTGAGCGTCCATGCGATGATCGTCGAGAGAAGCAAAGACGGACTGTGGGGGGTGGGGGGTGAAAACCATGCAGCAGGATCAGCTCAAGCACTTTCAACACGGTCCCAATCATACCCAAAGCCGGCGGTACATCATCTCGGCATTCGCCGTATCCTGGGGCGGAACTGAAATGTGGTAGTCATGCTAGAATGTCCACTCGACACGCGACATGGCGTGTTTGGAATTAGAACACTAGAAGCATGTCCTCGGGAAGTGGAGTCGGATCAGGCTAGTGTGGCGCAAACACTACACATCTTCCTCGTGTCTAGCAATGGTTTGGAATGCATCACTCGGCCATTAAGCCAGTCCAGGGAAGGGGCACCGTTAGCTGACCATCCGGCAGTGAAATGCAGCCAAGTGTTGAAGCAGGGACAGAAAGGCTTGAAAGAACGCGATCGTACAGTAGGCTGAACAGGGATATACCTTCCAGGTACCTGGCCCTCGGAGATGACGATGCTGCAAGTGAGCGTTGCAACCTGATGAACGGAGTTGGGTTGTTGACATTGAGCGGCTGGCGCCCCATGCGGATGTGCGCCTAGGGGGTCTCAGATCCAGCGGGATGCGCGATCGATTGTGCGATTTGTCGGACCGATCTGCGCAACCAACTTGTCAACGTTCTAGGCCTTTGGCAACTTCCAAGAATCGCATGTAATGTGTGATTCGGCGATCATAGATTGGCTGTCAACCTAATGGCAATTCGGCAGTTGAAGTAGACTTTCGGTGACAGGAGCTTCCAAAACACCAGGTGCAGAAGTGCTCGGGGCTCTCGTGCGTGGCGCTGAAGTGACGCGGCGTCGGTGTCAAAAATCCGGCACTACCGAACGACGGCGCAGAAATAGAGTTCACGCCACGTTGGGATCCACGACACTCGCTACCTCCGACGTGAGGTGACAATCTCTGTTGTTGCCGGTATCTGATGCTGAGTTGAACGGTTGACCTGGGCGGTATGATCTGCCCGAGTCTTTGAAGTTGGGCAGGAGCAATGGACGTGCACGAAGATCTGGGTCATGTCCGGTCGATTATTGAAAAGCTCGGAAATAAGCCCGCACCACCTCTTGCTACTGCATATGTATTCAGGCTATATTGAACGGCTCAGCTCAAGACCGGCCACGTTCTCATACCTATCCCGTATACATTTCTGTAACTGAAGTATTGCCTCAAGTGTATCCTGCTCTACCCCTTTTTGTTAAACTGCTTCAGCTTCTCTTGCACGGCTTTCTTGACGTCGAACCCTTGCATCACACTACCCCTCCTCTTCCTCTGCTCGATCTCTGCTTTGACTTCTGCTACTATCTCGTCAATTTCTGCTTCAGGGTCGTCTGCAATACCCAAGAGAGGCATCTTAGCATGGCCTGCAACACTATCTGCCGAGTTGGTCCTTGCTAGCCTTTCTCTTCGGATTTCCTCACGTGCTGCCTTCTCGATCGCAGGGTCGTCGAAGTTGTTGGCTGCGGGCTGTGGTGTACGTGCCGACTGGCGCTGAACGAGCTGCTTTCGGAAAGGGAACGACCGCGAGAATAACGCGAAGGATGCGGCGACGCCAATGAGGGTGTAGAAGTAGACCCTTGCCCAGACCTTTATGGTATCGGAGAAGCCGAGCAGGATGAAGGGTGCGACCACGTACGCGAAAACAGTCTGTGTGAGGATAACGGTAAACAGGTCGTAGTATTTCTTCGAGGGTAGTGGCGATTTTCCGTCGGGCGTCATGAATAGTGGGCGTATCAAACGGCGGCCATCTGGTATATGTTAGCATACGACGCATTAGACATATGACAGGCAGCCTACTCTTTGCAGCAGTTTGTACGAATGCAGCTAGAACGAACGCAAGGTAATAGCCGGGGTAAAAGCCATGCCAGAACGCACTGGTCACAAAGGTCGCTAGAGTAGCTCTGAAGCCAGGTTTCTTGCCCTTTGGTGTGACTCGAAGATACATGTAGTTCTTCAGCCAGTTGTTGGTGTTGATGTTCCAAAAGCCAAGGTAAGCGCGAGCATTCTGCGCACTCTCGATCTCGAGTGGCATAATGTTGGTGAGACGGTCCCACTTGGGTCGGCCAGTCTTGGGATCAAGGCCGTTGTAGCCGATTCCTGAAAGAATGCATGAACCCTCAGACAAACTCCAAACTGCATAGTACTTCATGCGAGTAGTGAGGCCGAGCATATAGAGCTGCCATATCCTACGGAAGAAGTTGTATTGCATGTATTCGCCACCGAGGAAGAAAGCTGGATAGTACCAGCTTGAGAATTTAATGAATGCGATAAGCCAGAGAGTACCGTATACACCTTTTGTAATTGCAGGCATGCCGCTGCGAGGAATCTTACGCTTCTTGCGTGTTGGTGGTGCTTTGGATGGATCAGTGCCTGGGGGGAGGGTAAACATAGTCGTGGTGATGTATTGGCTGTAGTCGGCGTAGTCAAAAGCTGGGCCGGCCATGATAGCAGGGAAGAAGAAGACGTAGCCGATGTAGTCGAGAATGCTGGGCATAGTCCGGATAGCGTGATCTCGCTGGACTTCGCTAAGTTCAGAGTCAGGAAGTCGACCGTCTTGAACGTTCCAGCAGAAGGCAGTGAGCTTCATGACCAGGACCATTTGAGCTCCTGTGATGTCGAAAACAGATGGATCGTTGACGGCCTGTCGGTAGATGTGGTTCACCGACATGTGGCCCATAAGGAAGACAAAGCCGATCCATGGCATGTACGGGGAGTGGACTTTAGAGGAGATGAGGTAGGCACCGCCGGCACTGATGAATATGGTCCGCAGGCCGGACCACAGGTCAAATAGTCCAACAAGGTAGAACATGGAAACGCTGTCATTGTTAACACTAGATGGTGATATGTTACGGACGAGGGATTTCACCTTATTACGAAAACATTCTTCTTCCATGGATCCTTGTCCGGTATCCTTTTTAGGACAGCAGCCAAGGGATAGGACAGGTAAAAAGAGAAGACGAGCTTCACTGGGTGGGGTTAGCAAAACAGGCATATGGACGGAACAGTTGGAAATGCTTACGCTCATCAGCCGAGTTTCCAAGTATACCGGCCACATATTCGAAAGCTTCACGGTAGTCAGTACATCTGGTATGTGCTTAGTTGGCAGATACGTACGTGCGTTGATGTAGGGCAACATGATGCCAACTGTCAAGCTGACGAAAAGCCAGATCCAGGAACTAATGGCGTGGTGCAGGGGACAGATGGCAGGACAGCAATAGCAGTCTTATATGCAGAGTATCAGCATCGTCTCGAGGGGTGAAAGTGCAGATGACGGTGCGAGTGTGGCTGAAATACGAAGTAAAGAGGGAAGCCAGGATGACGTCGCGGCACCTTTACCCGAGGCCCGTGCGAGACTGCTCAGCTCTCACTGGCCAACTTTTTCGAGACACGAGCTTCCACGCGACTTCGCGTACCGTCCACGAGCGCAACCACGGCGCATTCTGGATAACGAGCACCAGCCGCCAAGATGAGTACGACGTACAACCTCGAGCCAAACCCGACCGCCAAAGTCGTCCTGCACACCACCACCGGCGACCTCGAAATCGAGCTCTTCGCCAAGCAGACGCCCATCACCTCGCGCAACTTCCTGCAGCTGTGCCTCGATGGCTACTACGACAACACCGTCTTCCACCGCCTGGTCAAGGGCTTCATCATCCAGGGCGGCGACCCCACGGGCACCGGCCAGGGCGGAGAGAGCAGCTACGATGGCGAGCCCTTTGCGGACGAGTTCCACAGCCGGCTGAAGTACACGAGGCGAGGCCTGCTGGGCATGGCCAACACGGGAAAGAAGGACGACAACGGCAGCCAGTTTTTCTTCACCCTGGCGGCGACACCAGAGCTGCAGGAGAAGAACACCATGTTCGGCCGGGTGGCAGGCGACACCATCTACAACCTAATGAAGATGGCCGAGGCCGAGATACGGGACGGAAGCGACGATCAGCCCATGTATCCCACCAAAGTCACAGGCGCCGAGATCATCATCAACCCATTCGAGGACATGGTCAAGAGGGTGCAGGTGGCTGCGCGCACAGAGCCCGAGACGAAGAAGGCCAAGAAGCACAAGAGGAAGGCCGGCAAGAACGTGCTCAGCTTTGGCGATGATGCAGCCGAGGCTGACTCTGCGCCCATTGCGAAGAAGCCCAAGTTCAACACCAAGCTGGTCAGTGCAGGCGAGGAAAAGCCCGTGTCGAAAGCACCCGAGGAGACGAGAGAGATACCCATACGCAAGCCATCCCGAAAATCGCCGCCGAGGTCTCCGTCACCCAAACCCGCTCCAAAAGCCGCGCTCCGGTCGCCACCCAAGCCTAAAGCCAAAACTCCACCACGCGAGCTTTCGCCTGAATCTGAGAAACGATCGAAACTAGACCGTGTCAACCAGCAGATCGCCGACCTCAAGGCATCCATGAAGCGAAACACCTCCGCCCAAGATACAGGGCCGGCCAAAAAGAAGTCGCTATTAGAGGCCATGGTGCCAACATCCACAACACGAGGAAGGAAGCGAGGGGCTGGTGGCAACGCAAAGGACGAACAATCTGCACTGGACATCCTCTCCCGATTCAAGTCGAAACTAGAATCAGCCGACTCCACCGCAGCCCCCAAGACCGTCACACCAACACTACCCGAGGAAGCAACGAATGGCAACTCCAATGGAGATGCGAATGGAGCCAATGATGAAGATGAGGCTGCATGTGACTTGCATTTCATAGTGGGCTGCCAGTCTTGCAAAGCCTGGGACAAGCAGGATGAAGAGGAGTCAGATGACGACGCGGGATGGATGTCACATTCGTTGAGTTTCGCAAAAGACAGATTAGGGAAGGATCTCGAGTGGAAGCGGAAGAACGAAGAGGAGCTGTTGGTCATTGACCCAAGAGAGGAGGCGAAACGGCATAAAGCTGAAGGTAAAAAGGTCAGGAGATGACGAGATAGTGGGAGAGCAGATAATGTCAAGTTCTCACGCAGGACCCATGCACTAGAGCTTACGACGCTGATCAAACATGATCTGTCATGGCCGAGGACCACTTGGAAACTCTGGACTTTAACATTATTCCTTGAGAGCGCGATAACGACTGCCGCAGCCAAACCATTTCTAGATCCTCGGAGCCATTTCCCATCATCATCTCATCATACCGATTGAGTGCTTTCGTAGACGGCCCGTTCTATCTGTTGTCCTCCACGCATGTATTACGCGTAGTAGATCGCCTTGTGTGGACCATGTGCGGCTTAAGCGATTTGTTTGCCTTTACCACGTCTATCGTGGGAACTACGCGAGCGGTGTGAAGGCGGAGAAGGGTAGTGGACTGAGCTGTGGCCCACCGTTTTTAGACGTCGCCTTCACTTTCCCCCACGTATATCTCGGACAATCCGCAGTCGCAATTTCTATTGTCGGACATTCGACTACCCCAATACGCTGACAGGGGCATTCCACGACGTCTTGGTCTACAGAGCAACTCCGTCCGCTATCTTCAAGAGGTGAGTTTGTTCCTACATTAATTACTGCTCCGATCGACGGGCGCGCGTTTCCTGCAGTCGTCGCAACAGCTCGACACAGGTTTACACAACCCCACCCTGTGCCTTTCCTAGCTATCACAACTATACAAAACTGCCGTTACAGGTCTTTCCCAATGTGCTCGAACTGACGTGTACGTATCTGACCCTTTGCTGACAGTCAGCAGTGCTGTCGCCAAAATGCCGGTCAATTGGAATGACAAAGACGTTCTCGAGCGCCTCTTCATCGCGGCTCTCGCCTCTCTCGACAACAAGGTACGTGGAACTAGCTACCACTATTTCCCTGTAGCAGCCACACTAACCCCAGCGTCGCGCAGATCAACATCAACGAAGTTGCTCGCATCTATGGCGAGGATATGACCTATCACGCCCTCGAAAATCGGATGCGTAGATACAAGAAGGAAGCTACAACGCTCAAAGATGAAGCAGCGGACCGTGAGGGCGCCGTGAAGAGTCCGATGAAGACACGCACCAAGAAGAGCGACGCTGGTTCTCCCAAGGGCGGTACGCTTTGCGAACACCCTCTTTCACTATTTTGCTTTACTGATTCGGCATATAGCTGTCAAGACTGGGCGAATCACCAAGAAGGCGACCACTACTACAAAGATCAAGTCTGAGCCGCTTGTTGACGAAGAGCTGCTTCACGGTATGGGCGAGGAGGCGGTAGGAGACGATGAGGCGGTCGACGAAACCGATGAATTTGTTTGAGGCTAAGCGGCGCTAAATGCCCCATCGCCTATGGAACATGTCTGTTTCTAGAAGTTTTGGCGCTTTGCAGGCTTCCATAAGTTGGAGCTTCGATGTCGATGCGCAAGCCGCAGAGGCAATGGGCTCCCAAAATTGCTGAAGTTCATCCATCGAGCACGGGTAAACATCGACAGCGCATGAAGTGTTTCTGTATCTGCATCTTCAGAACTTTGGATGAATATGGGTAAAGAATCTTCAGAAAATTCACCACGGATTTTCATATCACGATTTTTTTTACTAAACTACCTGCTAATGAGTGACGTTCACCCACTTCAAATCACTCCAGCAACCTACGGACATCGGACGTATCCGACACCGTAACCTTCTGCGATCAGTGCGTGTAAAATTAGTCTGTTGTCTACAGCTTCACCGTTCGAACGCAGACATGTTAACAGCCTGGAAGCTGATATCAGCAATACAATTCCATTACTGCGTCGATCATGCAGCACGATATGCAACGGTATGGCCGGACCAATAAGTGCTTGCCATCCTACCCAGGCACTCAATCTAGCAAGGCGAAAGCTAGGGGATATATGCAGAAGACGTTACGCGAGTTGTACACTTTATCTTGTTCGCCAGTATTGGCCGAAAGAGGGTCTATGCTTATGTCGGGCCGTCGTGTCGGGTGGACTAATAGCCTTGCATTGATTGCGCTCTGTGCCTGCATATCCGGCGATATTTGCAGATCATCCCTACCGGTTAGCTCAAGCTTGGAGAGAGAACCTACTTGAGCTCGAGCATCTCAACTTGCTATCGATGTATTCAGTCTCTCGTAGACCTCGTCCATCATGGCTCCTCTCAGGTCGATTATCGCGGCTCTTGCTTTACTGAGTGTCAAGGCTCTGGCCGCTACGTCGATCGACAACAAAACTTATGAGTACATTGTTGTAGGCTCTGGACCTGGCGGTGGACCGCTTGCTTCCAATCTTGCCAGAGCCGGTCACTCTGTGCTGCTCCTTGAAGCTGGAGATGACCAGACGGAGAACGTCAACGTTTCGAATTGGTTGAACTTCAATATAGCAGGCAACGATCCGGCCACAGTAAGTGTGTGATCGAATTGGACCGACACACAATTAACGGATCGTTTAGCGATGGGATTTCTTCGTGAAGCACTCTGATGACGAAGCCAGGGAAGCAAGATACTTGCATAGAACTTGGCGTAAGCCAGATGGAAGCTTCTACGTTGGCACTGTGCCCCCCGAAGACTCTACCGCTCTGGGAATTGTAAGTATATCAGATTCATGCGCTCAACGCGGCTTTTGACTGTACATACAGTACTACCCACGCGCAGGCACTCTAGGAGGCTGTGCTATGCATAATGGCTGCTTGACGATGAATCCCAACGATGCGGATTGGGATGAGATCGCTGACATGACTGGAGACGACACTTGGTCGCATGAGAATATGAGAAAATATCTTGTCAAGCTTGAGAAAGTGCATTACAACAGCACATACGAACATGGTCATGACGGTTGGCTCGATATGACTATGATGGATCCTGGCTACACGACCAGCGCAGATGCCAAACAGCTCAGCGGATTAGCTGCGCAAGCTGCGGGCTACTCTATGTCTTCTACCTCAACACTACTACAGCGCGACATGAACGGGGCTCAATCCGATCGCGATCATCTTGTCGGACCATTTGGAGGGGTCTCTCATATCAACCCCAATGGACGTCGGTCGTCGCCCGGCTACTACGCTCGAGATACGGCTGCTTCCGGCAAGTATCCTCTGACTATCTCGCTGGACACGTTAGCAACCAAGATCATCTTCGACAAAGCTTCTCTCGGTCTTCCAAAAGCGATCGGTATTGAGTACCTGCATGGGAAGAGTCTCTACAGTGCTGATCCTCGTTACAACTCCAACGTCAAAGGCGTTGCGGGGAAGGTGTTCGCGTCAAAGGAAGTGATCATCTCTGGAGGAGCTTTCAACTCACCACAGCTCCTTATGCTTTCCGGTATCGGTCCGCTTAAGCAACTTGCCAAGTTTAACATTGCACCAGTGGTAGACTCGCCTGGTGTGGGCAAACAGATGGCTGACAACTATGAGGCTGGTATCTTATCGCTAGGCAATCGTCCCGTTACTGGCATGTCGGAGGTCTTTCCGAACTTTTGGAAGACTTCTACTTCGCAACTGGGGATCCGAGACATCTATATGTGGTGTGGTTCTTTTCTCTTCGAGGGGTTCTGGCCAGGGTATGCAATTGCAGCTGTTCACACAATTTATTGAACATCCGCTAACCTACCAGCAGCTTTCCCAACCGACCTCCGTACTTTAATGAGACCTACGGCCCAGCGCAGTACGAATGCGCAATGGTTCATATGAACCCACGCTCCCAAGCGGGTACCGTTGAACTTCGATCTGCTGACCCGCGTGACGTTCCTGCCATTAACCTCAACTTCTTCAAAGATGGAGCAGAGGAAGATCTTCAAGCTATCTACGAGGGTGCCGAATGGGTACGTTCCTGGTTGTCGAAAGTAGATCCATCGGCACCTGACTCGTTGGCTCCTTTCCGCGAGCTGCATCCATGTGAAGGCGTGATTGGGAAGCAAAACTGTACAATCGAGAGCCAGAAGGCGTACATAAAAGAGCAGGCCTACAGCCACCATGCTAGTAGTAGTTGCAGGATTGGTGCTGATGGAGACAAGTACGCCGTACTGGATAGCAAGTTCAGAGTGAGAGGAACAAGGGGTTTACGAGTTGTGGATGCAAGCTCGTTTCCTAAGGTGCCTGGAGGCTTCCCAGTGCTGCCTACTATGATGATCAGCGAGAAAGCTACCGAGGATGTCCTCGCTGACACGTAAGTGTATGACTGGTCGCTTAGAGCGACACTAGGTTCGGCTGATGTGTAATTGATTGCACAGGACGCTTGGACCGTAAGTACTAGAACAGAGAACTCGACCCTCACGATTACACAAGACACACATCTGTGGAGGAAACTTCACTTTTACTTTTCCATATCCTGCTTCATCTCAGTGCCTCCACGAATCATTTCTTTCCGGCCTACAGCGAAGTACACGCTACGACAAAGTCGAGGCCGCACCCTGCCCAAATCATTCTCTTCAGGTTTGTTGATCTCCAGCCGAATTTCACCTCACGATGTACGAGCACATACCAAACAATTTTATGCTCCCATGTCAAAGACGCCCATCCGAACGGACAGGCCCACGTAGCTCTCAAGAATGTCCATATGTCGAATGCTATCTTCAATACCTGCTGAGATATCCTCAATACCTGCTGAGAAGTGCACGGAGAAGAGTGCAATGGTAAAGAATTAGCACACGCTTGCAGCATCAACACCTACATAGCTTGTGATAAGAAAATATGGAGGCAGTACTCTCGATCCTCTCTTTTATTGAGACACAAGAATTTCGATTGTTTCTTCCGCTGGTCAGATTTCTGACTTTCCCTTGTCTGGCCTTTGATCTTGGAAGAAACGTCATTCCTCGCGATGGGCACACCCTTGTCAAAGGTTGAGCGATAGTCGGAATTGAAATGTATTGTCGTCGCTCCTCCCTTCCCATACCTGGACTTCGCGACATACATGACGCAGGTGCTATTCTCCTTCCCATGTCATCGCATCTTACCTGCCTCGAGGAAAATTGCTTGCAGTCATGTCTGCCTATAAGAAATCGCCCTCCCGCCCATTCACCTCTCTCCACATCCCTCCCCATTCTTCCGGCGTCGCAACTCTTTCGGCGAAGCATTTCATAGCGAGTAGTAATCAATTCCTCACGTCAAAAACACTGTTTTCACACCGAGGCCATGTTCTTGATTTCACTTCTCTTTTTGTTGCTCTCACCTGCCTCAATTTTCGCCAAAAACGTGCCGCGACTCGACAACGCCAAGAACCACGATCAGCGTATTGTCAATCTCTCGTATACTGGCTTCGGCAGCGCAACGATCACATTCAAAGACTCACGAGAAAACGAGATATTCGACTACGCCATTGTCACGAAATACACCACCTATCACCCAAATATCCTCACCAATGCTCTAGTGGCCAACGGCTACAAGACTACCATGCTCGAAAGTGGTAGACTATGTGGCTGGACGAAAGTTAAATCCGTGTATAGAACGCTGGGTATGGACTTCCGCAACCATCGTGGCGATATCTACTGGAAATATAGTGACTCAATCCACATACCATCGTCCATGAGTCAAGCACCCAGCGAGGACATTATCAACGACATCACAAACATCCTCATCCGTAACCCGCCTGCTGGAGACGTCTACTTGCTTTGCACAATTATCCTCGCGTGGACAACCAGCCTACTAGGCTACATGCTCTTCATGATACTGCTTATGGCCTGCATCAAGAAGTTTGATCGGAACACGAACAGGTCAAAGGATACTGAGGTCGACGAGGGTATCGAGCTCGACTCAATGGAGATACCTAATTACGACAGTCTGTCGGAGACCGTCATCGGAGCAACGCCATTCGAGGATGTCAAATACACCTATACCAGCCCTCAGTCTGGTCGCACTCCTTCCACAGGCTCGATGCGCTCAGATCTCCTCCCCACGTACTCGCGGGAAGAAACCAGACATGGGTCGACATTCGACAATATCCGGATAGGCTAATACTTTCTGGTGGTGGTTTAGTGGGGTCGTTTGCTCGTTTCACGTCGTTTCAGGGGTCGCGACTTTTCGTTTGCATGGTCTGAAAGAAGGACGAGTTTGTTATGTCGCATTCGAGCATGCTGTTATGGTTTTGTGTATGGCAAACCTACGTTTGTTTGGTTTCTCATACTTCCTATCCTTGTGACTGTTTTTAACTTGTCCTTGTTGTCCTTGTATCGTTTCCAATGAGAGCCACTACAATCTATAGGCGTTCAGCAGTCATTGTGGTGCGAACCTTCGAAGGTTCAGTACGTACAGCATTTATGAATGGCGTCGCCCTGCTGTCGTGATTGCGGAGCCTTGGCCACTTTCAGTCTTCCCGTTCAACGCCCGACCCAGACTTGAGTCGATGCTTAGTGACGCGGTATCTGCCTGACACAATCTCAAACGTGTCTAGTGAGGCTCATATCGAACGTAATCTCCACTCATGCAGTCACTGCTACACATGGAGACACTTTGGATCGGTGGCGGTGGCGCTGCGCAGGTTGACGCGAGTTTACATGCCCGTGCCTACCTGCGAAAATGGCGTTGACCAGTCCCCAGGCTTGAGGGAGATACGGACCGGAGAGAGATGTGTCAATCGGCAAGGCGGCCAAGCAAAGCATCTTTCGTGTTGTCGTACACCAATAGAGCGGAAGTAAGCAGACTGACAATAGTCAATAGTCAACATCTAGGCAACGTCGACAGAACCGCCAATTCATGACTAACTTCTTGCATTATGATGAGCAGGTGTGATTTGATTTATCAATTAAACAAGGTTATGTTACAGTTTGCAAAAGTTGGGCAATAGTCGCTGAATACAGGTAAGAATTCGCGTGTGGTTGGAACAATGCTTCACTCTCTGTTCATGCGCCAATGTGCCTTCGTCGACAAAACATCCACTCACTACATCTCGTATCTCACTGGCGGTGCCCCATCGTTTGGCGGCTTGTGTGCATGCACCCCTGCTGCGTGCTGCGGATCCAACTCTATCAAGCTATCAGGTGGAGCCTCGTTTAAAGGAGGTGCGTAATGACCATATTTGTACTGCTCAGAGACTTGAGGACTGGGTGTTTTGGGCCGATCAACCCCTTTTTTCTTGTGGTGACGGAACAAGAGGAAACCGACGATCAATCCGAGGAGGAGCGCGACAGGTATCCCAACCCCAACTCCAATTTTAGCTGAGGTGGGGAAGCTGCTCGCGGGCGAGGCTGAACTGGGCATGGGTACGGCTGTTGGTACATTGGTTTGTATTGAACTTCCTGCGCTGGAAGAAGAGGTTGTTGCAGAGGTCGTTGAGCTTGATAGGAGTGAAGACGAAGCCGACGAAATTGAAGCCGATGCCGAGTCGGCCTTATCTTCGAGATAGAGATACTGACTGAAGTCGACTGGGTCCGCTTCACCCTCTTGGTAAAGGGTCAGCTGGAACAGGTTCGACAAGGTCAGGTTGAAGTCAGTCGTGATAGGCCAAACCACGTCAGTCTTGTTCACGACACTCTCTGCTCACCATCGTTAGTCAGAGTTACTCCGATAGATGTCAGAGATGATGGTTTTTCGTACGTGTGATATATTGCTTGTCTCCAACGAGTACGCCCGTCGTCCGGTTTGCCTGCCATAGGAGAATAGATGAGGTGATGCCAGCCGGTGGCTCCGTCCAGTAGATCGTGAGTTTGTCACCTAAATAGTATACCTGCGCATCGCTGAAATCCAATGGTGTCGGATTCCACGGCGGAACGATGAATTGCATGAGTGCTGGGAATTAAGACAGGATGTCGAATACGATAACTCAATGTCCCAGTAAAGGCACAACCAAGCGAGAAGGACTGATGTTCAGAGAGGCAAGTAGGTGAGAGGATAGGGGGCGACTTTGACAAGTTCCGTAGGGTACAAGCGAATCAAAGCAGTGTGATTTGAAAGGAGGAAATGCGTGAGGCTGAATCAGGCGGCTTGTGGAAGCAAAACGCTTCAAGACCTTGCGTGGGGGCTGAAAGCAAGTTCGCGCGAAGCCATGCTTCAGGCTTACAGGCAGAGAATCTCGATATCGATGTCAATGTCATGGTCGAGCGAAAAATGGGCTGTCTGATCCGCTCCTCCAATACCATGACGATTCTGCCGTGGCTGATAGTGTGGCAAGAGACAGTATCGGTGTACGCACGAGAACGTATGTTGATCAGAATAGGGAGCGTAACACCACGCATGCGGCAGACCTTTGGATAGGCCTCCCAGATTGCGTGTGATGATCTGGGGCTGGCAACTGGCATAAGTACTGGCCATTCACTGGTGTCCGTGAAGGCTTCGTATAACCTCTTCAGCCCAGTGGGCATAGAATCAGGCTGAGACATATTTTGCTTTTCCACGATAAAACATTACTGGACACAACATTCTCAACCTTCCAAGGGCCAGTTTGTGTGAAACCCCCGTGCCGGTGCGAGTGTATATATATCGTGGGGCGAGAGGGTGCGCGATTCACAACATTGGTTGTGGAGTCCTATTGACCAATAGGGCTAACCCGTGACGTTGAGGAATGCAACTCCTTTGTTGCGCGCGTGGCTGCTTATGTTGTACCACCTCGTCACACTGAGCGTTTTCGTTGGATCCTTCCTCTTGAGTAACCCGCACCATTCATTTCCGAAAGTGACAGGGATAGTCTAAGATTCATTCTAGTTCTGGGCTGACTTTGAGACTGCATAGCCCCTCGTCGTGAGCGATCGTGCTTCAGCCTTATGACGGCTGGTGTAGATGCTGAACCCTATACATCGACTCACCTTGGACTCTTTACCACCAGCGTTCATTGAGCAACCTACACCTTCATTATGTTAGCACGGTTACATTTCAGGTTTCTTAGCTATCACTCACTCGTCGCCTTGTGTGTTATTTTCTTCATTTACCAGATCTGCACTCTCCGCTCTGTCCAAGATAATATTGCAGTCCACATCCAAGGAGCGACCGCAATACCAAAGTATGAAGGAATACCCAAACTGATATGGTATAAGCTAGGGCCGCGTGGCCTCTCAGAGGAAGCGCGAAATTGGACCGATAGTTGCATCAAGCCCAACCCCGAATACGAAGCGCGCTTCATGACCGACGAAAGCAGCGACGAGTATGTTCGCAAAACATTCGCGTCTCGGCCCGACATTGTCGACAACTTCCTAGCGCTACCAGTTCCTATATGGAAGGCGGATATCCTTCGTTACCTGTTACTCTGGGACCAGGGTGGCATTTGGTTCGATCTTGACGTTTCTTGTGAGGGCATACCCATCGACGATTGGATCCCAGCGGAGTACAAGGGAAACACGAGTCTTGTTGTGGGCTGGGAGTTCGACCATGGGTGGCCGGGTAATTACCTGCACCAGATGGAAATATGGGCCATCATGGCAAACCCCAGGTCACCACATCTGATGCAGTGCATCAACGACATCCTGCAGGAGCTAGCTGATAAGACAGCTGAACACGGTATAACAGTCGAGAATACCACGATGGATATCATGGGAGACACAGTCGAGTTTACAGGCCCGAGACGTCTAACGAGTGCGGTATACAAGAGCCTAGGTGGCATGACGAACCGCAATTTGGTGGGCAGTGATACGGAGGAGCTTCTGCAGCCTAAGCTTGTCGGAGACGTGCTGTTCATGCCAGGTCGCTCTTTCGCGCCGATGACAAACACCTATAGCCCGGAAGAGGAGGCGATACTATCTCCACAGTTAGTAACCCATCACTACGCTGGAACATGGAAGAACAGCCACGGTGGCGAAGATTAAACAGTCGCAGTCGCACCAATGCATGTATCGGGGCGCAAATCGATGAAGTGGTTGATTGTGTCAATTGCTAGGTTTAGTCGATTTCCATTGTGGCGGGCGAGTCTGGTTTATCTAGATCAACAAGGGCAATCACTGGTCGATGATAGCCCGAATATGTTGATACTGGGTCAGGCTCAGCGAGGAAGCACTCTGACCCTGGAGGGATTTGGGAGTCGCAGGCGACCTAGCACAAGCTAGTGTGAGTATAGCTGGTTTGTTACTTTCGAATACATGCGCCGCTATAAGCCTAGTTGTCCGTTGTTATGATTTCATGGTCCACACTCTTCGTTATAAGAGCGAAATGGAAAACATAGGGTGTTGGGTGGAGCAACCCATTTGTAAAGCCATAATGGTGGACTTGACTAAGGTCTGGGGCTCTTGCTTAGCCATGGTAATGAACAGTGAAGAGTGTCTAAGACTCCTGATCACCGAATGGGTAGTTGAACTTGAGGAGAGCGTTCAACCCACCAACCCAATGATCCTCAGCCATGTCTTCCTTGCCGCTCGTACCACGTACGATGCTGGGTACGCCACCTTCCCAACCTCGAGCGTCTCGCTTGACTACCTCCCCGCCTATTCGGACTTCCATACCCGTGCCCAGTTTCTCGGTGATTGTATTCCCGTCAATGCTGACCTCGACTTCGCGACCGCGGTTCTTCTTGCCTAAGCGCAACGTGATTGGTGTCTCAGCGGGGAGCACCAGTGGTCTAAAGGAAAGCGATCGAGGGCAGATGGGCGTAAGGCATATCGATGATACGAGAGGGTGCACAATGCTCCCTCCAGAAGATAGCGAATATGCTGTCGATCCGGTTGGCGAGCTGATGATCATACCGTCGGCGACGGCCTCGGTAAGGAAGCGATTGTTGATGTAGACGTCGATGATCTTCAAATGCGGGCTGGAGCCACGGTGGAGGGTAACCTCGTTTAGTGCGTACGTGTCGCCCTGGCCCTCGATGCCGCCTATCCTTTTCCCGTCGGGCCCGAAGACGCCGACCTTCAGTCGGTTACGCAGCAAGATGCGCGCTGTTCTGTTGCTGCCCATAGCCTTGCCGCGTATGTCGGCATAGCTTAGTGGCTTATCCAAAGGATCGTCTGGCGATGTTGGGGGAGTAGGAGGACTCGTTCCTAGCGAATCGGACAGGGTAGAGTACGTGTCCGGCGCACCGCTCATATACACCTCCCGGAATGCTCTCTTGTATTCCCTGAACTTGAACTCGCCCAAAAAGCCGATGGTGCCCATGGCGAAGCTCAAGACTGGAGGTACGTTATCGGCATGGCTGAACAAGCTACTGGCCCTCAGCAGCGTTCCGTCGCCTCCAAGCGTGCAGACCAAGTCGGTTTTATCCGAAAGATCGTGTGGTGCGCCCTGACTCTGGGTGTATGTGTATACGGGAAACGACAGCTGCTCGTGTAGCTCTTGGGCCGTCTCAGGGTCGAAGATGACGTTGATGGATGGGTAGGTGGAGCGTATGTGCGATGTGAATTCAATGACAGACTCGGTGATGTTTGGTGTGCGCTTCTTCTTGGTGACGAGGATGTTGCGCGGCGGCGAGGGCCATTGCAGGCTCAGCAGCGTGTTGGATGACTGTATGTATGACGGCTTGGTGCGCGAGGGAAGCTCGGACACATGCCTGATGTCAAGACGACGCGAAGTCGAAGAGAAACTACGCGCCTGCGCGGGCAAAGCCAGGAGGCGCCATGGCAAGATGCGATGCGGCACAAACATGGTTGGGGAGGCGGTGCAAGACTAGGGCCAAAATTCCAGGCGATGCTGTGCGCAAAGCTTGGAAGGGTGAGGGGACGCCATGTGAGGGGACGATGACGAGTTGAGCCGTGACAGGACGGCAGCGTCCATGTCTCTCGCGCGCCAAAGGGCTTGGAGTGAATGCTAACGGGCGGAGATAATGCTGGCCCAGCGACTAATCTCCATCGTCACATGGGCGAAACGTGGGCCCTGGTGCTGGGCCTCTGGTGCAGAGGGTGAGGGTTGCGAGTGAACGCGTCCGGATATGACTAGCGCCCGCACAGGCAGAGCTATCCCTGTACGGGGTGGGGTAACTCTGGCCGGTGTCATCATGCTGGGATGGAAAGCTGCGGATCGGCAACAGCAGGTTCCAGCGCCCGCCGACAAGACACGACACGATGCGCAGAGGCCGCGACCTTGACTGCCTCCTCGCACCCTTCACGCCACTCTTCCAGGCGCGTCCAGCCTAAGACGCCCAATGCGGACCACAGCACGCGCTCTCAGCACCCATCCCCCGCCGCATCCGACCACGCCGACCCAGGTGCACGCGCACTCGTGCCTTATCTGTCATATTCCCTAGCCAAGTGAAGTGCCTACACCCTTCCTACGCATGTCCACACCTCGAGCACCATGTCCACCAAGAGCATCCGGCAGCGCCAGCCGCCCGCATCAGTCCCTGTCATCGAGAAGCTGAAGGCGCAACGGACCAAGGCTCCCGCAGAGCCAACACTCCCCGACCCCACGCAGCACCCGGCCGGCGAAGTCAAACATGGAGTCTTCGCACAAGCCATGCGCATGTGTCTCTTCGCAGCGTACTTCAACGGCAGCATCATAGCGTTAGTATTGCCCACAGCTAATGCCCCCATAGGTTACTAACGCCCTGTCTCAGTATCGCCATTACGCAATACATCGGCCTCCCGCTGTATTTCTACAGCAAAGACCTATTCTACGCATGGATGGCCATGACAAAGCAGCACTTTAGCATGGTCGTCACCACCATGACGTACTGGTGGGCGCCCGTCACGATGCGCGTCAGTGGAGACGAGAGCGTGCGAGGACAAATGAGGAAGAACAAGGACGGAATGATGGAATGCGACTTTCCAGAGAGAATGGTCCTCATCTCGAACCACCAGGTACGCCTTCCCAAGCAACCGCTTATGGGACAACGAGAGCTGACACCCACTAGATCTACACTGACTGGGTCTACCTCTGGTGGATAGGATACAGCGCTTCCATGCATGGCCACCTCTATATCATCCTCAAGGAGTCGCTCAAATACATCCCCGTCCTCGGTTGGGGTATGATGCTATATGGCTTCATCTTCCTCTCACGCAAATGGTCGACGGACAAGGAACGCTTCCAGCATAGATTGAGGAAGCTGAGCACGAGTCACAGTGGTCCACTATCTGGCTCCAATGGTCTTGATCCAATGTGGCTGCTCATCTTCCCTGAAGGCACAAACCTCAGCAAAAACGGTCGCGCTTCGAGCAAGAAGTGGGCGGAGAAGAATCAAATTGAAGATCTGAGACATGCATTGCTGCCGCGAAGCACAGGCTTGTCTTTCTGCTTGCAGGAACTGCAAGGTTCTGTCGATTATTTGTACGACTGCACCATGGCGTACGAAGGCGTCCCGTAAGTCCGATTCGCATAGCGTGAAAAAAATCGATTGCTGACTCCCGACAGCGTCGGTCAGTATGGCCAGGACCTCTTCACTCTGTACAGTACCTACTTTGAAGGCCGGCCGCCAAAGTCCGTGAACATGTACTGGCGCCGCTTCGCCATCGCCGATATACCTCTTCATGACGAAAAGATCTTCAGCGACTGGCTCCTTGCCCGGTGGCGCGAGAAGGACGATCTACTTCAGTATTTCGTTGAGAACCAGCGGTTTCCAGCAGACGAAGGCGAAACACCCAGCGTGGATGGTGGAGCCCCGCTAAAAGGTGCTGGCTGGATCGAGACTGACGTCCGGCCGAAGCTTTGGTATGAGTGGATACAAATCTTCGTCCCGACTGCTGCATTGGCGCTGATCGTCAATGTTTTCATAAAGATTACAAACATCGTAATGAAGGTAACAAGGGTGAAGTCATGAAATCAATGGCTATCGTAGAGGGTCATGTTTTGCTGCATCGCAGTTTCTGGAGTGTGGACTTTTGTGTTATGTAGACCGGCTTGATACCCTATATTCATATCTTCTCTCTTCCTTTCGACTCCAATCTCAAACAAGAGTATATCGCGTAGTGCCCACGTAGTCCTTCTGGGGCCCTTTAACATCATAGCGTACCTCCCACCAAATGTCTTGTGCGCCCCCTGTAACAAGACCCTCGCCAAACCTCCAACTCGCCGTATACAGGTCCTTGGCACAGAGATGTGTTTCCTTATTCTTCGCCTTCATTTCACGCCCATCCGCCTCAAGGTCACCCATCTCTACAAATAACCCGCCAATTCCTTCACCACCCTTTCCAACACCATCTTCAATCTCCGCTCGTGGCATCTTTTCGTCGTTGAAGAAGCGGACTGCGATGTATTCTCCCCCAGTATCATCATCCTTAGGTTTGAGTTGATAAACGTATCTCCTCCGCGCAGTGAACTTCAGCCCCGTGTCGGTGATGAAATCACCTTCTTCGGCGTAAAGAAGCGTTGGTGGAGAATTATCCGGTAGGTTGCAGGGCGTGAATGTCGCTATGCCTGCCACGGTGCCAGAAGGATGTGTGGGTAATGAGGAGCGCAGCGTGCGTTGAAAATTCCATGATGTGTTTGCCGAGTTACGTAGGCTCTCGAAGATGTTTTTGGCTATTGAAGACAAGTTTTGTTGTGGCTTTTCGTTTCGAGATTCCTCTCCTGTTTGTAAATCTTCTGGTTCTTGTGGTAATTGCCTCGTTTCTCTGATTGGTATTGGTGTAGTAAAGCTACCATTACCTATGCCATTATTCTTGGTCTGCGAGTAGGCCTTTGGATCTTGGCTTTCTAGTAAAACGGCATTGACACTTTGGAGTGTAGTACGACTCGGGTTCAGCGCCGGGTTGCTTGTCGTTATCCAGCTCAGTCTTTGCTTGATAAAGACTTTTCCGATATCCTTTGCTTCTCTTGACTTGCTTGTATCTATCTTTCCGTCTTCATTGGTGTAAAGACATAATACGGCCAGAGCTGTACCAACAGAAAGATCTTTGCCTGTTGGACAGCATACAAGGATGTTTCCGGTCGTCGGTGTTTCAAATGATGAGAAAAATTGTAGAAGCTGAGGCAGCTGAGTACGCAGATCACGCGATCCTAGTTTGCCTACTTGACATTTGAGATGTAGATAGCGCTTGACTCCAGCTTCCTTGAGCCTTGAGGTGGCGAACGGCTCCGGTGTGCAGCTTACCACCACTTCGAAGCCCGCAAGGTTCATCTGGTCACTAGCTGAGATGTGCAGTTTCGATGTCGGCTTGATCAAACTTGCGACTGCACTGCTACCCCCCTCTTCTTTGAGTAGTCTTTCGATCAGGGCAGGCACGTCTTCCTCACTCGTTTTCATCAAAGCATCTTTATGCTTCCAGAACAGTGTCGGAGTCAGCCCGTGCGACCATGCTTCGTGGTCATCAGCGGCACCCTGGATGTACCCGCTCTCTGATGCCTCGGCACCGCGCACACGTCGTGAAGCTGTGCAGAGCACGATGGGATGAAAGTCCGGAAAAGAAGGGGCTGAGTCCGGAAGAGATGATAGTTGTGTCGCCCAGATCGGCCTCAGTGGTTTCTGTAGCTTACTGCGAAGTTCCGAGATGTTTGGCTTGCAGATTTCCTTCTCTCGCTATCAATTGGTATCCTCGAGAATGTCAAGACAATATACGCACCATAAATTGTCGCACGAACCCATCTATCTTCGTCTCTATCTGCGCATGCTCACTTTCGCTCACCGCTTGCGGCGGAGAAAACAATTTCACTTCTCCTTTTTCTTCTCTGCCAAAAATAGCCCTGTTGATGACACAGCACCATATGGGAATCGTTTTGCTCAACGCGTCTGGCATACTTTTCCCCCTTCTCGTACTATCTACAACCACCGCACCCCCATAGCTCTTTACGACATCTAACAACTGTAAGTTCAGTCTTCTCAGACTGAAGCTCCATTCACCCATATGGCCGTCCGTGCTTTTGAAATAGACAGATCCGGATTTCTGAGAGGGCGGAATATACCAACTGCCACACCGCTCATTCGCCACTAGAGGCAGATCATAGGCGGACCCGACAGATGTGATGAATTCACTGTCTGAGACGATGGAGGCGAGGCGGTTTTGCGTTGATAGTGTTGAGCGGCGTAGAGAAGAGAGGGTACTGGAGAGGTTTGGTGTGTTGGAGATATGCGGAAATATGATATCGGCCTCTTTCAAAGGCTGCGACATCTTAATTGTTGGATATATCAATTTTCCAAGCCAAAACTTGACAATGTTTGTGCCGGTACAAGTCAACTGGCTGCCCCCATCTAAATACCCCGCATCGTGATTTGTTTCGAAGAGAAAGAAGCCCTGGCAAAGCTGGGATGAGAGGGACTTGATAAGAAATGGGTAGCGAGGTCCTGGAATCAAGGAATTTCGTTCTAACTACCGTTCAGCAGTTGGGTTGGGAGGCAGATCTGCCCAGGAGAAGGAATCAGATGGCCAGGCGCTAATCTATAAGAGGTTAGTGCCAAAATCACTCGACGCGAAACTTGAAGGTTGCCCAGTGCGGTGTAGAATGCTAATTTATTCATCTATAAGCCTCGCATAATCGCTAGAACAACAAATCTGCCATCTAGTCCTGTTTAACGAGCGAGACGGGCGCGATGTAGCTGTTCCGTGCACTAACGAAATAATTGACTGTAGCGATTATCGCCATAGCGCCAAACATGAGCGACGCAAAGTTCATGTCAGTAGTAGAGGGGTTCGGGACGATGGGGAAGAAAGAGAAAATGAAGGACACTACCAGGAAAGCAAGAGCAAGGTCATTGACGATGCCTCCAAACTTGCCCAAGCTCCAGCGTCGAGGCAGCAATGGCTCACCGCAGAGACGCTTCAATCGGACACATCCAATCGATATGATGTAGGAGAAGATGAGGGCAGCGTTAGAGATAGAGACGATGGCGTTTAGAGCGACATCGGAACCGAAGTTGATGCATGCGAGCACGCACGAAAATCCCAGGCAAACAAGAAGTGCATTCACGGGAATGTCCCAGCCGGCTGGTACTCGCTCAATCCACGCAGAGAACGGAAGTCCTTTATCGCGCGCGAAGGCCCAGATCTGACGCGAAGAAGCCGCAGTGACAGATACTGCTGCAAAGAAGACAAGAACGACGAGCACTGCTCCCATGATTTCTGTGCCGGTAATGGAGCCTGTGGCGTTGTATACGGCTTGGAGAACAGGTTGTCCCGTTGGCGATTCTAGGACCGAGTCGAGAGCGCCGCCGCATATCACAAAAGTGATCATCTACAACAGCGGACATGACGTCAGTATATGCGCCGTATGCAGGATTATACTCATGTTTCCTTACCATGATGCATCCAAAGATGCCATTGAAGAAGACAGCCCACATCATCGCTTTAGGAAGTACTACGGAGGCATCTTTCAACTCCTCAGACATATGGGCACCCGCATCTGGACCAATGAAGCACCACAGTGGGGTTGAGAGGCCGACTAGTGCAGACACGCCCATCGAGCTCCACTCTCCTCCATTCGTCCATGTCGTGAAAACCTCCTCCGCAGGCGAACGCTCCGCCATGGTCCAAAAAAGGATCAGGAAGGCGAAGAAGGCGAACACATGCAAGACAAGAACGATACCTTCAGCGAGAGGCAGATGTTGTGCCAGGAAGATGTTGAATCCAACCATGAGTATCAACCAGAGCATCATCAGAAGCGTGACGTGCCATAGCTTTCCGATTTCCGCGTCTGGATACGCGAGGAGGACCATCCCAATGACAAGACTTGAAAGCATTTGCGCACATGCGGGGATGCCACTGACCCATCCAACGGCCGCAGACCATCCTGGACATACTGTTAGTGCATTGGGCACAGTCACGCAGCTCAGTCCGCAACGTACCCACGATGTAACTGAGCGACTTCTGGAACGATGGTGGTGCGAACTCGCTGACCCAATGATATTGGCCACCGGCAGTTGGAGCCATCGATGCCATCTCAGCGAGAGATGCGATCATCGCTAGGACGAAGATCCATGTAATAATCATCATCCAGATGACACCTGCTGTACCGCCATTGAACAGCTGCAGAGGTGAAGACATGTAGTCAGTACGTATCTCATCTGCATCTTGTACAATTACCACTTACTCCAAAATACGCAGATCTTGCCGAAAGTCAGCAGGGGAGTATTGTCACAACAGGAAAGAACTTACAACAGAGCACTTTCCCATGTTGACTGCAGGACCACCACAAACCCGATGATGGAAATCAGGCGAAAATTTCTCTGATTGTACAATCAGCAGAGCTACTACATACAGGTTTCGGTAAGTGAAAATACCCGCAGTTCCTGTTTCTTGCCCATCCTGTGCATGTCCGAGGCATCATGAGCTGTGCCTCCCAGCGCACTGGCATGCATCCTATCCGCTGCGCTGGAACCATTGCTTCCGATATCGTACTCTTCAGCATTCGCAATTTTCGCTTCCCCAAAAATTGCCATTGTGTGAAGCGCAGGACTGCAGACCATCGACAATCAGCGAAGGTAAGGGATATCCTAATAGGAGAAAGATGCTGGGCGGAAGAACCTGTCCCAGATGCTGTTTAAGCGGCCTAGATGCAAATTCTACTGGCAAAACTTTACATGATGGGTGCAAGCCGTGTGCTAGGACTGGGAATCAGCTGCCATTCTCGGGATGATCGCCGGTTCATGTGACAGGCCATTTGGAACGTGGAGGCTTTAGCGAATCAATCCAGGAAATGCAAGCGTTGTGTAACCGATGTCACCTAGGACGCGGCTTAAGTATACAGGGATCGCAACTCAGATGCAGTTTACGCAAGGGGCGCCAATGCTGTCTATCAAAGAGGTTACCCAATGCGCCAGGCCGGTTTGTGTGCATGGCAACGTGGGTGAAGCTTGCCCAGGTAGGGACGTCGTGTATCGAGAGTTGTAGGATCTCAGATGCTTCCTGCAACTCGCGCATTCTAGTACTGATACAACAAACGTAAGCTGATTGGACGACGACAGCGTTGTAGATCGAACAAGTGGGTGGTGGATGGTGTGGGGGGCCCGTCCCGTGGCTACAGTACTAGGCAGAAACGCGCCTCGGTGTCAACCCACCGCATTTCCCCTGTTTGCACAGCAACACCACACTTCCCCGAGCCGCGTACGAATCCTTCGCGCCTTCTACGACTCCTCACACCTCTTACAGTTTCATTGATGACATGTCACTTTTGCTGCAGATCCGCGCTAGTAAAAGTTAAGCGTGCGCAAATTATGCTCCGTCATTTCGTCAAGGGAGTCCGGGTGCAGTCAAGCACTCCGCGTAGGGTGACTGCCAATACGTCGTGAGGCTCGCCAGTCGAATTATAGCAGCCTCTATATTATCACGTGTTGGGTTCAATGTACTGCAGTTCAGCACTGCGTCGAGAAACGATAGGCTCTGGCACGTCACGATATAGTGGTATATTAACATGGTTATAGACAGCCTATAGCGGACCCTATGGCATGATACACCATGTACTCCCATCTTAGCGCGTGCAACTGGCAACATGATCAATGCACTGTCTTCCGACCCAGTGGCGCCGAAGGATCAAAGGACTGACGCAGGACAGGGTCTGGCCTCGGCCACTGGTTAAACACGGAAGAACTCACGATTGGAGAGCGGAGGCAAGGTCCACGCACCTATCAAGGGGTGGCGCGACGCGAAGTCTACTGAAAAAAAGTGCTCGGTGGGCCTGCGGTTGCGTGCGAAACGAAGTCGTCGCTGGGATATAATACTAACACGGGGTTGTGATCAGCACCGCAGCTTCGGAGACGACGCCACAACCAGCCCTGTGTGCTTACGCCCCGATGTGACAACGTAAGAACTGAGCGTTGTTCGGCATACTTTGGTCCGACAACAACATGGCAGACTATGAGGTCGCGAACGTGCGGAATCCAGGACATGCAGCTACTTTGAAGTTCACCATCGGTCTCTGTTTATGCTATACACTATGTGTAGCATGTCTGCGCGGGTTTATTCGATGGGGAGCCTATGGTATTGATGATCTCTTCGTGCTACTATCGGGGGTACGTATGTGTCTCCATTGTCAGATGTGACTAGAGAGCATCGAACACCTTATTCTAACAACTTTCAAAATAGATATTCGCGCTTAGTTTCTTCGGCATCGTCTTTGCGTCCATATCTGCGGGACTTGGTCACTCGATAAATGACCTAGATCTCAATTCTGCTACTATCGAAAAACTCAATGACTACACGATAGCTAGCAACGTCCTTTGGATCATCTCGCTATGCGTCTCAAAGGCCGCGATCGTCGCCATGCTCTTACGTACGACACAAACTACATTTCACAGAAGATCTCAGTACTCTGCTGGTGCTCTGGTAATTGCTCAGTGTTTAACGTCCATCCTGCTTCTGACTGTAAAGTGCTCAGCTCAGTACGAACTGGCATGGAGCATAACCGCCGCGAACCCCGAGTGTCCCCAGGCGGAGAGAAGATGGTATGCCCTAACGGCTCTGGACGTCATGACGGAGGCTCTTCTACTATTTCTCCCCATTCAACTGGTATGGAACTTGCAGATGACTTTCCGAACAAAATTCATCGTTGTATCAGCATTTTGGCTGCGATTACCGTACGTTTTGATGTCTGATGGTGCTGTAATATCCGCTAACTATCCTATAGAACCCTCTTGTTCTCTGCTCTTCGCCAGAGGGAGATACTCAGACTTGCTGCTTCGTCCGACATCCCGCTTGCAGCTGCGATGGTGGTCATCTGGCAGGCCATAGAACTCTCATTCTCCCTCGCTGCAGCTACAATCGCTGCGCTCAAGCGATTCACGGAATCTCTCAGCACCGGGTTCGGTCATGGTGAGCTCATGCGCGTACACGGGTCGTCTCAAGGATACAAGTTGTCAGCCCGAAGTGCTACATCGAGAAACACGAGGGAATCACGGAACAAGCTACCTCGCTCGAATGCGCACGACATCTCTATCGATACAGTCTCGTCCCAGGAAGAATCCAGTCTTGAACAACATGTGACGCGAATGAAGCTTAGGCCTGAAGCACTTCAGAACACAGCTGTAGTCTCATCGCCTTCGAAAAACTTAGCCCTTCCCAGTAGGAAAAGAAATATGTCAGGATCAGAGAACAACATTATTCGTCAAGAAGTACAGTACTCTGTTCATTACGACTAGGGAACCGCGTGGCATTAGCGATAGTTGGCAAAGCACCCACGCACGTGTTCAGAGTGCCTGGCCATCGAGAAGGAGCACTTCCGAAGCGCCTTTTTCCAGTTAACACAGCTTCTTTCTCGTGGCGCTGAGAAGGTTTTCGACAACCCATGCTTCCACAACTCTAGGTGCTTGTTGCATCTTAGCTGGTTGCCCAGCTCGTTCCTCACTAGGCTAGATTCCGACTCACGGTCCAGCCTTTGCTATTTTTTCTTGGGCTGTGCACCATTCAAGGACTTTGTTAGCCCTCCTTCACACTACAACCCGCCAAGCATCCATCTGCCTACAACCTTGATCACCTTTTTCTCTGCTGCTGCCGAAGCAGCATGTAATATACTGGAGGATAGTTTGCGAGATGTGCCCTAGCCTGTGGGGTGTATCGTGTGGAAAAGTCCAATTCACGGCTCTCGTCTGATGTTCCAGATCACAAGGGATGGTTGTGATCCGTCTTCACTAATCAGACGTTTGACCAGCATTGGAGCGATACTTGGGGGAGGCTATTGCTACCGGAAGTAGACAACCAGAGCGTACGACAACATTCCTCTGGCTATAAAGTCCGTGCTATGGTATTGGTCTGTCTTTGTCAAGACGGGTGACAGTAAGACGGACGAAAGAGAGCTACAGATGGGTTTTAGGTAAGAGCAGATAATATACATAACTAATACTGTTGTGCTACCCGTAACTGGTGCCGTTCACCGACATCCAGGTCTCGGTCCTTCTGAGAGCACGTGATCGATCACAAACTCTGGTAACATCAATATAGAACGGATATGGATATATGGTTGATGCCCAGACGCAGAGCCACAGGGGTCTTCAAAGGTCATTTCAAGATTTTGTTGGATTGCAGCAGGACTGTTAGGGTCGATAAGGGAAGCCACCGTAGAAGTCTCCTCTGGGCTACTTACGATACACATGTTTTTCAGAGACTCTCCATCATCTCAAGGTTTTCAGACGTCCACACAAGCTCAGAAATTCTCCTCAAGCGCGAGGCTTGCGAGGCAATGGCGCAGAGCTTCATATTGGCACTACGACGAAATTGGAATAGGCACGCTTTTAGCGTATCTTAACTCTAATTATCCGACCACTCCGGCATCCACGAATATAAACCACCTCACTTTCCTCAACCACTCACATTTTACCCTTCGAGTGCTACTGCTACCGCCCTGCAGCATTTCCAAATCTTTCGCTGCCTTCGATGTTTCGGATGTTCTTTTTTCACACACGCCCGTCCATGGTAGTGGAAGTGATGTACCGAGAAGCGTGCCGTCGAGTTCGAACATAGACTGCAGTGATACGATGCCTTCCCACGACTTCTCAGCTGACCGAATTTGAATACTTCACCATACCGCGGGTAGCGCTAGGTGTCATGCGCGGTCCTCTCATGGGATTGTGTGCTGGCATTCATCCAGTGCGACAAGAGATCGGGGAAAATACGTGGTGCTGTTGACACGAAAAGCCTCTTACACAGCGGTACAATGCGCCTTCGTGCGGCTCTCCATATTGCGGCATCCTACCGTATTCTCATCTATTCTAACCAGGCAGCCGCTCGTGTCCGGAAGCTCTCTCGGTCCCCGCTTTCTAGAATCTTACCATAGGCGCTCATCCTGTATCACACGACTTTTGTTCAGGCATATTGAATCGGTAACGAGACTTGGCTATAATGCTGACCAGGTCCCTCGTTCGCCCCAACATTTGATTCGGAGTGTATCAGGATAAATGCAAGATTAAGGAGCCTCCAAGTTTGACCCTCATCAATCTCGACTGTCATGTGTTCATTCTAATCATTCGAGAAGGTCTTCTGCCACAGTTTTCCGGGTCGCCTTCGCGTACCTGCTTGTATTATACCATAGGCCTCTGATGTCTAATCAACAGCTGATGCAACTATATTGGACGCGCTGATTCGCGTCCTTTTCACTCCAATCGTGTCAGTCACAGCTGTAGTAATGAGGAACTCCGCCCGTACCAATCGCACGATGCAGTCAATATACCTCTTGAGGGATCAAATAGCTCGCAGATGCATTGTTCGGTCCGATATCATCTCCCTCTGAGTTCTCACCTGTGGAAACTGCAACACCTGAGAAGCGGCCATAGGATATGATCACAATTCATAAACAGATGACATGTTCGCGAGCTCTAACCGCCAATTATGATCACCCGTAGCAGGACCGGAAGTCAAGCGCGAAGATCGCGGGGTAAGAGACCCGATGAATGGCCACCCCCGCGACCCTATGGTGTGTCATGTAAACGTTCATCTATTTACCCTGTGGATTTGACCCAAGCAACCGGAAACGTAACAAAGGCGATGACAGGCAACGAGTAAAGAATGTTCTCGTTGAAGACGCCGGATTAAGTACCGAAGGAGTCGCTCAAGATACAACCTCAGTGATGGCGTATTGCGAGATGACAATGCCTTATCAGCGCAAAGCCAGCTTCATGAAAGTTTCTAATACATAGATCGAAGCCGTTCGAGGATGTTCGCTCTCGCCTCCCACTTGACTAATATCACTTGACTGGAAGTTTACTATAGTACCATGCTACTGCTGATAATCCTTCATCTAAGCCTCATATCTCAAGCGCCGATCGCACAGACCCAAGCCAAAGACTAACCTCCGCGTTCCACGGGCCTACTTCCTGATGAACAGGTATTCCAGTGCTGAGTTGGCACGCTACTAGCAGCATACCACCCAAGGGCGATATAAGAAGCTCTCGATATCCCCCAAGACTTCCAGCATCGACACATCCAGGTACCCAAGCAATCACTTCAAGACGTCAACATGAAGGGTCTCTTTTCTTTCGCTGTGGCTTCGGTCATCACCGGCGCTTTTGCGCTTCCTTCTCCTACTGAGAATGGTCCTATCACTGCTCGTCAGGCTGCAGCATGTGCCACTCCCGTCACCCTGTCCGGAAACCCCTTTGCATCCCGTTCGATCTACGCCAACAAGTTCTACTCCTCCGAGGTTGTATCTGCGGCTGCTCAGATGACTGACACTGCCTTGGCATCTGCTGCTCTGAAGGTCGCTGATGTTGGAACTTTCCTATGGATGTGAGTTTGTCAGCTCTTTCTTTGCATGATATCAAACTAACGAATGTTTAGTGACACCCGTGACAAGATCTCCGTAGTTGAGGACGGCATCAAAGACGTTCCTTGCGGCGAGATTGCTGCGCTCGTCATCTACGATCTGCCCGGTCGTGATTGCGCAGCCAAGGCCTCCAACGGTGAACTTGCCGTAGGCGAGATCGACATCTACAAGACGGAGTACATTGACCGTAAGTCTCTCTGTTCCACCGAACGCGACTCGTACTGATGACATGTTAGCCATCGTTGCCATCTTCAAGAAGTACCCCAACACTGCCATCGCTCTCGTCATCGAGCCAGATTCCCTGCCCAACCTGGTCACCAACTCCAACCTCCAGACCTGCAAGGACTCTGCCTCTGGCTACCGTGAGGGCGTCGCATATGCCTTGAAGCAACTCAACATGCCAAACATCGCCATGTATATCGATGCTGGTCACGGAGGCTGGCTCGGCTGGAACGACAACCTGAGTAAGCATGCTCCCATCACCTCCCAATGGCCAACTCATTACTAACAACGTTCCACAGAGCCCGGAGCCAAGGAACTCGCCACCGTCTACAAGAACGCCGGTAGCCCCAAGTCCGTCCGCGGTGTCGCCACCAACGTCGCCGGCTGGAACGCCTGGGACCTTTCCCCAGGAGAGTTCTCCAAGGCCACCGACGCCCAATGGAACAAAGCACAGAACGAGAAGAAGTACATCGAGCTCTTCTCCCCTGAGCTCAAATCCGCAGGCATGCCAGGTCAAGCCATCGTCGACACAGGCCGCAACGGTGTTACCGGTCTGCGCGAGGAGTGGGGCAATTGGTGCAACGTCAACGGTGCTGGATTTGGTGTTCGTCCCACAAGCAACACGGGATCCAGCCTTGTCGATTCGTTCGTGTGGGTCAAGCCTGGTGGCGAAAGTGACGGTACTAGTGACAGCTCAGCGACTAGGTACGATTCTTTCTGCGGCAAGTCAGACAGCTTCAAGCCGAGTCCCGAGGCGGGTCAGTGGAACCAGGCATACTTTGAGATGCTCGTCAAGAACGCTAAACCGGCTTTGTAAAATCGTGGCTTTTCTAAGATCTCATTGACAGAACCCATGGCATAAAGGAGGAAAGAGTTGATGCCTATCGAGGGTAAGCCATGTTGTATATAGATCGATCATTCAGTGGAAGGAAAACTCGCAAAGCAAAACTATCATTTGAGAACTTCGCTTCAACTGTCTATATATTAGCATAGTCCCAAAAAACTAAATCGAACTCCTGTTTGATCAGCACCGTCCTTTTTATCTTTGAATGTCAGTCTGTGAAGCAAAAACAAGCCGGTCTAACATTCTGTTATAGTCAGGTCTTGGTAGCGTGGTGTCAGAGTTAACGTGATATCATTCCACCGCTCTCTAAATATGCCAGTGTTTACCTAGCAAGATGAGGTTTACCTAAAGGAGTGCGCCAAGTTGATTTTTCCCTTTGCCAACCCATATGTACGTCCCAAAACTCCGCGTGTGCGCTCACGAAACAAAGCTATGCTCGCTCGCTCGCTCAGATGCCAAAAAAAACGCCTTGGTTTCGCCTCAAGATGCATCACAATCCAAGCCGGTCCTGTATAACGCTAGAGTCAAGCCGCGAGGCTCTTCATGTAGTGTAGCGTGTGCTGTCCGTTCATGTTAATTGATCTCGATTCTAACATCAATGCCATCGTCTTGTGAACTCAATGTTCCTTCGGTTGACGAGTTCTGTCGGCTTAGCGACAGCTCCAGATCCTGTCTTAGGCGTGAAACAGACTGATCGTCGGAGTCGTCCTAAGACATCCGCCTCCTCCTGAAAGGTTCTTCCTCCTCCTCTTCCTCCTTTTCTTCGTTGACCTGCAATGTCAACCATGCAGCAACTAGGGCACAGACACCACCAAAGCGCAGCACCCATGCCACACTTGTATCGCCTGCTGTCCCTCTGGGCTTTTGTAGAAGCTTGAACATAATGGCGCTCACAAGTGTGGCGATGACCTGCGGTGCTGCGATGGCGACGTTGTGAATTCCCAGAACGACACCGGCAGAATCGGCGCCTGAACCGTCATCCTCGCCCTCGGCGATGAGCTGTGATTCGCGGTCACGAGGCTTGATGATACCACGGCGGATGGCATCTCTCTTGGAGATCTCGGAAGAAATGATGGCAAACGGCGCCCAGTTGGTGACACACCAAGGAATGCCAATAGCACCGACAAGGACAGTCGCTCCCCACGTGCTACGAACGAAGAAGGTAAGGGCCATAAGTACAGTGAAGAGGATGTGCGATATGAACCAAGATCGACGAAGGGTAAGCGACTTAACCTGCAACATCTCCATGGACCTAGATATTTTGTCCATGATTGTGTTCGAGTCCCTCTTGGGGGCGGGCCCCAGGGCAAAGTAGCCGGAGCCACCCATAGAGTGTGGTGTCGTCGGTGTCATAGGCGTTGCCGGTGTTATCGGACGGTCGGGTTCTGGGGCTTGGAATGTTGGGGGAATGACGAATGGCAGGAAGACGGAGGCGAAGAATGTGGTGATGGCAAAAATCAGCAGGGCTCTGGTGCCAATTCTCGTACCATTCTCCAGAATCTCATCAATTTTAGCGTCCGGTAGATGGGGGTTCTCCTCAAAGTAGGGATCGGCATAAATCTCGCCGACGTAGGTGGTAATGTAGAAGAGGAACGGGAACCATCCAATCCAAGCGAAGAATTGAACGGCGCAGACCTTCTTGATCTGGGGAGGCAGTTTCTTGACTGAGCGCGCGAGACCCTTGAAGAAAGCGATGACACCTTCCTTCTGCTCAGCTGGTGCAGTGTCGAATTGAGGATCGCGTTCCGAGCAGGTTGAGCAACTGATGCCGACCGTGAGGATCATGACAAAGGAGGCGATAGCGCACAGGACCTTGAACTGTGTGCCACCGAGCCAGGGAAGGTAGTCTGGTAGGTTGATATAACCTGCCAGGTAGCCCAAAATATTGCCAATACCAGCGGAGCGCATGAGCCATGCATTGGCAGACTCTTGTTGATGAGTGGGTGCTACATCGACGATGTATGCTCGTACACCGGCTTGGATGACGTTGATAGCGAAATCCAGCACGTATACGAACAAGACGGCGAACAGCATGATGCATGTCTTGACACCATTTGACTCTGGGTCAGCACCGAAGAGGCCTAGAAAGCCACCGATGATTTCCCTTGCCCAAGCGAGGACCATGAGAGACACGATGGTTGCAGCGGCACCGCCGATGATGAAAGGCCTCCGCTTTCCCCAGCGCAGACGGCAGTTGTCACTCTTGAGACCGACATAGGGTTGCACGAGCACACCGGAGAGCGGGCCGGCAATCCACACGAGGGCAAGCATCGACTTGCTCAAACCGAGTGAGAGTAGGTACGGCTGTATACATGGTTAGCATATTTCGCACATGAAAACAAGCTGCGGTGGTCCGACGGATCATGCATGCATGGCTCACACAACCTCAGTGACAGTACGCCCAAGGGTCCTCATGGGCCGGATCTACATGCAGGGTCCATGTCGTCCTCGAGAAGATTCGCTTCCAGAAAAAGCACTTACGGATCCATTGGAGGTCTCTACAGACCATCCTATTTGCAGGCCCAGGCCACCAAAGGTGAGCAAGAACAGGAACCAACTGCTCTTGGTCTCCTCGACCTGTTGTTCGCCCAACCAGTCGTCGTCGTCGTCATCAGGCGACAAGGCCTCCTTAAGGAGCGGATCGACTTCGGAAGACATTCTCTGGGGGATAATGGTGGGCGAGTTCTCGTGGATGAATTCTACGTGGGTGTGGCCCTCAGTGTCTGGCCGTCCGCCCATGAGCGAGTCGCGGCCAAAAGAAACGAGCTTGGGTCGTGGCCGCGGGCGAGTTGAAGTGTCGAGTTTAGAGGGAGGAGAGGAAAGAGGTGACGACGAGGGCGAGTCCCCGCCGTCAGGCCGTGAAGACGACATGCTGGCACAGGTGGCAGTCGCGACGGGCGTGGTGCTTGCTGTGGGCTGCGGGTGCGACGTGGTTCAGCCCTGGTGGCTTACGGGCTCGCTGTAAGGGCCGGCGAGACTGTGATTGGCAGGAGCAACGGTGGGTAACTGTGAGATGCAGAGGTGGAGAGATGTGGTGAGAGGCAGGGCTACCAACAAAAGTCAAGTGGCGCGGCGGGACTTAATCCATGCTCTTTGACCGTGAAAGAGCCGCTAGTGGAACGGCTGGTGCTTGGGGCGGCGATCGATCTCGAATCTCGACCAGAGTTCACAATCGGGGGGGTGCTACTACTTCAAAGGCAGGATGGAGGGGGCGAGACGACGGCAGGTATAACAACGGCCGGGGAGTCACGATTTAGCAAGAGGCGGTGTAGGTCATGCGTCTGCCAGCCGTCCTCGGAGAGGCTTGGTGAAGGGTCTAGCAGGTCTTGCAGGTGATTCTAGGTAGATGTCATGCAGGCGTCTTAGCCAGTGTGCGTGCGATGACGTCGTCGCATCAGCGGTTCAGGACCCTTGTCCATGGCGCTAGACCGCAAGCTGATTGGCGCTCGCTGGAACGCCATGCCGAGACATGGAGACAGCTGGACGGGGTGGAAAGGCAGCGACGCGTCTATCAGGAGCTCCGACAAGTGAATACCGTTGGCACGTCGTCGCCAGCCTCGCATCGCATCGCATCGCATCGCACCGCCCTGCCGTCGCTGCATCCCACGCTGCCAGTCCGTCGCCGTGACCGGAGCACCCCGACCGACGACTCGTTGCGCAACGTTGCCTCAGGTTGCTCCGTCCCATCCAGGCAGCCCAGGTGGCATCCCAGCATCCTATCCTCCACCACCACCAAACAGCCACCCGTACCCTCGACAGACACGCAGCTCGCCCCGCGCACACGTCCAGCGACACCGCACACAATCCCGCTGTTGATGACAGCCCGGCCTTGAGTCCACCATGGCGTCAGTAATGGGGTGGTGGGCAGTCGGCCAGCTACTCAGTATGCGCTCTCGAAGCTTCCAGAAATGCCCCCCGTCCACGTACTGACTGTTGGTCGCAGAGCGCGATGCATCCGACGCAGACCCGGACGGTCAGTTCCCCGCTCCACCACACACTCGGCGATCCCATCTCTAATGCGCCCCAACAGACGAGCCAGAGGCGGGCCAGAAGGAGATATTCACATCATGGGCCCTGTCCATTCTGATCATCCTCCTCATAATAGCCCTCTTCACCAGCTACATCCTACACACGCGCAAGATCCAGGCGGTCCATGAGACGGTCCTCTCCATTTTTGCCGGTACGTTATTTTGTGCCCACACCACCCTCGACGCCTGCTTGGGCCTTTCCGCAAGCTTGGCATCCGTTGAGACAAGCTCGGCGTAGTGCGCATGGGCAAGGCCACAAAATCCGATCACTTGCAGCCTGAAGCCCATCACCCGACTAATTGTGGGGTAATCTGCACATATCCACCCTGCCATGTCGCCTAGTCCATCTCGTAATGTGATCGCGCTATGATCCTCGCTAACGCCCTTCAGGAATGGTCGTTGGCCTGCTGCTGCGCCTGACAGCAGTCAGTTCCGTGCGAGATGTCGTCAGTTTCGACTATCAGATGTTCTTCAACTTACTGCTGCCTCCCATTATCCTCTCAGCTGGCTACGAACTGCATCAAGGGAATTTTTTCCGACACATTGGAACTATCCTCACCTTTGCCTTCGCTGGCTCCTTCATCTCCGCCGTAGTCCTCGGCGTCATTCTGTTCCTGTGGACTAGAATACCTCTCGATGGCTTCAAAATCAACTTTGTTGAGGCCATGTCCGTTGGCGCCACGCTTTCGGCCACCGACCCCGTAACCATTCTCGCCATCTTCGACACTTACAAGGTAGAACCAAAGCTATATACTCTGATCTTCGGCGAGTCTATTCTCAACGATGCCATCGCCATCGTCGTCTTTGAGACAGCCCAGAAATACAAAGACGGCGCCGAACACCTCGGCATCGGTAGCCTCTTTGAAGCCATAGGTATCTTTATGGGCGTCTTCTTCGGAAGTCTGTTTATTGGTGTCATGGTCGGCATTGGCGTATCTCTGATGCTCAAATTCACCTATGTTAGGCGATTCCCCAAGACTGAGAGTTGTCTCATCATCCTTACCGCGTACTTGACTTACTTTCTGTCCAACGCCATCCACATGTCTGGTCAGTATTACCCTCCAGTCAGTACGGCCATCAGCTAACCATTCTACAGGCATCGTTTCTCTTCTGTTTTGTGGAATCTGCTTGAAGCATTATGCCTACCACAATATGTCAAGACGAACACAATTAACCACCAAGTTCGTCTTTCAGGTTACCTCGCAGATCTCGGAGAACTTCATCTTCATTTATCTGGGCTTGTCTCTGTTCACTGACGACAAGCTGGACTACAAGCCACTTTTTATTCTCATCACCGTCTTTGGCATTTGCGCCGCTCGTTGGTGTGCAGTATTTCCACTTTCAAGGCTTATCAACTCCGTCACAAGATATCGCCAGCGCCGTCGTGGTGACGAGCTCGTAGAGGAGATTCCTTATTCCCACCAGGTTATGATCTATTGGGCAGGTCTACGTGGTGCTGTAGGTGTTGCACTTGCCGCAGGGCTCACAGGTAACAACGGCGATACTCTGCGAGCCACAGTTCTCGTTGTAGTCGTCTTGACTGTTATCATCTTTGGAGGCACCACTGCGCGTATGCTAGAAATCCTGGGCATCCGCACTGGTGTAGTTGAAGAGATTGACAGTGATGACGAGTTCGATATCGAGGTCGTTAATGGCGGCACTTACACACGCAAACAGGGCCAAGCTTATGGAAACACTCCACGCCTGAACCAAAATGGCTTTTCACTCAATAATGTCAACGGGCCAGACGCTACCTACTCAAGTGGATCAGCTAGTCGGAGCAGCCCACCAACACGACCTAACGGCGCTATGCGACGTAATTCGAGCCATCCACGTGCCAAAGACGGCGCAGACCAAAACCTACTCAGCCCCGCTGATAGTGGTTCGGCTGACGAGGATGACATCGATCTTGACCTTCCACCTAGCGCACGACGCTCGCCCAACCGCGGTCCGTCACCATTACTGAGCGACCCATCTCCATACCCGACGTCAGGCATAAGGCCGGTCGGTGCTGCAGAGGGCTCGAGTAGGGTCGCAACTGCCACAGGCGCAGTGAAGCAGCTGTTCAACGAGATCAGTCACGATCCCGCGAACGCTTTCAAGCAGATTGACGACGGCTTCCTCAAGCCGCATCTGCTGCTCGACCAAGGCAAAGGCCCAGGTCCGAGTAATGTTTGATTGTACTAGTAGACGGATGGGAAAGAAGCATTCATGGCGTTTGACTCGTCTTTGGAAATACTGGCTAGCGACTTTGTTCGCCTGGTGCATAGCGTAGTATGGCATGAGTCATGATGAAAAGCGGTCACCGCTATTTCATCTCTCAGACTCGTATATTCCATTACATGTAGACTGCAAATTCAATCCGATGCGTATTTCAATCTGACAGGGCGGGCACTCCAAAGATGTAAAGCTGAAATTGGAATCACATAGTACAACATTTTACACTCAAGCAGCAGTATCGAATCATGACACCAACGGCATTCACTATAGTAAAGGAAATTGGGAATCAAAGTAATACCTAATAGAGGCCTGATTTCATCAAACCAACACGAAAGAATAAGAAAACAACGCAATTGTCCTCGTGCTCCTTTGCCTGTTTTCCCCAACCGCCCAGTCGTCTCCCTATGGGCTATCAATGGACTCTATCTTGCACAGAAGTTGCTCGTCCTCAGAATCTTCCCATGACCCTGACGTATCGTGACTGACTTCAGAACCATGACTGGCCTAAGGTCCGGGATATCTGTCGAATCTCCAGATACGCGCACGCATGTCACCACTGCCGGTAGCGAAAACGCCTCCTGTGGGGCTAGGGGCTACAGAGATGACTGAAGGAACTTTGTTAGCGACTTGTGCAAGCCTTGAAGCTATCTCAAACGTACCTGAGTTCTTGTGTCCTTGCAACATGAGTTGCGCGACACCAGTGTGAGGGTCCCAGAACTGGACACCACGGTCTTTGGAACCACTCAGTACCCAGTCACCATGTGGGGTAAGCGCAACACTGAGCACAAAGTCCTTGTGACCCTCAAAAGTGCGGATGCACTTGCCGCTCGGCTGGTGCCCGCCTGGGACAAAGCGGTTGTTGGTTGACAACTCCCACATCTTGATTGTCTTGTCCAGACTGCCACTGACAAGACGGTTTCCGGAAGGAGCGAAAGCCACACTATAGACACTGTCCTTGTGGCCGTGCTCGCCTTCGAGGCGTACAACAAGCTGTCCAGTCTGAATGTCCCAGACGCGAACGCTCTTGTCGAGCGATCCGGCTGCAACGTAGAGGTTGTCTGGAGAGATCGCCACAGTGGTGACACCGTCCTCAATGGAGAAGTTGGAGACTTGCATGTTGGACTCAAGATCCCAAAGACGGACACTCCTATCACCACTACCAGATGCAATGATCTTGCCGTTCCTGGCAAAGTCCAGCGAGTAGATGTCCTGCTCGTGTCCAGTGAATTGGTGCTTAATGGTGCGGCTAGCGATGTCCCAAACCTAGCTAGGCGTTAGCTGTTTTCGAATTTGTTACGTGTCGAGATGACTTACCCTGATGACCTTGTCCTCAGCACCGGTTGCGAGGTATTGCCCGTTAGGACTGAAGCAAACACTCCTGATGTACAAATCGCCATCCTCGGGAAGGCTTCCGTCCTGAAGATGCGCGACAGGGTTACCAGTCTCGACATCGAAAATCTGGGCCGAGCGGTTGCAACCAGTCGCAACCCACCTACCATCCAAACTGAAGCGTACACAGCAAACCACGCTCTGATGTGGCAAGTTATGGATCAAGTCGACATCAAGCACGCGCCTGGAGCGAGGGTTGAAGACAGCAAACCAATCGCTGCCCTCCTTCTTCAGGTTCTCTGGCAACTGCTCGATATCTAGGTCAGCCAAGACGTTGCTCTGGCTGAGAGGAATGTGGTTGGGCGCCATCAAAGCATTCGGCTGCTGATGATGGTTGGGGGGAGGAGTTGGTCGCGGGACTTGAGGCGATCCGGGATACGGAGCAGGGTTGTTCTGCTGAGGAGTCGCGGGGTTGGGAGGACCGTTGGGAGGACCGCGAGCAGGACCTGGACGCTTAGCACCAGGGGAGGCAGTGGGCTGTGGAGGCTGACCATAACCTGCGACGTATTAGCCAAGACGAAGTTGATTGTAGGGACTTATTGAAACTCACCATTTACAGATGGACCCTGCTGGTAGCCGCCAAAGTGCTGTGGTGGGCCAGGAGCAGGGTTGAGTCCGGGCGGGCCTTGGGGACCTCCCAGTTGCGGCGGCATGCCATGGCCCTGGGGCGGCTCCTGTGGGGGAGGTGCCAGTCCCGGGCCACCTTGGGCAGCACTGCCTGCCATTATGCCGCCGAACAGGTTACTAGGTCCATGGCCAATCTGAGGTGGCTGAGGCTGCGAGGGGCCGTGGTGCTGCGAGCTCTGACTGGGGCCGCCGCGAGCTTCAAGTTCGCGCTCGAGCTGGGCGATGCGCTCCTCGTATCTACAGTGCAAGTCAGCATCCAAGGTACTGCAGCAGTGTTCCTGAGCGGTGAGTAAAGATGGGCTCACTTTGCTTTCATCTGGTTGTGTGATTGTTCGAGCGAGTAGACCTTGCCGCGGATCAACTCAATCTCCTGAATGTGGCGGGAAACTGGGAGAAGCAGTCAGCAGCTGTTCATGGGAAGATATCGAGCTTTTCGCAATAAGATGCAATCAAGGACATGCGCAGAAAGTTTGCTCCGGAGATGGTTCCGCGTCGAAATGCGGCTGCCTCAATGCGCGGCTGAATAGCATGGAGGAGACTCACTTTGGCCTTCGGCATCGATGCTACGCTGCGACTCGGTTTCAAACTCGGTCTTGATGTTGTCGAGCAGCTGATTGAGGCGTTGGGCTGGCTCGTTGCCTTGGGGGCCTCCCATGACACGAGGAGGGTAGTGGTTCATGCTGGCAGTTGACGCGCGCCCGTGGAGGATGATGCGAGGATGAGCTGTCGATGTGCTTCGCGTCGTGCGCTATTCAGACGCGAACAGCAGGGCGCGGTATGCGACGGGGTCGTGTGGATGCCTGGTGGTCGCAAGGCTGTTGTCGCACAGCTAAGACGAGCTATCTAAACTGGTGCACGTTGACGGGGCCGGCCCTTTGGTGGGCGCGACGGGTATCGGATGGATGGATGGTGAATGAAGCCAGATAGGGATGCAGACGAGTGCAGTTGGTGTGGTGGCTGTGAGATCGCTGAGGTTTGAGCGCAAGATGGGTGGGTCTGTGGTTGGTGCTTTTGCTTGGCTTGCACGGAGGAAGCAGCGTTTCAAATCCGGCAGGCGGGAAACATCAGCATCTGGAGTTTGCGCCGAGCTGGTCTTCAGCCACGACAACATCTCGCACCACTGGCGCTATTGGGACATGCGCCCGTGGTACTCTCCCTCCCCGCATCCGCACCCTCTCGTCCCAAGGCCTCGCCTGCATCTCCTCTCCCATTCGTGTCGGGCGCTCCGCTCCACCCCATCATGACGGACCCTTGCTGGCACTAACGCTGCCGTTCCCGCCACGCTAGAGGGCATTTGGCCAAGTTGCATATCACACGTGTTTGTCCTGTTTTGGCACAATGGGCTTTCTTGCCTTACATCAGCACCCCAGTTGTATGTCGACTCAAACGACGTCGTTCCACAGCAACTTGCCACCCCCACGATATGTTCTAGCCAGTTGCCCATATGCTGCAATCCCAAGCGTCTTTGGAAGATCGACTGTGCATATATAGTCCAATGTGTCATGGCGGCCCAGATTATGCAAATTGTTGGAGCCCGGAGCTAGTCCTTGCTTTCTACGTTGCATGAGACCTTATATCCGTATCACCACCCTTCACATTGAACAACGCTGTCTCCCGTTTCCACTCCATCTGCGGTGCTAGTTCACGTGTAATCACGATGGTTACACGACGCGTTTGGCGGCTGAATCGCACCTAGGCAAATCCATGGCACGCGGCCCCTCGAGCGTCCCGTGCTGCCGGCTGATTCGCCCAAGACAGCCACGGAAAACTCGTTCATGTCAAAGGACGCACTCTTCCACTGCATCGAGACCAACGCAGCAAATCCCGCAACATGGTCGTCTTCGCCGTTGTGCCGTGACGAGCTGACAAGCGTGTAATTGTCGCTCTTTCCTATTCGTAGTCACACGTGAAAGTGCCTAGCGTCGTCGCGTAGGCTTGGAAGCCATCTCGGAATGCTCACCTCACCAGATCTCGGCCCGCAGTAAGGGCTATCGTCGCGTCACCCCATCCTCCTGTGTCTATCTTTTTGCCTGCTGGTCGCCACGGTGAATGCACCCTGTGATCTACATCTTTCCATTCACCGTTTTCCAACAGCCGACGTTGCGTATCCTCTTCAATGCGTGATCCCACGGCCCGTACCGGCCTGTGGTCTACTGGCTACCAGCAATCGCCACTGCTTCCTGGTGTGATATTCATGCTGCACTTAGCATGCTCGCAATCGCCGTGGCCGCTTCAATGTCCGTGGCAGTCACAGGCTACTGCCCAGACTCACCATAAAAGCGCTGCACTCGCCTGTGGTTTTGTTCCAGTACAGAACATTCTTCGCTATCATCGAAGATTGCTATTATTTGCTACTTGTTATCAATCGACTAATCGCTACATCAGACTTTCGACTTCATTTTCTTACAGAACCAACTCCAACACTAGTGTTCACCATGTCGCTCCAACGTGACGATACTACCGAGCAGCGGCCCACACATATGCACCGACGTCAGTCGTCGACTTACGAGCGACGTCAGCTCAGCATCACCTCATTCAAATCATCTGATGCACTCCACAAACTCAAGGAACAAAAGGGAACTCTTGCGGCTGCTGTCGAGGTCAGTACCACTAAATTTACATCCTCAAGATTTTCTGCTAACATGTGGATTTGGCAGCCTCTCTATGCAGGCCTTGCTGTCGCTCAATCGGACGATGGAGACTTGCGTTATTGCATCGCTTTGCATGATGGAACCTACACCATCAACTGCGAAAGCCAATCCTTAGAGCCGCCTAGGACTGTAGGTGACGGCAACTCATCGAACGAATCATCCCGCGTTGGATCAGGAGTCTCCACACCAATGTCTGTTGGGGACGTTTCTGAAGCTCTAGCCAAAGCCTTCATCGAATTCCTTAGCAATTATCGGGAGAAGAATCTGTCCAAGCCTATGGGTGCTACTCTGACGACCCATCTCGCTAGCCTAAGCCCCCATCTTGCTGTACGCCTGTGGACCGAACTAGACATCATACCATTCATCTTCCCTGCCGATGCGAAGGACAAAGACGAGATATCAATCCCTCTTGATCAGGAAGCCGAGCATATGGCCAGGAAGACAGTAAAGCAATTCAACGTAAAGGGCGAATTACCTGTTCAGATGGGCCATCGCCGCCAGGTCTTGGTTGATCTTGACAGTCGAGTGCACATAGCCGAGCGCGAAAGCTACGACTCTACTGCTAGAGCAGATACTACAGGGGCTGCAACTATGCACTACGCCAACTCGCTAAAGCATAGAAGGACCAAGATCGCATTTTTCAACAGCACAGCACAGGGTGGAGGTGTTGCTCTTATGAGACATGCTCTGATGAGATATCTGAGTCTTCTTGGCATAGACTGCAGATGGTACGTTCCATACGGAAAGACGGATATCTTCAGGATTACCAAGGACAATCACAACATCCTCCAAGGTGTCGCAACGACCGGTGAGCGTCTTACCGACGACAAGATCGCCGCGCTCGATGCTTGGGTAGTTGAGGAGGCTGAGAAGTGTCACTGGGTTGAATTTGGTGGCCCTCTTTCGGCTCGTGAGAAGGGCGGCGCCGATGTGATTATTGTTGATGATCCTCAAATGCCGAGTCTTGTCAAGATTGCCAAGGAGAAAGATTCCAGGTCAGTATGCCTAATTTGCTGCCAAACCTTTGTCATTTCTTCTGTGTGCTAAATCAGTCTTCTAGCCGTCCGGTCATCTTCCGCAGTCATATTCAGGTTCGAGCTGACCTGGCTGATCAGGAAGGGACCCCTACATCCGAGGTGTGGAATTGGATTTGGAACCACGTCAAAGACTGTGACGTCTTTGTTAGCCACCCTGTTCGAGCTTTTGTACCCAAGACAGTCACACCTGAAAAAGTTGGTTACTTGCCTGCGACTACAGATTGGCTAGACGGCCTGAATAAGCACATGCACCCATGGGATGAGCAGTACTACCTTCATGAGCTCAAGGTTCAGTGCTTTGCGGCCGGCATGCGTCAACTGGCTCATCCGGACCGCAAGTACATTGTTCAGATCGCTCGCTTCGATCCGGCGAAGGGCATACCAGATGTTCTCGCGTCATACGCCAGTTTACGCAAGAATTACATGAAAGACACGCCTCTTGCAGATATTCCGCAGCTCGTGATAGCTGGACATGGTGCCGTTGATGATCCCGATGCTACCAGAATCTTCAAGGAAACCGAGACTGCTCTCAACGGAGACTACAATGAGTTCAAGGACGATGTCATCATCATGCGCATCGGCCCATCAGACCAAATGCTTAACGCACTCATGTCCTGTGCCCACATCGCCCTTCAGCTCTCCACTCGTGAAGGCTTCGAAGTCAAGGTCAGCGAAGCGCTCCACAAAGGTACTCCTATAATCGCAACTCTCGCTGGTGGTATCCCTCTGCAAGTTCAAGATGGAAAATCTGGCTTCCTAGTTAAGCCTGGTGATCACGACGCTGTTGCGAAGCACTTGTACGATCTGTTCACCGACTCGGAACTCCACTCAACTATGTCAGAGTACGCGAGCAACCACGTTAGCGATGAAGTCAGTACTGTGGGTAACGCGCTGGCATGGCTTTATCTGGCGGATGAGCTCTCCAAGGGTGAGCATGTCGCGCCTAATGGTCAGTGGATCAACGATATGGCGAGGCAGAAGGCAGGTATCCCATATCGGAAGGACGAGGATATTCTGGTTCGCGATGTGAACTTGACTGGTAACTGAAAATGAATGTCTTTGGGCTCTGTTAGATACCACTGCATGATTATGAGGGGGACGAAGGTAGTTTCCCTCGTTTGATGACACCACACATACTACTATTCTATCTTCCAGAAACATCAATGTGCTGACTTTACTCGCTTTTGGTACTAGCTTCTGGAAGATTTTCGGTGTCTCGTTCTGGTTCATACGTCCGTTTCATGCTGTTTTAGTCCAGTCTTTTGTGCTCCCATTCCCATGTCTCTATTATACATAGTCTTTGAAACCATGTTTTGCCATGACCTCTCATGTTGCCCTCCTCCAAGGGCAAGCCTTACGTGCAGTACGATAGGAATTCCACAGTTTCTTTATATATTCGTTCCACTCAGAATTGCTCAGATCCTGGGTTTCGAAGTGGTAACGGACGGATCTCTTAACAGTGTACCGCTTCGTTCGGCGACATCAAACTCTCTCATTCTCGTTGTTGTCTCGGTCACCTCGCAAACCGTGCAGTGCAGCTCAGTCGGGAAATCGAGAAAGTGCAATGGTTGTAGAGATAACATGAAGGCAGAGAGAGAGGATATTCGAGATAAATGAATACGACTGGGAGATTCATATGCTGCAAGCCTAATCCTGAAGAATCGTTGACAGGCTAGTGATTTGATGAGAGGAGGACATACATAAACCAGTAATTTCTATCTAACGACTTGCTGCGACGCAGGAGTGAGAAACATAAGGCAAAGCTACTCCTGCCAAAAATGTCCATCATTTACTCATCAATGTTCACTACCGGGATACCTTCCATGTTTATGCGAAGGGCGAACAATCTCTTCATATGACGCGGAGCTGTGTTGTGTGTTTCTCACATAAAACAACGACATGTTCACACCCTCACCACTTTCCTTTAGTGCACCCTGGCAGCCACTAACAACTCAGCCAAATCGACCTCAGATATCAGCGACAAAGTGGAAGCCACCCCACCTGTCGCGAAACAACATGCCGCCTCCCTTCCCATCGCGTCCTTGGCTAACCCGCTTCTCAAGCATCCAGTCACCTTCCTTGCTAGCATCATACCTCTTAATAGGTCCGATCTCCCGGTCCTCTGCATCAACACCATCCGCCGCACGTACACTGTCGTGTTGATACCTAACATACTCGCTGAAGCGACTGTATCCCATACCATCACTGCTGTCGCGAACGGTCAGACGCTGATTAGGATCTAGCATGAAGCGCGCTGCAAGGGGTGATTCAATAGAGCAGCTGCGTGGAGTAGTACCGCAGCCAGAAGGGAATCCAAGACGCGCCTCGATGGAACTGGATTGACTACGAGGTGTGGAAGTCGTCGCCGTGCTTGCGCTACCACGGTTGCTGGACAGAAGAAATATACGAGTACCGCTTTCGCGCATAAAAGCTAGCGTCTCTTCATCGAGACTATCTGGCCGATGAGGACGAACAGGTGGCGGACCGGGGCGCTTCTCGAAAGGTACCGTGATAGGGTTCTCTAGGATAGGAGGACTGCAGAGCTGTGCCATAAGTCGAGGGCGCGAGATGGAGATGCTGCGGCCTTGAGCCTTGGGATGAGATATGCGTGACCCACGAGCTGCGGCTGAAGGTGTAAGAATAGGACGACGTGACTTGGAAAGTGACACGCCTTTCGGAATCTGTGGGACCGGCGGGGGCGGTGTTGACTGCGTAGAGCCGCTGTCCTTACTGCCTCCGAACAGGCGCGAGCCTAGAATCTAAGTCAATATTGAGCCGACATGTGTACAAATAGTGAGTAACATGCCTTTGCCCTTCAGCAATGCGAAGCTGGGGCGAGACTTAGGTCGATGCAAGTTAAAACCACCATTGGTATGTTCGTGCTCTGACATAGCCGAAGAGTTGCGCGAAACTGGTAGAGGTGCATTTGTGTTTTCCTCGTCGTCATCATCATATTCGGGCAAGTTCTCAAAGCTATCGCCCAGTTCTGTCGGGGTTACACGGTCGGAGACCAGAGCAAACAGTGTCGATGACGAAGATTTGGAAGACAGAATGGGCAGTGGCGTATCCGGCTTGTCGTTTCTGCGCCGGAAGAACCGCGATGCTACGAGTTTGAGTCAGTTACATGCCTGCGCCTACATGCAAACGAATACCCACGCTTGTTCTTCATACCAGCATCTTGGATCCCAGCGTCAAAGTTGACATCTGAGCTATCGGTAATGGCGGTCTTCTCATCACGACTTGGGCTATCTCGAAAGAAGTGCGAGGCTGTATGTCCGTTAGCACTGATCGTTTGCAGTCGGTATGCGAGAGCGGGAGTCGCAATCGGTCAGATACCGTGCAGAAAGTGTCACGACAGCTCACCTTTGCTCCGAAGACTCTTCATCCTGATCGGTTGCGATGACAGTTATAACAAGTGGGGGTTGAATCAGTACGTCGGATTAGCTAAGAAGTACAAATATCGCGTAGTTGCGCGTGTTAAGCACCGAAACGAGTGGGTGGTGGTGCGAGGAATTGTGGATGGAAAAGGGAGCGATGACGATAGTAGAGTGAGCATATACCGTTTGGAAGGTTTCACGGTGAGGCACATCGCGCTCAGCTCCAAGCTAGGACTGGTCTGTGGTACTAGTGACGTCGAATAGTGAAAGTGAGAGCCCAGTCAAGCTCCTACCACGGTAAGCCAGCTGAAGAGGATATAAGAACACGAGAATTTAGAGAAGATTGAGATGCAACTGACAGGCTTCGGACCGACAACGTTGACCTCGCCCATCGACTGATCGGCTTTATTGTCTCCTACTCTTGCCCATGTCATCTGTTGTTCTGGCTACGGATCTTGCACGATGAAAACGAGATACTATGAACTAAAGAGAAGGACATGTCATGTATCAACATCTCACCGTCATGAAAATGTGCAGAACAAAAACCATGTTTGGACATGAAAACCCTGTGCCTCCCAAGAGAAGCACCAGAGCCGAGCATCATGCCCTTATATTTTTTTCTTGATTTTTACTTATGGTTTGTGGTTGTGTAGTAATAGTAGTCGAGTTGAGTCGTGCCTGGATCCAGATTGTGGACAGCAGAACATTGTCGGAGGAAGCTGACTTCTCACAGCCCGTCGAGACAACCTCAAAAAGTGCCTAGGCACCGTAACATGAAACGTGATGCCAGAGAACGCCTAGTGTCCAAGTCTTGGAATCCCATGTCCATGCACCCATTCATGAACAGTGACGAAAGAAACGCTTGCGCTGGACAAAAGAACCTGAGACGACGTACCCGTCAATGCTCACTACAACCATGAAAACAGGCGACAATAAGTCGCTCGTAACGCCGTAAACTCCAAATGAAATGACAGTACAATCATGCGCCATGAACATGAAACAAATAGAAATCCCATATGAACAAACGAAGGTAATGGACGAAATATATGTCCGAATATGAGAAATTTCGTGAAGACGACAGGCTACCTGACGCTGGACTCGCCAGCCGGATTGAGATTAAGCAGACGTTTAAGATCCTGCTCCAGGGACAACGTATCGGAAGGGGTAGAGGTTTTCATTGGTGAAGCGGTAGCGGCAGGTGCTGATGTCTTGCGTTGTTTGGCTGCGACCGAGGAAGGGACAAAGGACATCATGCTTGTAAGAGGCTTCGCGGCAGACGCTGGAGGGCCGTTGGCGGCAGTTTTGCCAGGTCCAGGCATGTTGCCTCTCGTCTGATTGGAATCTGGGCGAGGTTGGTGTGGCTGTCGACCCGGGGTCCTCCTGCGGTTGTTAGGGCTCTGCTGATAGTGTTGCACAAAAGGTGTTGATGAACGAGGCGCATTGGGGTGGCCTCCATTGCCGTTTCCTGGTTGGATTCGAGAGAAAGCGTTGGGATCCATCATTTGAGCTGGAGGAACAGAAGGAAAACCCTGGAAATCGCCTTGTCCAACCATAGGAGACTCAGCCGAGATCTCAGTGCGAAGACCAGAGTTGCGTTTCTTTGCTGAATCGCCCTTCGCTGCTTTGAATAATGGGGAGAGGTTTCGGTTGCCATAGAAAAAGTCAGAGTCTTGGTTCGGTGGCTGTGTCTGCGGTGTGGTGGGCCCTGATGCATTCTGGGCAGGATGCTGGCCTCCATGGAAAGGTGACGGTGTTTGGCCTGAAAAGCCTTGCGGTCCTTGAGCATCTGGACGAGGCGGTGTTGCAGAAGGTTTTTTCTGCGACATTGAAAGCCGATTGAATAGGTCTTGCATAACGTCATTGCCGTTGCCCTGCTGTTGCATGTCCTTTAATTGTGGGACCTGGTTGGGATCTGTAACGGAGCGGTGCGAGGCTGGTGATGCTACAGGGGGAGGAGACATGTGCGCGTGTTTGCTTTCACCATCGAGCTCTATGGGGAAAACGCCGTTCGTGGAATGGTAAGAATCATGCTTGAAGTGCTGCGGTCTGGCTGCATCCACTGGGTTGAGAGCTCCGTACGATAATGGGCGTCCATGGTTGCCTTTGGCTCTCTCCGCTGCATCGGCCTTGAAAAGCAGATCCAGTGGGGACTGTTCATCACGAGGGGGAACGGCCACCGGGGCACGAGAAGGAGAAGCAGAAGGACTTGGAGAAGCAGAATCAGAACTATCTTCGGGCGGAGGTGTTGGAGGACCAGCACGTGTCTTGGCCGGCACAGAACGAGAAAGAAACTTGGGTATAGGCAGAGCAGAAGGCGCAGGAGAGGCATGAAAAGTAGGTCCAGCGTAGGCAGCCTGGACCTTGGCCGGAGTAGCAGACGGGTTGATCGGAACGGGCTCTGATTCTGGAGGAGAGAAGACGCGGTCGATGGACGGGTGAGACTGGTTGGGCTTTCTCATGTTGCGCGGTCCCGAGGGTAGCTGCGCGTCCTCACCCGAGTAGGCCGCGCCTTCCGCGTGGGCAAGTTCAGCGGGCATCTTGCTCGGGGAGGCTCCTGCTCCATTGTGGTGATTCTGGTTGTAGCCATTGTGTGCGCGGTTGCCTCGCGGTTTCCGTTGCGACTGTCGGCCCTGGTTGGTGTGCGGTGCCTGAGCTGGGCTCTGCGGCTTGCCCCGAGGAGCGCGTGGAGAGGCAGTAGTCTGTGCCGTCGACATGTGAGGCGCTAGTTGTAGTGTATTGCTATGGGGTGAGTGCAAGTTATCTAGAGGGGCGCAGGCGGACGCTCTTGGTTCGTGATATGCAAGTGGGTTGGAAGGTGGGCGATGACGCGGTCTGTGTCTTTGTCTGTGTCTGATAAGGTAGGATTGGGTAAGGGTTAGATGTTGAAGTGGTCATATCCAGATTCGCGGGGTATAGATAGGCACGCGCCGTCGGGTGAATTAGGGCGAAGAGTGAGGGTGTCGTGAGCAGAGTCGGTCGCATCGACGGTGAACGGCGCGGAGGTGGCTGTGATCAAACAAGGCTGATCTCGGCAAGGCGCACTGACGATTGCGGCGACGTAGGGCTGAGTGGTTGGCACCTTGGGTATGATGGAAGCGGAAGTTTGTTGGACGCCGGTCTCGGGATCGTGACAACTGTTGGGGTTTCGACGTTTGTTCGTCTGGAAAGATTTTGGACGTTTAGCGAAATAATCGGTATTCTCGTTCATCCGTTACGTCGTCCCAGAGTTGGTCAACGGGGCCGGTCTTGGCAATTTGGAGCTCGCAGCTGGAGCCTGACGCCTGCACACTGCGCCTTCACCTTGTAGACACACTGGCACCACCTTAACAGCACTTCGCCACTCGACATTGTTCTGGAAGCCGTGAGAAGTACTTCTTCGAACGCCACAACCTGCTCACCGCCCACGACCGCTCTCGCTCCACCTCGCGAGCTTCAACTTCAACCAAGTCCCCGCAACCCCCGCTACACCAATACACCAGACACCAATGGCGGACGTCGACATGGCAGATGCGCCCCCGGCGAAGACCAAGACGGGCAAGGCCAGTGCTGCTGGAGAGGGCGACAAGAAACGGTTTGAGGTCAAGAAGGTAGGCATTACACGACAGACGACAACACAGGATGGTCAAAGCTAACATTACTTAGTGGAACGCAGTCGCTCTCTGGGCTTGGGATATCGTCGTCGACAACTGCGCCATTTGCCGTAACCACATCATGGACCTCTGCATCGAATGCCAGGCCAACCAAGCCTCTGCCACCAGCGAGGAATGCACAGTCGCCTGGGGCATCTGCAACGTACGTTCCGCGACAAGGCTTCTGTGGTTCATACTAACACATGACAGCACGCCTTCCACTTCCACTGCATTTCACGATGGCTCAAGACCCGCCAAGTGTGCCCGCTAGACAACCGAGACTGGGAGTTCCAGAAGTATGGTCGATAAGCGCTGGCGAAAGCTGTAGAGAGATGGGTTTCAACAGGAACAAACATGGGTCTTGGTTTCATTCGGTCGTCCGGCGTTAGTAGGGCCTTCACAAAAGGGCTATGAGAGCACCAAGTAGCAGCATAGGCGGTCATCATCATCGAATCAGATTCCATTACGATCATGAATTGTGTTCTGAGCATGCATTTCCTCCTTCTCTTGCTACATGCGACCAGCCAGCTATCCGATTTTCTGCCCGTCCACGTCGATGTTGTACTGTGGCGTTGAGTTGTACGGTGGGAGCCAGTCTTCGGGGTTCTTGTTGTAGAACGGCCACGGGGGTACGACAACGAGGAATGTGAGGGCGGAGCCGGCGAGGCCAATGTAGAGTGCTAGTCGAATGTCCTGCTGCAGGAAGCCAACGATGAATGCAATGATCTACACCAGTTAGCCTCTTGAACCGCGTCTTAGATAGAGGGATGCCATACACCAGCCGCTCCGAGCAGAACGGTACTCAGCATCTCTGCAAGCCTCTGGCCCTCGAAGTCCTGTTCGTGTTAGCCAATGTGTATAGTAACGCAGTAGCGTTGCTGCCGCGTACAATCTGGCCCTCGAACGCGTCGCGCGCTTGCTCTAATAACTGGTCTGCCATGCTGGTTGGATATGCTGGTTTGGGATATGTGTCCGTGGTGTTGCGACCCAGGGCGAGTGCAGTGCAGGTACCGGCTATTACTGGGGACTGTCTGTTACGCAGAGTCCGGCCTAACTGTCTTGGAGAGGTGGCATGTTCACGAGCCACACAGGCAACCTGGGAACGCAGGGGTCCGTAGCCGCACTAAACCTTACTAAGAACGCCTCATGGATTCACGCCCAAGACTGACGCAGCGACGATGTGGTACCTGGTTCCCAGCACGAAGGGCAAGAACCAAGAATAATTAGGCCGCGGAATCGACGGCAGCAGTTTCACTCGCGAACTCCCCACAACGGCTGAGTTCTGGACGCGTCACATGCACGTCTGGGAGCGCTTCTGCCCAATCAGCTTGGGCCAGTAGGCTCCGTCTGCACAAGCTTTTTCCTTGACCCATCGCTCAACCGCCCGTATTTGAGTCCCGCACCGTCCCTCAAACAACATTCCCACCGTCCGCCTGGACTCCCACCCACTGCACCTCCCATCGACTTTCAACCGCCTCACGATACAGACCATCAGCAGTCGCAATCGCGCACCCTCCATCTGTCCGGCACTTATCCCCGTGGACCGCCATCCACCACCGCGACTGATCGCTCAAGGGGTCTTTGTTTTTGCAATCATCCCCTTACACCGCACCTTCTGACGCTACGGCGTCCATATCCATACAAACCACCAAGTTGGCGGGACTCTACCTCGACAAGCTTTCCTTCATCCGCCCCTTGCTCGGCACAAAAGCCTGGGTATACGGAGGCGACCACAAGCCACCATAACTGGGTCTAACGACAAACACTACACATTCGCTACTGCATCACCGTCTTTACAACTCTTCCTATTCCCACAGAGGGTGTGGAAGTCTGGCTACCGGACTCTGTCTTCCATCGGCTTAGTGTAGGGGACGACCCTACGCGAAGCCATCGTCAAGTTGAGCGCGCCTTAGAGGTGAGCGCTCACAAGCGACTCGCCCGCTTCTGTGGTTCTTGCGCTGCAAGAAGTCGCCCAACACATCACCAATCTGGCTTAACCAAAGCACACGACATCTGATTCGGAGTCAAGCTCATCGCCGCCTGAGTCGCCAATATGACTGACACTCCGAGATCCGAGACCCAGACGAGGTTCAGCACCCCGGTGTCTGACCTCGACGACCACCGCCACCAGCCTGCATCTCTTCCACGAGCCGATGCTTCGTCGCCTCCTCGCTCGCGCCGACCAACTTTCGCAAGCGTCCAGGGCCAAGACCGACCCAACATACTTCTTCAAGTCAACGAAGCCCTTGAGGCAGACATTACTCGACGCGATTTCGAAAGCGCCGTAGTCGATGACGACCAACACTTGGCTCCCGACGCCTACATTCGCCGCGGCTCTCTAGCACACAGCCCTCAAGCCCGTCGAGAGACATTCAGGCGTCCGCGCGACCCGGCAATCGAGCGCCTGACTAGGAGCAGGGCTTCTTCGACGACTTCGCGGTCCGTCTCTCCTCCCAACTCTGTCGACGCATTCGCTGGTCCTCGGCGCCGCGACCGTGCCAACACTCTCCAGAGCCACGCAGGTTCCGAGCTTGAGCTTGGATTGAACCGGACGCTTTCTCGTGGCACCGCGCGCCGACCAACCCTTAGCGACGAGCGCCCTGATCTGCCAAACGACATCGAAGTCGCGTCTGCGCACAGTTCAGCACAAGAAGATGTCTGCTTCCCTGTATCCGAGGATACAGGCAAGACTACCAGATTCGACTACGAAGAGCTGGAGGAATTTGTTGCAGAGGCTCACGACAAGACACCTATTGGCCAGCCTCTCCGTCACAAAGCGAGCGCAGCGTCTAATCTTTCTGCAAAGCCCAAGGTCTTCTCCGACCTTCGCCCCAAGTCAAGCCAGTCAGGAACACCCAAGACCGACAGCGACGTCTTGAGTCTGAAGAATGCAGACCCTGCGGTTCAAGAGAAGCTTGCCGAAGAAGGTCTCTCCCACGTTTTCGCAGAGAAGCAAACTCCGGAAGTAAAGACGAACCGCTGGACGTTCTTCTCGTCCGAATTGGACGACACGATTCATGCTGCCGAACTGGGCGGACTACTTATGCCTGGCGAACGCTTCCGTGATCTGTTTGACACACCATCAGACGGCGGCGTCTGGTGGCTCGATATGGTCAACCCCACAGAAGAGGAAGTGTTTGCCATTTCCAAGGCTTTCGGAGTGCATCCTCTCACTCGCGAGGATATTTGCATTCAAGAGCCGCGTGAGAAGGTAGAGCTGTTTCACCAATACTACTTTGTCTCGTTCCGCTCTTTCTTCCAAGCCGACAAGGAGTCGGAGGAATATCTGGAGCCCGTTAACTTCTATGCTGTCGTCTTCAAGGAGGGTATCCTGACATTCACCTTCTGCGAAAGCCCGCACACGCTCAACGTGCGCAAGCGTATCAGCCGTCTTCGCGACTACATCAATTTGAATGCCGACTGGATCTGCTACGCCCTTATTGACGACATTGTCGATAGCTTTGCACCTGTCATTCGAGGCATCGAAGATGAAGCTGATGCAATTGAGGACCAAGTCTTCACTGCACGCATTGAAGACTCACGCGCCATTCTTCGATCGATTGGCGACTGCCGCAAGCGTGTCATGCAGCTCCTGCGTCTCTTGGGTGGCAAGGCAGATGTCATCAAGGGCTTCGCCAAACGTTGCAACGAGTCGTACAGCGTTGCTCCTCGGGGTGACGTGGGCATGTACCTCAGCGATATCCAGGACCACGTCGTCACTATGATGTCCAACTTGGCTCACTTCGAGAAGATGCTCAGCCGCGCGCACTCCAACTACCTCGCGCAAATCTCCGTTGACCAAGTCATCCAAGGAAATGACAGTAACGCTACACTTCAGAAGGTTACGGTCATTGCCACAATCCTTGTTCCGCTCAACTTAATCTGCGGTCTCTTTGGTATGAACGTCAAGGTTCCGGGTCAGGACGGCAGCCTTGCGTGGTTCTTTGGCATTATCGGTGTCATCTGCCTCTTTGTTTCGGTCTGCTTGGGAGTTGCGAAGAAGATGCGTTACATCTGATTGAATTTTTTTTGTTTTATCGTCCTGACTATGCTTTCATTGTTTGTCTTTCTTATGTTTAGTATTATCGGTTTTTCGTTTAGCACATGTATTAACGCCAGCGCTGGTGTACTGGGGGGTTGTCGTAATCCTGGGTCATGTCATACACGATCACGTCGGTTTTAGATGTACACTCTAGAATAGAAAAGTATTGTTGTTAAACGCAAGACCACTACATGCCTGGTTGTTTGCCATTAGTCACGATTACCATTAGATGCAAAAACAATGTCAAAAACGTGAGAATATGCAGACCTAGAGTCGTGTAAGAAACAAGCAAGCCTGGAATGACGACACTCGCGCACCGGCATGGTGAGCCACGTAGATGTTGGTCGAAGCGATTGGTTTCTACCGATAGACCTAGCAAAAGACTACTGCACATTGCTGTTTCAGGTCGACTGTGTGCACGTTTATATTTGTGAAATAGTGCAACATCAGTAGCCTATATTAAGGCAAAGGGTTGCATGGGCACACTCACATGACACTCCAGGATATGTCCATGGGTGACGATGCGGGTGATGATAGATAAGCCATATCTCTTCGCTATCACGCGAGCAAAGCGACCTTGGAACGCATCGCCGGTGACGTTCCGTACTGTTCCTATTCGTTCCGAGGTCGGAAGCAACGATGGCGAGGTTGCCAAAGACAGAACGCCCACCAACCTTTGGTGCTTTAACAGCAACTCTGCCGACGAACAAAGGGACATGGTGACGGTGAATCGCTGCAGACAATGAGTGAGTACCACGGCCAAGGTTCCACTCGTTGTCCGCAAGTTCGGAAGCGGTGACTTAGGCTCTTTCCGAGGGGCGGACTAAGTGATCCTTGCTTCGGCGAGAGCATTCGATCATGCAGCGCCTCAGCCGACCGACTCCCTTAAGTACAAACTCTCACCCTCCCGCCTCTCTCTCACTCCTCACACATTTCGCCAAGACGCTCCCTGCACACCAGATTCTCTCTTTTACTCGTATAAATCAACTCGACCGATTGCCTCCGCCGATACTGTACTGTTCCTGCAACACCACCAACACCACACACTTCAGCGAGAACCCCCGACCGACAAAGCGAAATGGCGGAAACGGCGCAGCGGATACTCATGAATGAGTTCAAGCAGCTGAGCAAGGAGAAGTGGACTAATATCGAAGTAAGTCCCGGTGACATTCCGTCGAGAGTCAGAGTCAGAGTGGCGATGCAGGAGCACCGAGCTAACCACGTCACAGCTCATCAACGAGAATGTCTTCGAGTGGAGTGTCGCCCTCATCGTCATGAACGAAGAGTCCATGTACTATGGCGGCTACTTCAAGGCTAAGATGTCTTTCCCGCGCAACTACCCGCATAGCCCGCCAGGTACGTCACTACCAATACGACGTTCCAGGGATGGAAAGAGTCGCGAAGCGCAGGGAAGAAACTAACGGCTGATCAGATTTCAAATTCATCCGCCCGCTCTACCACCCAAACATCTACCCCGATGGACGGCTATGTATCTCCATCCTCCACGCTCCCGGCGATGACGAGATGTCCGGCGAGACTGCTGCCGAGCGTTGGTCACCCGTACAGCGTGTCGAGACGGTCCTGATATCTATCCTCTCCCTACTGGACGATGCTGAGGTTTCCTCTCCCGCCAACGTCGATGCTGGGGTCATGTTGCGTAACAAGCCTGCGGAGTACAAGGAGATGGTGAAGAAGGATCTCGAGCTCTCAAAGGCGGATATTCCCAAGGACTTTGTCATGCCAACCCAAGAAACAGCATGGAAGCAAGAGAAGGATGAGGGCCAATTCGACATGAGCTGGGAAGACAGCGACGCCGAGAGCTTGGACTTTGGCGGCAGCGAGAGCGACCTGGACGAGGACCAAGAAATGGACTCCGACTTCGAGGCTGATGACGACGATGCGGAAGAAGAGGACGCAGACACCCCCATGAAGCGCTAGACGTTGCCCATGGACTGCAAATCCGAACCCCTCATCATGTGCGCGTCTCTGGCCCGCATGAAGGGGTCACTAAGGGGTGGGGCACTCTTATCCGAGCATTCGGGTCCTGACTATGGCACTATCGTGTCTGCATCGGCATCCTCTGGCCCGAACCCACACCCCAGTTACACGACATGGTGGACGTATGCGCATTAGTTCATCCGCATCAGCCTCACACCACCTTCTCCATCTTTCGATTCCTCGGTTTTCTTCCACATCTTCATTGTAAGCGCGGCGTTCGGTTCTGGTATTGGATTGATGGTTTTATACTTGCGACGGGCTTTTCTGCCTACGGCTTCGTCACTATTACAATGGCATTTGCATTGCATGGGAAGGGAGTTCTCAGGTCATTTTTCTATTACACGAGGCATGACTACTTTAGGTTTGCGACTTGCGGCGCAGGGGCTGCATGTGAATGGACGTAGACTTTGAAATGCATGGATTACAATTCTAGGCCAACAAGGACGACGTGTCAAGACTCATGATATACATGCGCCATGCAACAATCCTCTATGAACCAACTCCTCCGACCATATCCCTTACTTTCCAACATTTCTTCAGAAGTACAGGGCCTAGGGGCGCGGCTACTGGGTTCTCCTTCAACCAGTTGGCCAGCTCTGACGATTTGGCCGGCATCAGAACTCAAGATTTACTAGAACTCTAGATGTCACGCCTGGTACTTGATGTGAACGTAAGACAGGGGTGGTGTCTAGGTCTAAATGGACCGACAGATGGTATAACTTATTAGCGTGCAATGAGGACATAGCGTAACTACGTTCATGAGTGTGCTACCATGCCATGCCCATAGCTTTTCTCACCCTCTGCATGGTGCTTTCGGCAATTTCCTCTGCTTTTCGCGCGCCTTCTTCCGCACACTGCACTAGTTCCTTCTGATCTCCGCTCATCAATCCATGATATCGTTGCCTTATATCGCTGATGCCCATGTCAACGGTATCAGCGACCTTTTCTTTCAGCGCCCGCATACTCAGATCCTTCAAGTCATTTGCCAGGTCTTCGGGTGATGCAGCGAGAGAGTCATCAAAATGATACATAAGATCTATCAGATTTGACACACCAGGTCTGCTTTCACGATCATAGCTGACTCCTTCAATTGAGTCTGTCAATGCTGTCTTCAGCTTTGCGTGTATTTGCTCTTTTGAGTCTGTTATCATGATGCGACTCTTTGGCTTCGGATCGCTCTTGCTCATCTTTTTTGTTGGTTCAGTCAAGCTCATGACTCGTTTGGCAGGACTGAGAAGGGTTTGCGGAACGGTCAACAGAGGTCGTGACTCTGAGTAAACGTGATTGAATCCAACAGCTAGCTCCCGCGTGAACTCTAGGTGCTGGGCTTGGTCTTCGCCGACTGGGACATGGGTGGTGTTGTAGAGGAGGATATCAGCGGCTTGGAGGACGGGATAAGAGAAAAGACCAAGTTTCAGGGCGTCTTTGTTGTTTGAGGGGTCGAGTGGGGAGGCATTAGCTGGGAGGGAGAGTTTGCTCTAAAGACGGTATTAATATTACGCCTCTCCAAGCCTGTTTTCTGCTGTCGCATACCTTCCACTGGGTCATCCGTCCCAGGTAGCCCATGCTTGCACCACAGCTGAGAATCCACATGAGTTCGGCATGCTGCTTCACGCTGCTTTGCGCAAATATGATGCATCTCTTAGGATCGAGTCCCACTGCTAGCAGACTAGCCAGCATCTCTTTTCGCCATCTTGCCAATTCACTGGGGTCCTGTTTTATCGTGACGGCGTGCAGATCGACTATGGAGAACAGAAGTGTGGTGTCCGGAGATGCTTCATCTTGAAGCCTCACCCACTGTCGCAGTGCGCCGAGATAGTTTCCTAGATGTGGTACTCCGGTGGGCTGGATTCCGGAGAATATCACCTTCTTCTGTCTGTCACTGGCATCATGTCGCCGTGGTGGAGTGACGGAGTACTTGCGCAGACAAGTCGAGCATATACGGAAAGGCGAGGGCGCTGCACGCTGCAGCGGTCGAAGTGAAAACATTGAAGTTGGACGGTTGGGTCAGAATCGGAATCGTTGTTGCTCAGCCACCAGAAAGCGCGGCCGGGGTCTTGTAGCGTCGTCATTGTGGCACTGCCGCCCGCCAACAACGACTCGACCGCGCCCAACCAGCAACTCCATCTCCATTGATTCCCGCGGCTCTCCCCACAACACCACGACTTCCCACTCACGACCCTGCTTCGTGCACACCCCGCTATACATCGTTTCTCCCCCCACACCAGAGCGACCACACCGCAATCATGTCTTGGACCGGTAAGGAGCCCCTCGACGATGATCTAGGAAGCCGCCGGCTTACAAGACGCAGGGTTCAAGAAAGGCGTCAATCGCGCGACGACGCAGGTTCTTATGAAGACTGGCCAAGTCGAGCGCACAAATGACCGCGACTTCGAAACTGAGCAGCGGTACGCTTCTTCACCCGCAACCCGTCTTCTCCCTGCCAGGAAGAATACATGCCACATGAACATGAACAACACTAACGACATGCCAGCCGTTACCGCACCATGGAGACCGCCGCGAACAAGCTTCAGAAGGAAGCAAAGGGCTACTTGGACTCTCTGCGCGCCATGACCGCCTCACAAATGCGCATCGCTGAAACCATCGACGCCTTCTATGGAGATGCAGGAACAAAAGACGGCGTGTCGCGCTCTTACAAGCAAGCCGTGACCGATCTAGACGCCGAGACAATCAAAGCCCTCGACGGCCCTTACCGAACCACCGTCCTAGACCCCATTCAGCGATTCTGCTCCTACTTCCCCGACATCAACGCCTGTATCACAAAGCGCGAACACAAGCAAATGGACTACGACCGCATGCGTGCACAAGTCCGAAAGCTCACCGACAAGCCTGACAAGGATGTCACCAAGCTACCGCGCGCTGAAAAGGACGAACAATTGGCCAAGGCCGCGTACGACCAGCTCAACGATACCCTCACCACCGAACTTCCCCAACTTATCGATCTGCGAGTGCCCTACTTAGACCCAAGTTTCGAGGCGCTGGTCAAGATTCAGTTGAGGTTCTGCGCGGAAGCATACTCAAGAATGGCGCAGGTACAGCAATATCTGGATGCAAACACAAGAGATCAGTATGCACAGGGTGAGCTGGACGCACGGGTGGAAGAGGTGCTACAAGAGATCCGGGACTTGAGCATTGCGGGTACCGTATAAGAGGTTGGCGGAGACGACACGTTTTCGTGTATCGTGTGTGGTAATTCTCTGCGGCGTCAGAATCATCGTTTTTGCGGCATTGATTTGGTTGTATAAGGACAAGCAAAGGAATTGAACCATGATTTCACTGTTCCCAATGATCAACGCCTCGAGGTTGACGTAGCACATGCAAGGGGCCCTGGCTTGTCACTGCAATCTCCACTCATTCCGCGTATCGATAGTCAGCAGCTCAATCTGTCTTCGCCGATTGAATAACCATGCCACGACGTTGACGTCCGCTAGATCACCTCCAGGCTTCGCCCCATAATTAGGGCTTGATCAGAATGTAGGCCTGATTTCTCAACAAGCAAACATAAGTGGCTTGCATCCTGCTGTAATGATGTTTGTAGGCACTGTCGATAGAGTAGAGTGGCATTGGACTGAGTTTGGTAAAGAGGGTTTGATGATCTTTACAATACTGCTACGTGGCTTCTGCTGTGCTAGAACTGTTCAAGCGTGCTTTATGTCTTTGGAGACTGTGCTTGAGTACGGAGATTTACTAGATTTACTGCAACATCAAGCCACCGGCACGTTCGAAAGATCTGCTTTTGGGTTTAGTGTAAGTATCAAACATTACTAGTTATTGAATAAATGAATGATATGTATGGAGTGAAGAAGTTCAGAAGGCCGGTCGGAATAGACGACCTAGCCTGAGCAATTAAAGATCAGGGATGGAGTAACACGAAACAAAGAAACAAGAGCACAGAGTTCTTGAGACTATTGCACATATTGTCGTTGTGATTTGCTAATGTTTGTGTGGAAGCAACAGGATGTCATAAACATAAATTTTTTGAGACGATTTACAGAAACAACTAATTGTTCGTTCACTTACCAAGTCCAGATGTAACAAGAATCATAAGTTTCGAGCCTTTTACAACGTTGTTCTCATCTCCCCATTCACGTCGTGTGACATACTTCCCATCTTCCAATGCAGTCAATGTCTCGCTAGATAAGTTAGTATTCATGTTTCAGTTCGCATATTGTGTACGCCTATGTGTTCAACGGTGTAAGGGGATGAATATGTGATTGATGCTTGTCAGAGAACAAGCCAGACTCGGATACATGATATTGCTCGCAAGCGATTCGCAGAAACCCACTGCCAAGGAGCGCAGTATGTTACCCAATCCGCTTCCTTATGGGCAAGTAATCATGAAACGTAAGGATACCTGCCTCTTCTTTCGTACATCGACACTGTCATGAACATGATCCGTTACTCGTAAGCCTTCGTCCATGCAGCGTTTCCAAGCCGCAACAGCCGCACGCTTTGAAAAGCCCGGTCTTTCCGTCTCCCGCACAGCAGAGGGCGTATTCCGAACTTCGTTTTTGTTATTATGATGTCGTCGTGCGGCTGTCAAAGAGGTGTTAAGCTCGCAACTGCTCTACGAGGCATGAGGCTTGCCAGCTGAGTCGGCCTTGGCGCGAAGGTCGGCGGCGGTGGAGCCTGATGCGGAGAAGTAGCGAGAGAAGACGGGCTGGAGGAAAGAGCGGAAGACCATCTGAGCACCACTGCAGATTGTTAGCTTACATCATAAGCGCCACGAGAGACACTTACGAAGTCTGGGGGAGGGCCATCCAGAGGATCAGGACAAACTTGAAGGTGTAGTAGAAGGCTGGCAAGGTCAGACGTAAATCGTGTACACTAATCCTGGTGGACTTACGGAACCAGTAAACAGCGCTTACAGCGCTCTCGAAAACGGTCAGGAACGCAAAGGTCACCCAGTACTGTAATATCACGTTAGCCTTGTTGTGGAGCTTGAAATGGTCACAGTATGGCCAAATGTCTTGCCAGCGATAAGAAAGTGGGGTATACGTACGGTCAACCACTGAGTGTCATCAACCTTGCTTGCGCTGAATAGAGCCTCGAGCGAGTAGTAACCGGGAATGATGAATCCGGCAATGTTGACGAGGAATTCTCCAGCAATGTTGAAGAAGATGAGGAAGAAGTAAAGGCCGGCTAGACCGAGGACCATGTAGACCTTGGGAACCGACGTTTGCTTCTCAAAGTTGTTGAGTGCGGGGTACTTGGACAGCTGGAACACAACATGGTCAGTATACGTGGTTTTGTACAAACACTATTGCGATTGCGACTTCTCATCAAAAACACCTATACAAGTCGTATTTTGACAATTGTGCCATGTGCGGAAGCGAGAGCGCTTACCTCCTTGTCGAGCTGCGACAGCTGGGCCTGGGCTCTATCCTGGACAGACATGTTGAGGGCTGTTTGGGGGTCGAGTGTGGTGGGTTGCAAAGGGTTGAGATGCAATGGATTATGGTGGAAGAAGCAGAGGGGCTGCAATGTGTTCAGTAGGTTGGGAGGAGCAGGAACGTGGAGCCTGGAGATTGTGGGATGGAGGAAGTGGGCTCGTCATCGCTAAATACGTCACCGCCTTTCACGAGCCAGCCAGAGCGCTGCAGTTGCATGCCGATGCGACAGAATCGCGAGCATCGTCTTGTGTTGCGACGAGGCCAGATCCCAGATGGCGACGATATTGCATTCACTCATCTCTTTTTCTCTTACATTGGCAATTAGAAAGTAGTGCGATTGCACGGGCGTTATGACGATAGTCATGTGACTATCATGGTCCAAGCGCGCCGGCCAGTCTCCGTTGCTGCAGGTGCGACCGAGTTCAGACGAAAGCGTAAACATCCAAATCTTATCCCATAACAAACCCGCTCGAGGGCGACCGACGACGCCGACGACATCTTTTGGAGCCGGATATTCTTCCCCGGAGCATCCTACCACGTTGGTGACATCTTAGCCGACAGGACAACGTGTTGAGCTAGTCCCTGGCCCAAACAAACAAACCCGCCAACCCCGAAAACAAGCTGAGATTCGACCTACGCGCGAGCAGCTTCGCCAATATACTCCTTACACCTTGGTATCCCTAGAGTTCTCGTCGCTTGTTCTGTACACTCTCTCGCCTGTGTTGTCGCCATCTCCGCGCCGTTGCTATCGCATTGTTTTGGTGTAAACAGACGGAAAATCTGCCAGCCGGCATCCGCATCATGACCGACATCCGCCGATCACGATCAAATACGTCAATGTCTACTAGAAGTAATCGCCCTCTTTCTCGCGCGTCGACGACGAGCGTACATTCATTCGAGCAATTCCAGCAACCACAACAGCCGCGGCCCAGCCAATTTCCCCAACAACCACAGTACCATGCTCCATTCACGACCAGTGAAGCACTACAGCCTGCTCTGCTTCAGGCTGCACAACAAGTCAGCGCGCAGGACCAGCTTATCAACATGAGTTTGGAGAGTGTCCAGCAGTACCTTGGCTATCCAGCCGACCCGACCGCGAGCCACCCCCAATTGAGCGCCCAGCCCGCCCAGCCAGACCACCACGCCTACCAGAATTCCCTCTCCCAACATTCACAGCATTCACAGCAACACAGCTTCATGGCGCCACCGATGGATACCGAAGACAAGAAGAAGAGGCCGTCAACCTCAGGCGCAGCTACCAATGACAAGGAATTGCGCCAGCTGTTGAACCAGAATGAAGGCCGTAACCTGAAGGAGGTTGCAGCTGAGGTTATCCAAAATGATCGAACATCCAAGGCAGAAAAGTCTAAACAGCTATTCGCCATGTTATGGTAGGTATTACGCGTCCATCTTGGAAATGTGCTAACGCTTCCCAGGTTACAGTCCGTCTGTCGTGTCGCGAAGACATCGGTCCCACGCAACCGCGTCTACTCCAAGTACGCAGAGCGCTGCGGTACTGATCGCGTTATCCCCCTGAATCCGGCGTCTTTTGGCAAGCTCGTTCGCGTCATTTTCCCTGGTATTCAGACTAGGCGCCTCGGTGTTCGCGGAGAGTCCAAGTACCACTACGTCGATCTTGAGCTCATCAACGACAACGACAACGGTGAAGAGGCACGTCGGGGCAGCAACGGTCCTGCTGCGCACCATGCCTTGAAGCGTCAGGCTTCAGGGACACCGAGACTCAATATGGAGTACGTCCATTCAATGTACCATGTCCGTGTATATGCTAACAACCTCTAGTGCCATCCCACGACTACCTGCGGACAGCGCACAGTTTCCTCCACGAGAAGCACGTGTGGAGTCACAGAGTAGCTATTACACTCCGGCCTCATCGCGCGGCGTTCTATTTACCGACATCTACTCGTCTCAGTTCCACCCTTCGCATACACGTACCAAAATTTCGTACGAGCACGAGCTCAAATTCCCAACAGCAGACATCCTCGAAGCCCCTGATGCATTCGTGGTGGAGTTGCCGGATATCAAACCATACTTACCAGCACGCACCGATCCCGATTCTGCCGACAACCTTGTTGCTATGTACCGATCGCATGTTGTCTCGTTGGTGGACTCAGTGCGCTACTGCAAGGAGAAGCAATTCTTCCGCCTCTTTGGTACTTTCCATGGGACATTGACTGTACCGGTGCAGAAGCTCTTTGCTTCGCCCGAACTGGCGCCGTGGATCAAGGAGTGCGACTGGATGATGTACCAGAAGATGATCCGCAATGTCTCTCAGCTGACTCTCCAAGTGGCGCCGCCGCCAGTTCTGAAATTCCTCGACAACGTTGCGAAGACGTTGCACGCACACATTACTGCCAAGTTCGCGTCCCTCCCCGTACATGTACTCGAGGCAAAACTTGAACCTGCTACACTGTTCGCCCACCTTCTCCGACAGATGCTCCGCGTCAATTCCGCTGCGCACGCGGCAGCCGTCATGCTCACCGCAGAGAGCCACCGCACTCAGATGTTTGCCGACTGGCTCCAACACGTTAACATCAAACGCATCATTGCGAATGAGTTACCTGCGTCTTGTGCACACGAAGAAGTTTACAACATCCTAACCACTGAGATCCGATTGATGCTGGGTCCCCTCCCACAGGAGATCCAGCTGCCTTCCGGTTCGATACATCGTGCAGCGTACCCTGACCCACCCGCCGATCCATCAGAATCAGTCATTGATCGCATCGCCGCTTTTCTAACACGTCTACCGTCCCGCTTCCCTGGTGCACACGCTCGTACAATAATGCACTGCATTAGTGCACTTGGTTCAGCTGCCATACGGGAGATCACTGTCGAGAATGGCATCAGTTTCCAAGGTTGGTGGCTTACCAAGGTCTTCGTGGACGAAATGGCACAATGGTTAGCATCGATAGGTGGTTTCCTCGGTCATGCACCGCCAGACTGGAGCTCCTCCAACTACTCACCTGTAATTGGTGATTCTCTCAATGCCACCATGACCAACGGCGGCAGCGGTAGCAACAACGAAAGCCGGTATAGCAGCTTGGAAGCCGACTTCGGCCCAGATCAGTCTTTCATCTCCAACGCTAGCCATGTCACAATCCAGGATGCCGGGTCAAATCAGGAAGGTGAGTTTTTCCGCTCACAACATGGCCTCACATGGTAGTTGACTAACGCAAGACCATCAGTCAATGCTGGACGATTTGCTCAACCATCATCACAATACAACATGAGCTTTCAGTACGAGTACGACATGAATCCTTCACAACAAGAGCCGAACCACGACGATAGTGGCATAGGTCTTGGCCTTGGTGTACAGGAAGACGGCATTGACGCCAAGTTTGCGTCACATCTATCTTCAGCACTCTCACAGAGCGTCAGCTAGCCTGACCGTTCTTGCTTTTCGGACATCTTGATTACTTACCTATGCGTTCATGACGTCTCTGAAGTCACGACTAACGACTAACCGTGCTTGTCACGGCCTGTTAATATCTCTTAATTCCTTGTACTTTAGGGTCGCGGACGCAACCATGGATCGGTGTTGATTGGATTAGGTTGGCGTTCTTGCTTCCGCATTCCTGGGTTTGCAATACTGGCGTTATTGGGTGATATACCGCCTGCAAGGCCTGGGTTGGTGTTAAATGCAGCACTCTGCGATTCCTCCATGCAGAGTTGAATTGAATATTTACCTTAGGGTAATCGCAACGACATGCTTCCGTGACCAATTAAAAGAGGGCAAAAGCTTAGCCGCTTTCAGATTCACCAGGCGGGCCACAAAAACGTATCCCACCAAACTAATGACTAGAGATGCTATTGACGACTTTTGTCCGGGCTTCAGTGTGATTACTAAGAACACTTCTGCAAGGCAGGCATGGTACTATAATGTATATGCATTCGCTCCCATAAGTAAGTGCTTTCAATAGACACCCCTATAACTCATCCTCAATCTTGACTACGTCCATTTGTTTCCAACTTTAATGCTAACGTTTCACTTATGATTTGTAGCCCCGTCCGTTACACTAGCTGACATAAACATTCAACCTCTCTAAACGGTCAACGTCGGCACTCTACCGTTGCCGCTAGCACAACCCTCCTCAGTCGCCTGACCTCTTCGATCTGCGAGAAAGAGTTAGAACTTCGACATGCACTCTTTGTCGATCGCGACCGGCCGTCGCACGAAAAAGGATCACACGGTGCAGTCTCACCGCTCGTTCATTGGGTTTTAGGAGTCGCGATTACCTTGGCATGAGATGCCTACATACTTGGCGTTGTGGCGATATCTTGGAGTAAGGAGAATATCACTATAATCGCGCTTGCAATATGGTCGTTTAGAAATGTAATGAAGCAACATCATTCGATGATGCGGTAATATAAACTATGGCTTAAAGGTAAAGTATCGTAACAAGAAGAATGTTGCTAATCGTGTCGTGGTCGACTAAGCACTAGAAAATGGAAAAAACTCAGACTGACCCCCTTCATGCGCGGAACCGCAAGCACGAGGAGGCATTATCAAAATCCTACTTTCTTCCCCATGACCTCCTTCTTTTGCCAAAGTACGTCTTGCAGACGTCTTGGTTTGCACTAGCGTCTAGTCCTGCCGCGGAGGTCGGAACCCATTGCTTGTAGACCAGGTAACTGTAATCCCATCGTGGGTCATTGAGTTGTGTCCTCCATGTCCAGAAGATCCAGCCGTTGGTCTTCTCATAGAGTCTCTGCTGAGCGATGAACCACTGCTTGTAGAACGGAATGTTGTTATCGTTCTTCCAGTCAAATTCGGTAGTGTACTCATTGGCAACGGTAAGACTCCACTCTTGCACGATCTTGGGGTTATCGCCATCGGTCTGGCGGTTGTCCGTGTAGCACGTGTAGTACATGTAGTCACCTTGGGTGGCGCTGGGGTTGTTGGAGGTTACCGCTCCGCCGACGTAGTTGTGATCATCAAAGATTATCTTGGAGTCTGATGGGAGGTTGGACTTGGGATTGCCGGCACCCCATTGTGAATCCATAAATTGGACGTGAAGGCGCTGGTCATCGGAGATACCCAAGGAATTCTCAGCGTTGCGGACAGCAGCAAGAGCTTGTGGGTAGTATTTTTGCGTCAAGGTATCTTTCTCAGCCTGTGGCATACCACCTTTGTCACGTGAGGTCTGCGGCTCGTTGACGACCTCGATGATACCGACAGTGGCTCTATATGAAGGAGTGTTATGAATACGTTTGGTCATCCAGTCGAGCCACTTTGTAGCGCGGTCGTAATTGGCTTGGGAGAAGAAGCCTGGAAGGTATGCTTCAGGAAGACACTGCAATAGACATAAGCATTGACTCAAGATAGATCTAGTACTCGAAGACTTACCTGCCCAGTGAACGCATCGCCCACCTTTTGCGAACCAGGCGCACCGTGTAGGTCAATGACCACGAACATACCCAGATCCGCAGCTTTCTGGATAACGGCATCAAGGTACTTCAGATCCATCTCAGGGAAATGCTCGCCGCTGCCTACCAGGCTGTGAAGACTCCAGTATCCGATTGGAATACGAATGGTGTTCAGACCAGCATTATGGATATCTTGTATCATGCTTGGAGTGATCCAGCGAGAGTAATGACCGTTGAAAGCAGTGTTTGCTTGAGACTGGCCAAGCTTGTTGACACAGTCGAATTCGGAGCAGGAGTCACCACAGCCCATGTCTGACCACTCTTGGTTCATCATCCATGGCTCTGACAGTAGCCAACCGCCAAGGTTGACTCCACGAATCTTCCAACTCGGAAGTGAATGGGCACGTTTGCTCAAATAGTTGCTGGTGCGGTTGAAGGCTGGAAGTTCGCGGTCCGCAGGCATCCAAGCCTGAACACCGGCTGCAAACAGACAGGTTAGAAGAGTTGTACTCTTCATGATGAGGCGGGGTTGAATATGGGGTATCTAAGTATAGAAGAGAAGTTGCTTTTTCCCACCTGAAACAGGAAAGGGTGCTCGGACTTGAACTGCTGGAATGAATGTCCAATTGCTTGACTGTTACACTGTGCAACTGGAGGACTATATAACTTTTTCACGGATCTTCGACTGATCGTGCTAAGCGGCACGAAGACACCACATCGTGAATCCACATGGGGCAAATTGCCAAAGGGGCTCCTGGCTGACGAAAGAGGCGCAAGGCCGGCCATGCAATCTAAGATACTTCACCGGTCCGGTGTTCGAGTTTGCGAATCATGATGGGGTTGCTAGCCCCCAGAATGGACCACATCGTCCGAGGATCTTCTGGATATCCTGTAAGCCGCTGAAGTAGACCAGGGTAGAGCTCATAACGTCGTATGAAAGCAGGCAATGGAGTGACATCGTTCGTTCTCCTTCACGAAGATCAGCTGTAGTAGTCATGAAGTTGATGTATAGTACGCTGCTAGCAGGATCAGGCGACCACGAAGACAGTGCGAGGTGGAGCGACACGGCTCGTTCACTGGCGATTTGCCTCGTCGCCTGACACCACCACAGCTTCGTGAGGTTCGGAAGAGTTAGGAAGGGGCTAAAGATATTCTGGTACACGTACAGTCAGCGACCAAGTTAAGACCGTAAGAAGAAGGAGGTGTAACAAATCTTTCGGCTAAATCCAAGTTCGAAGAGCAGTGAATGTAGAATAGCTCTTATTCGCTACTAGCAAGAGGCGTGGAAATTGCGATGGCCTAACCGAACTGAGGCGGTTTCAAAACCAGAAGCGGAAATAAGCTATTACAAGAACTGGAGGTCTGAGAGTTTCTCCTTCACCACCCACATAGCGGCCCGTTGCGCGGATCTTTGCTCAAATAGTAGACACACCTCGCTAATTTGGACACCTTTTTGCTACTTGCCGTCAAAACAAAAGCTTCCGAGAAAGATGCAATACTGGCGGTTTGACCAAGTCGATACTATTATGAGATAATGTACCAAACTCATTACTTTCTCTCAGCTTCTCATCTGGGTAATGTCGGCGACCACCATTATTAGCACGATTACCATGAGTGTTCGTACTCGGTCACCGGCTCTGTCCTTCCGCGGCGGGCCGTCATGGCGTTTAGGTTTCAAAACGGTTTTGTATCGACAGCGAAGAATGTGCAAGTCTGCAAGTCATGCTTGTGGAAAGGCTGCCTGGTTGACAACCCAACGGCTGCTACATGGCGCCAGTCGGGCATGCATGCCTCCTGCGATATCACTAGGTAACGCTTGCTCGATAATCAAGCTTCACTCCGCGGTCTCATGCACCAGCGTTCTAGATGAATGCTACCCCAGATGGCCAAGATGCAGACTACACTTTAGTTGGCAGAATTAATCTCGAGCCGCTTGCCTGGTATTCGCCCTCACCACTCAGGGCTCTGTTGCGGTCAACACAGTAGTCTAAAGTCACGCGCTTACCGCCGTTCCTCCGGGGGAAGGTATCCTGATCGTCCTCGTTGCCGGTGTCAAGCGTGGTTTTGAGGTCTCGTGTTCGCCTGCCGTGGGTCTAAAGATCTGAAGCGTTAGCCTCGGCAAATATACTCAGTATTCTAGCACCACCATGCCGTGGTGTCGTATTAACCAGATGGAGGGTAGTTGTTTGTAGAGTCACGGATGGTCCCTGCAGGCGGGCGCTTAGGTAGGTTGTATGGGGAAAGCTAGACTAAAGGGGCAGGTTGGGTGTACCTGAGCCGTGTGACGTCACTTACTTGGCAGCACCGGGCAGATCTTTGCCGGTCGAGGCCGATTTCGATGTCTTCCCCAATGTGTTCCAGGAAAATCCAGCAACCTGGTCTGAGGACAACCAAGTCGATCAAGAGGGAGACTAGAAAGACCTGTAAATTCTAAACATCGTCTCATGACCTGTCGCAGATCCGCGACTGCAATGTCCTCGACGAATATCTGGAAAGATTGGCAAACTTTCTTCTTCTTCTTTTTTCCAATAGTTTATTGATGGCCTATTATGGCCATCGTGATCGAGTGGCGTCATCGAGTCTTCATCCTACACTCCACGGGTGTTATCAGTCGCGCAACGAGTGACGAATAACACTCGTCATTCGTGTTAGACTGGTCTCTGCTGCGAATGTTGAAAACCTTGTTGTGGTTTCGGAGACAAGGCCAGTTTTCAGGAAGCTCACCACCATTCTTTCTTGGGGAAGATATGTCCCCTCAGAGCCAATAGTAAAATCCAATGTGAAGCACTTGTTCCGAAGAGCAGTCTGAAGTCCTCTCCGCTGACATCCTCACTCGATAGTTGGAATGAACTTTACGACAACCTGGAAAGTCACGTTGACAAGGTGAGGTGTGAAACAAGGTTAGTATCTTGTGTCCGGGAGTAACGCATCGCCTCGATGATGAAGTACCAAGTCCGAAGCTTGATACCTCTCCCCAGAATCGTTGTTAGTAGACTTCAGCACTGTAGTATGATATCAGTAAGAAGAGGATTGGTACTGTACAGAACTCATTATATCGCTTGACTTTCTGAAGAGACATCGCACGTTTGTTGTTGGTACGAGATAGAGCGCAGGTGGTACCTTGTGTTTGCAGTACTGATATCGCAAGCAGCCTTGCATTCTTACAGGACTGCCAACCACTCACCGTTCCTAAACCTCTAAGCGGAACTCCATCTCATGGCATATGAGCGCCTTTCGTGTTCAACAGTTTACGCCACAGCGAGACAAGAGGGATATGGAGACTCTTGACCCTTTCATTAAGATATTGTGAGTCTGCGCTGGGACGCGTCAGATTTCGGTATCATCCCGAGTTCGAGGTAATAGTCGATTCTCAGAGACGGAATATAACGATGCACAAAATATCTTCCAGGCTTCTAAGAACGCTCGATTTGATGTCTGCGAGGAAGTAGACCCGGGAGATATGGAGTTCGGATAGATCGTTCGCACCTTTGGTGGTCCCTTGTAAGTGAGAGAGTTCTTGAGCGATGAATGTAGCGAGGAGACTGATGAAGACGATGATGCGATTGAAGAAGTAGAGTCGAAAGAAAACATGGCGAAGAGACGGAGACGGATGCAGAAGGGTAGGGAGTACCATATGACTGGTGTTTGTAGCCTCCTGGCTTTATTATGAAGAGATGTTTGCTCGAGGACGCAGCTTGGATCCGTCATGTTACAAGGTCTGTAATCAAAGTTAGCGACTATGTCCACGTTACAAGACCATGTTCAGGTCTACCTTCCGATCCGTATCCTGAAGAGTCTCATGTAGTTGCTTTGCTGTATTCTGAATCTGCGATAGCGGACTTGACAGGCCGAAGAATCGGACCTTCTTGTCCGACACGAGACGTCATGACCGTCTACCCACAATGTTCTGTCGGTTGGACCTACCGCTTCAAGATGCCGCGATAGCACTCATTACTCTTATGAAAATAACGTGATATAACAGACAGCGTCCAAAGATGGTAGCTATTGCACAAGCGATGCATCAAACTGAATTGCCCAGAGGGCGACGTGCGTGGAGAAGTGGGGCAGACTAACTGAAACTGGCGCGATAGTCCCGCGGCCTCTGCTTATCGCGTCGATAACAGCGTTTGAGACCGCCAGTTGACAGTTGGAAATATTTTAATGCAACAATGACTTATCTGATTGGCGAACGAGCAGCGGTTGAGTCAATAGACATACGTTTGAGATCGCGCTGCTGAGCCGTTGGGTCATTGATCTGTCACGAAAGTATAAAGACCCCGCTGGACCCTGATAGCTTCGAACAGTAAGTCTGCCTCAACGACCTCTACAACAACACATCTCTGCAATGGCCCTCGATCGACTGAAGCAAGCAGCGTCACACATAACGGGAATTGGAGAGCCTCCACACCCGTTCGATCCTTTGAGTGAATCCGAGATTGAGCGCGCAGTCGCTATCATCAGAAAAGAGCACAACGATGTGTTCTTCAACGCCATCACGTTGTTGGAACCGCGTAAGGCAGAGATGATGAAATGGCTAAAAGATCCCGAGCACACACCACGACCACATCGAGTTGCCGATGTAGTTTGCATTGGCCGCGGAAGCAAGGTGTACGATGGACATGCAGATTTGACTGAAGGCAAGATTGTCACATGGGCATTGACTGATGACGTGCAACCACTTGTAAGTTGGGAAGAAAACTCAATGCACGGGACCCTCCTTTGACCTAGATTCAGATTACTATGGAGGATTTGCAAATAGTAGAGACGATTGTGCGGAAAGATCCGAAGGTTATCGAACAATGTGGCATAATCGGTATCCCACCGGAGGACATGCACAAGGTCTACTGCGACCCGTGGACTATTGGCTACGATGAACGCTTCGGCACCAAAGTCCGTCTTCAGCAAGCCCTCATGTACTACCGTCCACACGTTGATGACTGCCAATACACGTACCCGTTGGATTTCTGCCCTATCTATAACTCCGACACCCAAGAGATCATCCACATTGATGTTCCACCAGTCCGAAGACCTCTCAACCAGGCTCCACCGAACAACTATCATGCAGCTGCTATCGAAGCTGAAGGTGGGTTTAAGACCGATTTGAAACCCATCAACATCACACAGCCGGAAGGCGTCTCATTCAAACTTGATGGGCGATATATTAGTTGGGCGAACTGGAAGCTGCATATTGGCTTCAACTACCGCGAAGGCCTAGTCCTGTCCAACATCACGTTCAACGATAAAGGCACTGTTCGCGATACCTTCTGGCGCCTCTCACTTGCGGAGATGGTGGTGCCGTACGGTAATCCAGACCATCCACACCAGCGCAAACACGCCTTTGACCTTGGAGAATATGGTGGCGGATACATGACCAACTCGTTAAGCCTGGGCTGTGATTGCAAGGGCGCAATCCACTACATGGACGCAGCATTTGTCAATCGCGCCGGCCAGGCAACGACCATTAAGAACGCTATTTGCATTCACGAAGAAGATGCCGGTATTCTGTTCAAGCACACAGATTTCCGCGATGATAGCGTTACTGTCACTCGTGCTCGCAAACTCATCATCTCACAGATCTTCACTGCTGCGAATTACGAGTACTGCGTATACTGGATCTTCCATCTAGATGGAACCATTCAACTGGAGATTAAGCTTACCGGAATTCTGAATACATATGCGATGCTACCGGGCGAAGATTTGAAAGGCTGGGGAACGGAGGTCTACCCTGGCGTGAATGCGCATAACCACCAGCACTTGTTCTGCATGCGCATAGATCCAAACGTGGACGGCCCAGAGAACACTGTGTTTATGGTGGACGCAGTACGTGGCGAAGGCGAAGTCGGCAGTGCGGAGAACAAGTACGGCAACGCCTTCTACGCGAAGAAGACAAAGCTCAGCACCCCTGAGCAAGCGGCGACTGACTACAATGGCGCCACGAGCAGAACATGGGAAATGGCCAACACCAACAAGCTGAACCCGTATAGTAAGAAGCCGGCTTCTTATAAGCTGGTGAGCAGGGAAGTGCCTGATCTGCTACCCAAGCCCGGAAGTTTGGTGTGGAAGAGAGCGGGTTTTGCGAGACATGCAGTGCATGTCACCAAATGTAGGTCTCATCTGGAAATCGCGTACAAAGACATAAACTAACGTCTTGTAGACGATGACACGCAGCTCCACCCAGCAGGCCGTCACGTCCCGCAGACCTCTGGCGAACCGTCTCAAGGCATCCCCGCCTGGATCGAGGCTAACCCCCACGAGAACCTTGACAATACTGATGTCGTCTTGTGGCACACATTCGGAATTACACATTTCCCATCGCCGGAAGACTTCCCCATCATGCCTGCTGAGCCGATGACGCTGTTGCTGAGACCTCGCAATTTCTTCACACGCAACCCTTGTATGGATGTTCCCCCTAGCTATTGCAGCGTTCCGAGCGGCGTCAAGCAGGGCAGCACATTGGTAGATAAACTTTCTCGCCTGGCGTTTGGAGAGGAGAAGAAGCCTGAAAGCACTGCTGCTTCGACCTGTTGCTCGGATCAGAAGTTTGGGGCAGGTGTGTAGTCTGAGTATGTCATGTACGTTTAATTTATAGTGTGAATGCAGCATTTACTTCCGCTAAGTGTTCGTTGCGTGTCTTTATGTGTAAGAGGTTCATATGTGCCGCCCCGGCAGACCGTCGCAGTGTGCTCCATGCCTTGCTATGTCGGCAATGCGCGGCGATGCACCAAATGACGTAGCCCACGCGAGCTGTCCGCGGGTCGTTCCGATGGCAGGTCCAAGCTTCCACCGAGTCCACATCCGATAACTTCTCTCCCCCACGATTGTTGGCGGCGTCTGCACCACCGCGTGACAGCAGCCATGATATAGCATCCTTCACTCCACCAACACAGTGCCGTCCTGATCCTAGCAAGTCTGAGGATGTTCTTGCCGGTTTCGACTGCCTACCATCCGAGCCCGCAATGCCCCGCGCATTTCCACCCGTAGAGCAAAATGATAAAACGAAACGAGCAAACGCGCCTAGGAGCCCTTTATCAGCATCTCTTGTTGAGAGTATAGCCGGATTCAGCGCCGGTGTCGTCTCTTGCCTCGCCGCGCATCCACTCGACTTGTTGAAGAACCGACTGCAGCTCAATACACAAAGCCGATCGCGACCTGGTGACTCGTATCGAATACTTCGAAACGTCATCAAGGACGAAGGGGGCGTACGCGCATTGTACAGAGGGCTATGGCCAAACTTGTTGGGCAACAGTCTAGGCTGGGGCTTGTACTTCCTCTTCTATGGCAATCTGAAAGAACTATTCCAAAGTAGAAGGCAAAAAGGAGAGCATCTTGGGAGTGCTGAGTTCTTTTCCGCGAGCATCATTGCTGGTATGTTGAGGAACGGTACTCTGATGTGCCTTACTGACCGTTTGCTAGGCCTTCTCACTGGAGCTTGCACAAACCCTATATGGGTAGTGAAAACCCGTATGCTTGAGCGCGGCGCGAATCATCCCTCTGCATACAAGTCGATGACCTTTGGTCTCCGTCACGTATACGAAACTCGAGGATTGACGGGGCTATGGGCAGGCTTTTTGCCTTCGTCTCTGGGTGTACTACATGGTGCAGTACAATTTAGCATTTATGAGAATATGAAGAAGAGACGGGGAACACATATTGGCGGGCAAGATAAGCTAAGCAATTGGGAGTACGTCTACATGAGCGGCGGAAGCAAACTACTAGCTGGAGCGATCACGTATCCGTATCAGCCAATAAGAGCGAGGTTGCAACAGTACAATGCCGCTCAGCAGTACAACGGACTGCTGGATGTGCTTAGAAAGACTTACCAGAACGAAGGATTCCTGGCGTTCTACAAAGGGTAAGAAATTCCTCTGCATTCTACACCTGATGTATAGCGAAGCTAACCTTCACAGTGTTATTCCCAATACGCTGCGAGTTATTCCAACCACTGTCGTCACGTTCCTGGTTTACGAAAACACCAAATTATATTTGCCAAAGGTCTTTGACGACGACGAGCAGCAAAGCCACGACGAAGACTAGGTCATAGAATACGCGCACGCGGTTGCCTTTTTATCACTAGCTTATGACACGATATCTGCCTCTGCAATGCGACCGCTGTAGACAAAATCGACACTATACGCTTGAAAGCTGAAAGCGCGTTACGCGTGTAAATCCCGTGAGATATATCGAAGTAGACGTAATGATTCATTGGTGAAAGAAGGCAGTAGCTGCGCAGTATCAGCATTCACTCAGCTGTAATAAAAGGCGTTTGCGTATCTGCATCGCCTCTAATCAAACTTTCAGCCTGGCACAAGCGAGTCCCCCACTTCAGTCGCAACCGCAAGTATTTGCGAGAGGCTCAAATCTCTACTACTCAAGCCTCATTATAGAGTTGAGCTTCTGCGCGGTCAGTCACGTCTTTTTCAACTTTCTTTTGCATGTCAATAGATCCTTTTCATGTGGTAGTGAACCCCATGAACACTGAAGCTTACGAATAGCAGTGACGTTTCTCCACACGAAAGCCATATCGAGTTTACATACTGACCGCAGCTCCACCTCAGCCGTATTGTAACCGCACCGGACAGGCCCCATTTCACTGCTAGCACCAATGGATCCACCAAACAAGCTTCCACAGCGTAAGCCATCCATACTCGGGATGCACAACAAGTATCGATCGGCACATCGCACGCCACCCGATAGCATATATCCTTCGACTTCCACGTCTTCTCAGCCGTACAACTCTCGGCCTCAACGTCGTCGCCTAGGTCTGCGTAGTTTCTTCAGCAAGCCACACGAGCCAGAAGCACAGTCTCCAGTACTCACGTCTCCTTCGTCATCTTCAGCAATGCCACCGTCTCTGCCTCTGATCCCAAAGTTTACCAAGGCATTTGTCAACGCCTTGAATTCTTCACAACTCTGCGATTTCCTTACTTGGTTGTTGTATCATGATATTGCTGAACTTCCCGAAGTTCCTGAGGCTTGGTACAAGTGGATCAATACTGTCCCAGATAGCCGTGTCCCCAGATGCTTTCACTTTGTTGAGTTTGTGACGGAATTGTTCGACGGCATTCATAATTTTCTGTGATAAGGACGACTTGTTACTGGAAGTAACCAAACCAAGATGTGTCTGGAAGTTATATGCAAGCAGACGATTGACGTAGGCATCAAACATCTACTTCAGGACGTCTAGGCGGCTCAATGTATCGCGCTTCTTACTAGAGCGTGGGGATCCTCCTAGAAATACCTTGAATACAAGAGGACGAATACCCAGCGCTGTATGTTCATGATCTGTATCGTCTGATACGTCGTCGTTGGAGTTTTTGTCAACAACACTCTCTGTTGCTAGCTTGCCAGTCGAATCGGTACTGTTGAAATAGGGTGCCATCGACCTCCAGTGGTCGTACACTGGTGTACCGGCAATGTGGTTGTCCCCAGTATCATGCAGTCTGGTCCAGAAGATGAAGGGCTGTTCAACGTGGTATGTCGACATGTCCATGAACCTCTGACGATAATATCGGAAGACAGCTGATGCTAGACTTTTGGTAGTCTGTTTCGGTGTCCAATATGACACAACACTGTCCTGGTAGTAGTTGTGATATACCTTGATGAGACACAGTTCCTCAAGACCACTGCTCGTACTCGATGCCGTCGGCTCCAGAGGTGTGATAAACACTTCGTAGGCGGCATTGATCATATTGACGGCGAGTTCTTGAGTTGCAGGGATCCGAACATTTCGATGCCGTAGCTCGTAGCTCGTGTAGCGGCCCTTGGTCAGACGAAAGGCAATTTCCCATAGGTCTGCTGCCTTCAACTCGCGTGGCAAGTCCATCGATCGCGTTTCGAGTGGTGATCTGAAAGTGATCCGCATTGTGCTGGAAGAGGGTCTCGTCCTGTTGCCCGATTGCGTATACTTTGCCATGATGTCAGAACTATTCATGTATGCAGTAATCTGCTCCTGCATATGTACGTTGGGTCGTAGATCGTTGCTAGGAAGGATCAAGTTTGTAAACGGCGAACGCTCGTTGAACCGAAGCCTAGAGAAAATTTAGGTAAGCAATTGATCACACGCACTCATACAAAGCGAGGCTACAAGGAAGTCACATGTCCACTTACCACCGTTCAATTTCTTTCCGCTCATAGGTGAACCCGTCCACAGTAGTCACAGGATCTTCCATCACATTACTGCTGATGGGGCAATGATACTCGGGCGGTACCTCAAATCCAGGGCTCTCAGTGGTAGAGAGAGTCTTGTGTAGCTTGGGAATTGCCTCGCCTGGCCTCCATGTTAGCGGATCCGATACCGACACATTACCGAGGCAAGCAATAAGCCATGCACAAAGCAGGCTCCTGTACTTTTGCAAGCGTAAGGAACGATTATTGAGAACGTTCATATCGCGATCGATGATTTCCGATCGAGTACGATAGTAATATTGGCTGGCCTGCTGCCTGAGACCTTCCAATTGTTTTCTCTTCGATTCTATCTGCTGATCGAGGAGTTGTTTGAGGATCTCGAACACCTTCTCGGCGTTCTGACGGCGGTGGTAATCATCTTTACCCGTGCCGACGATAGCAATGAAGTCGTCGTACGATTCGTGAGAGCGAATATACTCTTTCAGCTCATCAGGGCCAGGTAAATCGAAAGCACTGTTCTCTTCTACCGGCGCTTGAGGGGGGGCTACGGTGGACCGCACCTGTTCCTGCATCTCTTCTTCCGCATCTTCGCTGTTCTGTATGTCATCGAAACCGCAACGCTCATCCATACTTGATGACAGGTCGACACATATCATTGTTATTTCGTCCGGAGCAGTCAATTTACGATGACTATCGCCATAGGCCTCAAAGACAATGGACCCATCAGCTTTGCGTTGGGCAAGGATCGGTTCCAATAACTGTGTAATGATCGAAACGTCCACGGCCTCTTCTTCACGCATACTAGCTGGCCGGAACATGAGAATATCTCTGCCTGCCTCGGCACAACCTGCACGCCCCACGTATACAGCCAGGAAGCCATCTCTGTCCAGAGTCAAGACGGGAGCAGAGGCAGAAGCCAGACGAGCTGGCGGAATGACACTTAGTTGGTTGCGGCTGCAGAGGTTGGCCAGGTATGTGAGGTCAACATACTCCGCAGGTGAAATGACATTCTTGACGTCATTACTGTCCACATAGCGTGAGCTGGTCCTAACGGCATCGGGGTCAAATACTAAGGCTTGTGTTCTAGTACCACCGGAAACTTTAGCAATCCGATCCCATGTTGAGTCGACTGTTGAGACCACTTTGCAACGGTCTCTGTTGATCCAGCTTAGAAGTCCTTGTTCCTCGAAAGCCTCGTGAAACCCAACATCGACGAGACCAGACATTGTCTGGACAGACTCCGAAAGTACCGGGTGCATAGTGATTAGGTTTCGTGGATCATAAACCTTCATCCCAATATATGGCAGCGTGGAACTTTCTTCCAAGTTGATTTTCATGTTCTTGGCCTTCTCTAGGATGAGACCGAAAAGCAGACGAGATCCTTCGAAGAATCGCTTCGGGTCAGAGCGGACAGTTTGCAGAGGGACGACGTTCTTGAGAACCTCGTATAAACACTGCGCTAACGCAGCCCGCTCAGGGAGTCCCGGAGTCTCGCCACGCATGAGGATGTGTGCGGCTCGGACAGCAGGAGGAAATCGTGTCAAGAGATGGATCATATGTAGGATCGAATCTCGTTGGCCATCTTCCATGCTCTGATCCCCTGTCAGTTCGGTGAAGACACGCAAGGTCGACAGGAGGCTGGCTAGCCCACGGTCAGTCTGGCCGATGTGGTGTTCCCAAGATTCTGACTTCTTGAAGATGCCAGCTTTTCCTTGATCAGCGCGTTCATTCTGACCTAGTGTCCATCGCTGCACGGCGTAGATATCAATAATGCCATTGACAGCGCAATCCTCCAGTCGCGCCGCTTCAATGGTAATGTCGGCATTGTGTGCAGTGATTTCGAGAGGGCACTCTGATGTGTGTATGTCGACGACCAATTCTCGCTGAGCTGCGTCATTCCCAGCTTGTCGGCCTTGATCTTGACGATGGGAATGGCATCGCTTCGAGCAAATGGCCATGATTGGGAGTTTAAGATAGCTCTTGTCTTCAGAAAGCTGCACACCTGTGTCCACAACACCTCCTAATACATTTGTAAATTTGTCGGTCAGCTTCCGCTCTAGAATACGCTCCATATAACCGTTCGTTGCCCGCTGAATCGTACTGAGCTTGTTGTCATCGACTGGAATGGCGACTACGACGTTGTTGGAGTGAACAAGAATAGCTGTATGGAGAGCATCGTGGTCTTCAGTTCTATCGACGTTGAGAACGGCATTCTCATCAATATTTCGAGCAAAGCTGCAATTGCACTCTAGAGCAGGACAGTCGCCCTCTTCCATCGGAAAGCCCAAGTGCTCTTGAACGAGACCTTTCAAATGCTTCAGGGTGCACTTAGTCGACACGGGTGTCGAGATCGGGTTGACGACATTAGTTCTGGATTGAGCTGACTCTGGGGTAACGACGCGGATACGCAGCGTCTTTGTCGATCCGCCAGACGTCGCCAATTGTGGTGGGGTGGAGGAAGCGGACTGTTCCTCGTGTATCTGAGGTACAATCAGTATTTGTTATGTGGGATGGTTGTCATTCTTTTGTGACGAGGTTAGCTTTAACGGTCACTTACGTCAATGACCGCATAGACAGTCTCTTTGGGGTCGGGTAGGACGTCGGAGAGGAGGTCCTCGAGATCCAGCATTGGTCCGTCATCCCTTTCCAAATGCAGTGTGATTTGGGGTTGCTTCGCGTCGGTGAGGCCCAGTTTTGTGGCTAAGGCTGGCAGGCGCGACGTGACACTATCATGCAAGGCTGAGCAGAGCTGAGATGACGACAGCACGACGAGCAAGCTCGCCCTTCTGCCTCCTGCTGCAACGTTGACGGTGTATCTTGCCATGTTTTGTGTGTGTGCATATGACTGGGTCATCCAATGTCGAGCCTGTGGTGAGGTGGGGGAGGACCTGGTGGGGCAGAGGTGGTGTAACTATAAGGGAAGGCACGTTTGCTCACGTGTTTGCGGTGGTCATTAGAACGTAAAACACAGGTCTAGAGCCACACTGAAGGAAACCGCAACTGCAAGGCAAGTGAGCCAACAACTGAGTAGTGGAAAGACAAAGGTTCTCGCAGATTAGACAGCATGATCATGTAAGCCTAGATATGTGTGACCAAGATCGATAGAAACACTCATTCGCGTGCAATTGGCACTTGCCAAATGCGCTCGCAATACATCACCACTAAACATCTCATTTGCGCTGTCAATGTTCAAGGATCGGAAGTAAACCGAACACTCACTGATAGTAGAAACCGCAAGGTCTGATTCCACACATGACGAACATGTACATATCATTCGTATGGCGTCATCCGTAGCCTCTCCTCTCCTAACGCCCAAAAGGTTTTCCCGTTTCTCGTTTTGTACATGAAGACTATGGTCATGACGCTTCCCTGTCACCTTGTGTCAAAAGCTCACGTATTCGTTTGGTGAGGATGGTTGTGATAACAGCTTCAATGAGACAAGAAACGGCGAGGGGGCAACTTGGAATCATCTCAACAAAAGGAACAAAGATGCCATGAAGCGTGACTGCGAGAAAGCACACAGTTATGCGCTTGTGGCGTTACGAGATTTGAGTCCCACCACCCTATTGATGCGAGTCGATGATGGGTAGGAGGATGAATGGCGCGTCGCGGTTGGACGCGACACAAGTGAAGTTGGCGAAAGAGACAAGACACGTGTTAGCGCGCATTTGTTATCGATAGCAATCCCGGGGAATTATCCAACTGTCCTCATCGCCCTCCACCCAAAACCACAACTTGCGCGAACTTGACCTCTACGCCAGCCACAATTCATACGGCCCTAACCCTACGAGTTTGATACACAACAAGCACATAGTCATCATGGAGTCACCGGATACTTTCACACTCCTACCTCTCGAGATGGACCCCAATACCACTGAGATCACCGCATCCCAGAGCCTTAGCAACGCCCTCGAGACCGAGCTAGCCGCTCTGAACAATCTGCACAGAAACCTGCTTCAAGTCGAGACACCCACAGGCACGCCCCCACCACCTGTTCCCGTCAACCCCAAGCGTTCCGCTCAAATCAATAAGCTGCGCGAGTCGGGCAACGCCGAATTCAGGAAAGGAAAGCCCGAGGAGGCAGGCAAGCTCTATACTCTCGCGGTCGATATGGCGCTCGCTCGCCCGGCATGGGAACCCTCAGGTCTGGTGAGAGAAGAGGTCTCCGGGCTGCTGAGCAACCGCGCACAGGCAAATATGGCACTTAAGAACTGGGCAGAGGGCGCCGTGGACGCAGAGGCTAGCGTGGAGATGAAGAAGGTCGGCAATGCAAAGGCCTGGTGGAGGCGGGGCAAGTGTCTGCTCGAGATGGGCAGATTGGACGAAGCGGCGCAATGGGTCAAGCAGGGCCTGGAATTCGAGGCTACCGAGCAAGATCTCGTGAACCTGAAGGACGAAATTGAGAGGAAGCAGAGAGGTGAATCTTAGGGTGTTCTCGGTAGGAGACTGTAATGCGCATCACCCATGTTTGGGTTTACAGCCTCATCGCTTTTGGTATTTGGATTAGATGAGGGTGGGGGAGACGTGGTCAACTGATGAGACGAGGGCTCACCTTGAGCATCTCAATGACGCATGGAGAGACTTCGTGCATTTTGGCCCCTTTGCACTGAGCGCAGAGGGAATGGGCATTGGCAAGGCGTTTGGCGCTGGAGGTCGTATACCAGGATTACAGAGCATCCGAGTCTTTAAGGCTTTGGGGGGTATTCATAGAGACTCCAATCAGAAGCAAATCTCTACAACCTGTATCATCTCTTGTAGATCGCAAAACCGCACTGGCTGCGTAGGATCAAGGGGTATATACGAACATGGATGGACTCGTATCTGACGTGTGGATGTGGGTGAGAGCGACGCCGAATTAGTCCCAGGCTTCTGCACTGCTGCCACGCGTCGAGTTTGAGCAGATTCGTGCTCAAGCGCTATTAAATTTTCTGCGACCGCATCTTTGGTGATATAGACAGAAACGTCTCAATGTCCCAATATCGTGTGAACCTTCTTCCGTCGATCCACCATGAGTAGCCTGCATTGCCCAAGAGGCTAGATTTCATCCTAGCATCTGATAAGACGATCTGATAAAAATTCTCTTTGTTGCGCCTTGCCGTGTTGGGATTGGCGGTGCGAGCCGCTTGTCGGGCTTCTACCGCTGTTGGACTGGCCAGAGGGCAACATGATTCTGCGAAAAAGACAAAACTAGATGTTTGCAGTACACAAAACGAGCAACGCGTTAGAAGAGGATCCGGCATACCAAATCAGGTTCGCAACATCTCATAGCGGGTGGTATCGTATCTATCTAAACGGGTAATCTTCCGGTGATATCAGAGTCTCAACGCGTGCGCAGCGCACAGTCTCGAGCGGTGGAGACAGCCTACAGGATATTCTACCTCCTAAAAGGCCCGTAAGCAACCCGGTTTTTGGAACTATGGAGCGGAGACACGAGGTTTTCCTTCCCGCTCGGCAGTACTAAATGGAAGATAGGCGCCGCTCAAAATGTAGGAATATTTCTTATTTTATCTGATCATCTCTTGCTTGCAGTGACCAGGGACGATGGATGCACGGTCCCCCTCTGAGCGTCGCCATGACATCTCAGCAGACAACGGTGGGCGGGAGCCTTCTGTGTCCGAGAAAAAGGCTGGAGATGTGGTCGTAGCATCGAGTGAAGCATCGACCGGTGAGCGTGATGGCAGTGATCGGAGCTCAGCGATCCCGCTGAAGATGAAGCTCATTGCTATTCTCTTGGTTACCGCAACTGGATTTGGTTCACACTGGAGTAGTGGTGTCACAGGCGCGATGAAAAGTACTGTAAAGAAGGTATGAACAGTATAATGCTCTCATTACAGTTACATCAGCTGACATGGAGAAGGAACTGCATATCAACAACGCTCAGTATTCTGTGCTGGAAGCCAGCGAGGACTTTATGAAAACAGCTCTAATCCTCGTGAGCGGTCTTGTCACCGATAGGATTGGTGGTGCAAGTTTGTCTCTCCTCTACCTATTCAACCATGTCTTGACGCTGACTGTACACCTTAACAGGCGCCATGCTCTGGGGCAATGCCATTTACAGTATAGGTGCGATCTTTATTGCAGCCGCCACCACCGTCCGATCGTACAAATTCATGATATTCGGGTCGATCGTCCAGGCATTCGGAGACATCGCCACGCAAGTGGCACAGTACAAAGTGTTCAGCTCCTGGTTCGCGCCATCCAACGGCTTCGCATCGACTCTTGGCTTTGAACTCGGTATTGGCAAGATCGGATCTTTCGTTGGCAAGGCTACAGCAAACGTCATCGCGAAAAACACAGGTGACTTTAGCTGGGTGTACTGGGTCGCTGTTTTCATGAACCTCTTCACTAACGTGACGACTCTCCTTTACTGGATTTTCACGCGATGGTGCGGCAAGAAGTACACCGGTACAGCTGACCCCGCGACCGGCGAGAAACTCACGGAAAGCAACAAGAAGTTTGAGTTTGGAAAGGTCTTCCGGCTTCCCTGGACCTTCTGGAGTATCGTCGCTTTCTCACTTTTCCAAACCAGTACCGCATCCGTCTTCGCTCAGAATGCAACGGAGTTCGCTGAGCAGCGCTTCGACATGGATGCCGTCAAGGCAGGGTGGTACTCCTCACTGGCGCAGTATCTAGGATTCTTCCTTGTTCCGATTATCGGCGTCTTCGTAGACGTTCTAGGCAACCGTATCACCCTTATGCTTGTCTGTGGGCTGGGCATGTTGCTATCAATGTGCCTGGCGACATGGGGCCCAACGTTCTCTGGTACGGCAGCTTCGTTTGGTATATACGGTGTCGCATCTATGTTTGGCCCGACCGTCATCATCGACTCAATTCGCACTTCCATGTGGTACCAAGAAGTCTTTGGTTCTGGATACGCCGTCAAGATTGCAGTCAACAACGCCATGTCTATCATCATCCGTATCATCACGGGAGTCATCCAGGATCGTGACGACAACTCTTACGACAATGTCGTTGTTGTGTATGTCGTTCTTTCCGCGTGTTCGGTTGTGGTAGCAGCGAGCATGTTCGTCGGCTGCTTTTGGACAAGTGACCTTGCACAACTCCAGTGGACTAGGCGCCAACGTATCACGAAGGGCGAGGTCATCAACGTGCGGAGAGAGGAGTTTAAGTCGGGAACTTCTGGCCAGAGAAACAGGAAGATCAGCATGGCTTTGTTCATTGCACTGTTGTTCTTGGTGGTGGGTTCCTGGGCGGCGTACTTCTGGGGTGTTGCGACTGGAAATAACACCTGAGGCATTAAAAGCTTACCCTACTCAATCATGTATTTCTACATAATGTTGAACCCTTCTAGGGAACTCAAATAGAGCAGCACGTTTTGTATATCTCAGTTCAGGCCGTTGGGGCGCGATCATCTAGTTCACATGCTGTGATTGTGAGGGGAGGGGGTGGTGAGTAACTCCAGTGCATGTTCTGGTGCCACCCATAACACTGAAGCAGCAATCTGACCATTTTCAGAACATCGTGACAACAAACAAAGAATCAAAGTTGCATATTCGCGACTTTCATATCCAGCTGTGACCGTGTCTGCTTACGCAATTGCGGGACCATCAAGAGCATACATACATCCAAGCCCCCTAGAAAACTGCTCGACCAAATCTTGCATAAGCGAGATGAACATAATGCAACAATTTTCCATAGAATTGACATTCGCGGTCATCTCGTGTCCATCAATAAGCATACTTGTCCTCGCATTTCTCTCTTGTTACAAAGCGGCAAGAAGGTTGTCGTGCAAAACTTCGCGGAATGTGACGCGGTAGGCTTGTCTTTGACACGTATCGGTATAGTTTTTGATGAGGGTGTCTCTGATCCTGACCGCGTCTACACTCCCTAGATTGCAGAGCCTGGTGAGTGTCTTGATGTTGATGATATGGTTCACAGCCTTCTCCAAGAGTTGACAGTCACCGTCCGACTTGTTCTTACCATCTGAGTCGGCATCTGGCCCATTGGCAATATGCTTGGACGCGACAGCCGGCCCTGGGGTTGAGGATGGACTGAAAATCTGAAGAGTGGGCGGGATAGGCTTCACAGCGTCGTCGACGGGAGACATGTTAGACTTGCGGTAGTGAGGGGATGCGTTAACAACATAGTCCTTTGAGAAGGTTGCAGTGTGTGCATTGTTGCCGGCTTGGGGACAAGAGGTGACGGGCGAGTTTGGATCTACGGAGCTCTTCTCGTGTTGAGCAACTGCCTCACAGATGTTTACCATTGTTCCTGCTCCCTAGTCTAACTTCGCTCCACCTTCACCACGCGGAGTCGCTGCTCCTCGATAACAGGCGCAGTGCCCTGGTCGAGTACATCTTCCTCATGTTCTTGATTGCTATGGAATGCACGTCGAATTCCTGTGTAGCACATGGCATCCTCGGTACTCGTGAAGTTTCATCAAGATGAAGTCGATATCCCACAAATACTTAGCTTACCATGTTATCGGAAGGAGCTGCGAGTGTTGTCACGGATGCATCGGTTCAATCGCGAACCCTGGAGGTGGGCGTATAACGTAAGAAGCCGAAGCAGGCCCGTAGAGCCGGGATGAACGACTGGAACCAGGGGAGATGGACTGTTTCACTGTCTGGGGGCCCCATCTGACGGTAAGCGTGGATATTAGTCGCATGTCGTTGCTCAGCGAGCGATGGAAGCGTCGATGTGCATGGAGATTTGCAACTGTGTGATGCAGAGCAATCATCAGCCGTGGGATGAGGGCAAAAGCCTCACCGCCACGGGTATATCTGTGTATGGGCTCACGCGGAGGCTGACAGCAGTGACGTAGTGAGTGGTTGCCGGCACATTGCGGGGATAAAGACAGGAGTGAGCGAGTTTGCACATTGGCATCACCGTCTCAAATGGCATCAGAAGTCGCGACGCAGGTGCAAAGTGCCGACATGCGTGCGCAGAGACGCGGGATGATGGTTCGCGAGGAAAGCAGGCCGATGCGCTGGCGCGGTCACAGCAGTCATCAATACGAGGTGGTCAGCCAAGACGAGGGAATAAAGTGCTGACGAAGAGGCGATCAGAGAGGCGTCGGGGAAGAGGCTGGGATGGGAAAGCTTGGAGGAGTTGTCGAGGAAGTGGCGATGCGAGTCGAGCGAGCATGTGGCAGGCACGCCAGGCCGGATAGGGAACAATCACAGCGTGGCTGCAAGTGATGCAAGTGACGGACGTCTTGGTGAGGGATGAGCGGCATCGACGGCCATGGACATGCCGACCGCGAAGGCTGGCCCTGGGGCGTGTCAGGCGCCGTGCAGGCCGTGCAGGCTCTGGGCTTCTCAGCCGCTGAGGTCGTCTTCGCCTGGAGGCTAGCGACTTGCCCATCACAACTTTGTGTCTCGAAATCATCGGCCCGTGTCAGATAGTGCAGATAGTGTTGCCGAACCGGTTGTTAGTGGCTTCTCGCTGTGTTGACAACTTCTAACTGGTTACCGACACAGCGGTTCGCCTGCTGCATCAACTGAGCGAGCGACGCCTGGGTCAGTCTGCTACAAGCGGCGCCCACACAGCGACTGTTGAGCAGAAGCAAGACTTAGCGCTCGCGCCTCTGTCGTAGGGTTTAACCGCTGCAGCCCCAGTATCACGTACAGTCCAGGGGAGTCGCACACCGAAGCCCCCCTTCGCAGCGCATCGCCGTGGAGTAGCAGCCTCGCCCTCATTGGCCGGGGATGCAGTAGCGCTCGCCGGTGGGCTGGAAAGAGGGAAGCATCTACCCAGCACTCTTGGCGGCCTTCGACCCGCGAGCAAAACTTCGGTCCCTCCCTCGAGGTCCCTCCCTTCTTTGTCTCCTGATGCACTCGCGCGGTAGCGAAGACACTTTGTTGTTGTTGTTGTTGTTGTTTTGCGACTTTCCCTCACGACTAACGGCCGAACCCCAAACCCGCTCCTCGACGACTCGCAACACAATCAATTGACGAGATCGACGCCTCACCCCTCTCCGCCCAGGGCTCAAACCACCGCGTCCACCACCTGCCGCCCTGCCCAACGCGCTCCCTCCCTGCGCCCACACCACGTCCTGCCTGAGGGCCTGCCCCAATGGCCGTCTTCGAGAGCAGTGCAGTCCCGCCTCCCCTCGCTCGCGTCATGCGCGAGTTCGAGGAGCTCGTCAAGAGCTTCGAGACTGGCCTGCTGCGGTCGCTAGAGGACCACGGCCACGGCCACGCCCACGGCCTGGCTGCCAAGGGCAGTAGTCCGCGCGACGACGTCCGTCGCGAGGCCTGCCGACTCGCCATCTCCGACCTCAGCAGCCAATACACACCCAAGTACATCCGCCGGTCGCTCGATGCAGCCGAGCTCGAGGGAAAGCGTGTCGAGGACCAGCTGCAGACCCTCTCGCTCAGCGGACATGCCCAAGACGACGAGAGCGACCTGGGCAGCCTGCACAATGGCTACTTCCGCCTCTACTCCACAGAGCTGTTCGACTTGCTCGGCCAGCCCACCGACTTGCGCTTCGGCACCCTGCGCTTCCACAAGGACAACCTGAACCACCACGAGATGCCCTCGCAACCACACTCCCCTTCGCCTCACGTCACCATCGAACTCGCTCTCAACGAGTCCTTCTTCGTTGCCGACTCGGAAGAGACGCTCCCCTACCACACGTTCCGCCTCCCCACAACACCTTCGCTACGGAATCGCGGCATACGTAGCAGGAAGTTTGACGAGGAAGGTACTTTCCCAGAGTACGACTCGTGGCTGCTCTTCACTTTCCTCGGCAACGGCTGCATCAAACTCGAGGTGCCCATCGAGATGTGCGCAGACGTCTACGGAGGTAGTCTGCGCGGACGGGAGAATCAGGAAGTTCTCTTTTGGGGATTCTTCGTAGACGACGACGAATAGCGTCACATCACATATTTGCTTGGGCTGGAGTTGGTATCAAGAGCTAGACAGGGCTTGGCATTGGAGTTGGGCGCAAAGGACTGGCCTGGTCGGCCGCCGGAACGGGTGCTTGGACATGCATTCACGACTCACGAATCTCCTTAATCACATCTTCTTCTCTTCCCATCCCCACTGCGGGGCCATTATCTCCCTCACTTTCGGCCCAATCCTTCGCATTCACTCATTCTTTTCAAGTGCGTTCAGGGCGGCATTTTGCATAGCATTTTTTTTTTTTTTACAGTATAATCCTCAAAAGGCCGAAGACGAGGTAGATGATAGAGCGCATAGCGCGACACAGCATTGGTACTCGATAATACACACCGACGGACAAATCACATGCGCCGGATAAACCTTCTGCCGAATCTTTGCCTATTGCCTTTTGTGAAGTGCACCCAACTTTGCATCTGCATTATCCTCTTTTCGGTCATCGATCCTTCGCACCATGGCGCCCGCCTTGCCCGAAGCAGCCGCAGCATCTGCGAACACATCGACTCTTGCAAACACAGGATTCAGGTTGGGCGAAGAGCAACAATTTTCAGATGCGAGCGACAGCGACCAATCACAGACGAGCCAGCGAAGCGCCTCCCCGAGGCGAGCAAACGGCATGGGACCTGCGACCAAGTCGAAAAAGAAAAAGCAAAAGGACCGACGCAAGATGGGCGCACTGGCTGATGAATTAGTCGACGTCTTGGGTGACGCCTTTTCGGCACCCCAAGCTGACCTGCAGACTGGTATGTCACGTGTCGGGGCATTGTTGATCCAACGTCTATTAATCCTGCGAGCACTTGCTTTTCTTTCATGCTACCGGGGTGAGCGAACCTGACATCACATGCAGGCTCGGTTCAGCAACCGAACGGTGACCAGACTATGGCAATTGATTCGGAGCCTGCGGGCAAGAAGATGAGTGCGTTGTCCCACTATGGCTTCCCCTTCACCGTCATACTAAATCTCTCTAGACAAACGCACTCGTCAAAACCTTGCCAGAATGCAGGCTCGCAAAGAAAGAAAAGTGGCTAATCCCAAGATGGACATGTCGGAAGACAAAACACTACAGGCTCAGATCGTGGCTGCGGAGCGGAGAGGCATGTCTTTAGACGAGTACCGAAAAATCAGCAGTGGCAAGGGCATGTCCAAGGCCGCTGCACGGAGAGCAAAGAAAGACGCCATCAGGAGAGAAAGAGCGGCTGCACCAGTGGATGAGATGGATATCGGTTAGACACACAAGGGTCTTACTGGTGGCTTGACGGCAAAGTAAAGTTGCGGAGACGAGATGGAGATCACGAGTGAACACCGAAAAAGGTCAGAGCAGAAACTTTTCCCCATGTTGTACGCTTTGGGACGCAATGCATACACAAGATGCAGACGAAGCGCCACTATCGTACTAGGTCGACTTTGCCAAGCCCATATACTCGTGTCCTGCTAGCGGCACTGCGTGAACTACGGTTCCCCAACCGCTGGATCTGAAGTTTTGCAGAAATCGGTCCTACTCTTTGTCAGCTCTGTCTATCTCGCTTAGGGAAACTGTAGGAAAATTTATCGTCCTTGATGCGAAGCCCGAAGTGATACTTCACCGCATATCTCGGCGCGAGAAAAAAAAAAGCAAACAAGAAAAACAAAAACAGTTCAGCGTGGCTACCCATCTTGTTCACCTCTCTCTGTTTTAGCCTGAAACTGTCCGGAAATCACTCCCAATCATTATTTCAATCCTTCTCCCCCTACACGGCCACGATCAGCAATCTAGCCAGGTCTACACCAAGAATCCCACAAGTGAAGAACAAAACATCTTCACAAAAAGTAACATGTCGCATGAAAACACCTCCAGGGCTGCATGCAGATCTGCATCACATGAGCCACCTTGACCCTCTTTCCTACATATACGGATGCCGGCGACTCCGCTCCACAGACGTGTCACCAAGCCGAATGTAGTTTGAGTAGAACTATTTGGAAAACAAAGCAAGCTAGACGTTACATGGCAGGTGTCAGACGGAACAAGGCAGGGTAAAAGGGTGGCGTTGCATTGAAGATGGCAATGGAAGGTGAGATGTACTTGGGTGGGAGACCCTGTGCTCTTAATTAACCCTGATTTGCACGTCGCAACTTGTGCTACATGAAAACAACACTCCAGTACGGGATTTATCTGAAGCAAGAAACATAACGTGGATAGCAGTAGTACTGTAGTACTTGTAATAGAGCTTGGTGATCAGGCGCGTTGATTAAGATGGGATATAAAGTATATAGAACGGTGTATCGAGCTTAGATCTAGTTTTGGCGATCAAATTTCAATAGCATCGTATTATGGAAGTGATACAACAAGAACATGACGCTCTGCTAAATAATTGGAAACGCCTTATTAACGCAAACCTTGACACGCAATCATCACGCGTGGCCGGAGTTTTGGCCGGTACAAGCATTTAAAAAGTGGAGACCAAATGCTTAATCCGGCTTGGCAACGTGTCAGATCTGCTTTCTTCCAAACCACAACAAGAACTCCATATAATGTTACCTTGACACGATTCACAACATAACTTACTGATATTGAGGGTTTTGCGTGTCCCGATAGGTTCATAGATAGACAAACTGTTTCCAATGATGGCCTTGCTATATACGCAGAGGCGACTGAGGCCTTGTCGCAAATCCCGCAAGCCATCCCCCGCAACGTTGGCGCGGTATACAAGCGCCTAAGATCTATACCGGAAGAAGTGACAGTTCAGCGCCAGTCCTCCGACGTGTGGCGCAGGGACACGACACGCCACGACACCGCCGCGCGGCCATGATTTGCTGTAAGCCACTCACCTCCTTGACACTTTCAAGGGAGACAGGTCTAGCCGGGTCTGGTCTTACGGTTGCTTTGACGCATACTATTTTGAGCAGGTTGTAAATCCGGGGCAAAGGGGTCAAAATGCCTCATTACGAAAATGATACTAAAAGTGAATGGTCACAGACTGGATGATGCGAGAGACCTCCCATTTCCGCTCTGTTCCTCGCCCTTTCCGTCTCTTTCGTCGCCCTTTCCTCTTTGTTCGTCGCCCTTTTCCTCTTCTCGATTTTGGCCTCTACTACTCTTTCTCGACACTCACTTACTCGGATCATCCAAGGAACCGATTGAAAAGGATATGACCACGAGCCACGATCCCCAACACTAAACCACTCGTTACATCGAGGCTCAGACATGGACTCCAAAATCCTGATTGGAGATGCACCTCTTGACGCAGAACCTATCGCACCAGCATCAGTCACTACCTTACCACAATTGTTTCATCACACGGCGGAGACACAGCCCGATAACATCGCATACTCCGTACAGACTGAACACGGACTTCACACAATCACTTATGCCGAAGTGGATGCTAAAGCAGCGTCGTTGGCAAGATGCATCGCAGCTGCCACTCGACATGGCAAAGATGATAGCGTGCCAACAGTGGCCGTTTGGCTAGAGAAAGGACTCGAGCTCATTCTCGCTATTCTTGCCACAACCTACTCTGGCGCCACATGGCTTCCCCTGGATCCAGACGTCCCAGCTGAGCGCGCTGCCATCTGCGTGCTCGATGCTTCAGTATCTCTGATCATCAGTGACGCAGCACATGCTGACCAGGTCCAGGAGGTGTGTGACCGAGTTACCATAGCGAGATTGAGCGCTGCTATGCCGGCCCTACAATGTCGCACATTCTCTCAGTTGAGTACTGAAGCGCAATACCTACATGACTTCAACGCTTCCACACATACGCCACTACCTGGTCCCCGACCCCACGATGCTGCCTACCTTATATACACCTCTGGAACTACAGGAACACCGAAAGGAATTGCTATACCTCATTCTGCTGCCTTAATGTTCTCTTTGAGCGAGCAGAAGGTCTTGGAAACGAGTCCGCAAGACATCGTCTGGAATGGTTTCAGTCCGGCGTTTGACATGTTTGTTGAAGAGATGTGGGTCACTATCGCAGGTGGAGGCCATCTTGCTATAGGTACTCGAGCGGAATGCAGAGATGTGCCAGCTTTGCCTTTGGTATGGGCGAGCCGTGGTGTCACTCTTGTCAACGCCGTTCCGACTCTGATCGGCATCATGAACATCGCGCGAACAGACGATGGTGACTCTCTTCTTCCATCATCCGTTCGGTTGATCAATCTCGGTGGTGAAGCTTGCCCGCCTGCACTGGTGAGCCGTCTCGCAAGACCTGGTCTTCGAATCATCAACACATACGGTCCTACTGAGACCACCGTCACAGCGACTTGGGACGAACTTCAGCCTGATATACCTGTCACTATTGGCAAACCGCTACCTGGATATCATGCCTGTCTGCTTCCTGTCTCACAAGACGACTTATCAACTACCCTTGAGCCTGTCGAATGGCGTGAAGGTGTTGAGGGAGAGCTCGCCATTGGAGGGCCCTGTGTTGGCCTTGGCTACGTTGGACGCCCTGACTTGACGTCACAAAAGTTCATCGCTCATCCTTTGAGAGCTGGTTGTGGAGAGAGACTGTATCGCACCGGGGATCTCGTAAAGCTACAGGCGGATGGAAAGATAGTCTTTCTTGGTCGCATTGACACGCAAGTTAAGCACCGCGGTTTCCGTATCGAACTTGGCGAGATCGAGTCGCGACTCTACGGCGTACCGGACGTAAAGGCTGCAGCTGTGATATTGGCCAACGCCAACTCAGAGTCTGCCCGTCTAGAAGCTTTTGTTGTTCTCGGAGAAGGGGTTGTCCATGATACCGCCTCCGTCAGCCAGAGTGCATTCAACAGCCTGCCATCCTACATGCGCCCAGAGGAAATATTTTCTCTGCAAGCGCACGAGATGCCTCGGCTTCCGAGTGGCAAGATCAACGCAAAAGCTTTGCAAGATGTTTCTGCGGGGATACATGCTGAAAGAGCAGTTGCGCGGCCGAGTTGTCACGGCGAAAACGACATCGACTCATTGGACTCGAGCTTTCCAGTGGATGGGGTTCTGGGCTTGATGCTAGATACTTTGTCGCCGTTGTTTCCGCAAGTGAATGTGAAGCCTGACAGCGATATATTCAACGAACTTGGTGGTCATTCGCTGATAGCAGCAATCTTGGTTTCACGACTACGACAGGCACAACTTGGCAACGATAAGTCTTATCCTTTTGCTTCGATAGGACTTGCAGACATCTACGAAGCAAGGACTCCAGCCAACATTGCGTCTCGGTTTGAAACCTCATCACAAGGAAAGAGTCCTTGCATTAACATCGAGGAGGACGACTCGCTCTACGACGATGAGGGTACTGGATCATGGACTGGAGAATACCTACCCGTTTCCCAGACAAAGTTCGTGCTCTGTGGCATGGCTCAGATCTTACCACTACTCCTCGTCTTCTTCTTACAATCCATCGAGATTCTGGTTCCCTATCTACTCTTCGACTTCCATGCAATTGCAGGCCGAATCGGGTTCGCTATCTTGACAGCCTATGGCGTTTTCGTGGTGATTCCACCCGCTCTTACCATTGTGGCTCTTGCAAGCAAATGGTTGATTCTCGGAAGGGCAATCCCCGGCGAGTATCCTCTCTACGGAATGTACTACTTCCGCTGGTGGCTGGTCGACCGTATGACATCAATGGCAAACCCAAAGTTGATCGCAGACTCTGGACTATACCCCTTCTTCTTACGAGCGATGGGATCGAAAGTCGGGCGATTTTGCCATCTCGGTGCACTGCAGATTGGTCCATGTTTTGATTTGATTGAGATTGGTGACGACGTGGTTGTCGGAGGGGAGGTTTCTCTAAGCGTCTCCGTGGTTGAGAGAGGCCGTCTGATTCTCAAGCGTATCGTCATTGCAAATGGTGCAGTGATCGGGTCGCGCTGTGTCATCGAGGGTGGCGCAACTATTGGTGAAGAGGCAGAAGTCGCGCCACTTTCGCTTGTACCCTCTGGTATGAACGTACCCAGCTTTCATCGCTTCCATGGATCGCCAGCACGTCTTGACAGGGTTGTGAAAGATGACGGCTCACCAAAGCCCAAAGACACCAGGCCCTCAAGAGCTCGGGCAGCAGCCATGCTATTTGGTAATTCATTCGTCGCATTCCTGGTATTGCCTCTCTTGTACTTCCTGCCGCAGATACCAGGTTTGTTACTCTTCGACGTCCTCGACATTCGATCTATCAGTGGATGGCAGCAAGTTGCGATTCTGTCGGTTCCAATCGCTTTTGCGTATCAAATCTTGGTTTTCGCTCAGCTGCTGGTCTACCGCCATCTGTTCCTAGGCCGTCTGAAGGAAGGTACATACAGTATCTACAGCATGTTTTATCTTCGGAAGTGGTTCGTTGATAGATTGATGGACCTTGCCTTGGACGTGCTCCACCCTGTCTTCGCTACTCTTTACATTGTTCCATTCCTCCGGGCACTGGGAACAAAAATTGGCAAACGTGCTGAGATCTCGACTGCACGTAACATCCCCTTCGAGCTTCTGGAGATTGGTGAGGAAAGCTTCGTTGCCGACGCAGTGGTCATGGGAGAGGATGTGGTGAGGAGAAATCAGGTGACTCTCAAGAAGACAAAGCTCGAGTCTCGTGCTTTCGCTGGCAATGCATCTGTGCTTCCTCAAGGCACTACACTAGCGTCTGGAACTTTGCTCGGTGTGCTATCCATAGCGCCGCCTGCAGACACCCCGATGGCAAGCAATAGTTCATGCTTTGGATCTCCACCAGTCTTGATGCCCAATCGTCAACGAGCGGAAGGCCACGAAGACAGTCTACTTTTCCGACCATCTGCAGGCCGGATCGCTGCTCGACTTCTTATCGAAGGCCTTCGCATTGTCCTACCACGCGCCATTATGATCTTCGGTCTCGGATTTTCACTGCAGGTTGCTCACGACGGCTATCACAAGATTGGCGCGGTTCGCACCTTACTCATGCTACCACTCTTCTATCTCTTCTTGTTCGCCCTACCTGCCTTGACATTCACAGCTTCGATCAAATGGATCCTCATCGGACGGTACAAACCAGCTGAATGGCCTCTTTGGAGTCTCAACGTATGGCTCAGCGAAGCGGTGACGAGTACCTGGGAAACGCTCACCGAACCACTGTTGGCAGCCCACTTAGTCGGTACTCCTTATCTAGCCATGTGTTTCCGCCTTATGGGCGCTTCTGTCGGCTCAAGGGTGACACTTCTCTCCAGCGACATCACAGAATACGACTGTGTCACTTTAGGAGACGAGTGTATCATCAACACAACCTGCGGTGCGCAGACTCATCTCTTCGAAGATCGCGTCATGAAGGTCGGTAACGTATCTATTGGTCGCCGCGCCTGTCTCAAAACGTACTCGATCTGTTTACCAGGGAGTAAGGTTGAAGATGAGGCACAACTTGGGAGTTTGTCGCTGCTTATGAAGGGAGAGGTTTTGCCTGAAGGAACTGCATGGGAGGGTGCACCAGTTGTACCGCGAGCAAAGAGGGGCGGTTTCGGCAACGAAGTCCATTCGAGTGGTGATGTTCCCTTGTCGGTGCTTTGAAATTTTGTCTATTTTCATGTTTCTTTCCTGGACTTGCACCTGGTTACACATTCACACTTTCTTATCATCTACTTTGTTTCGAAATGCTACAATAACTCCGGAAAGAATAGCCTGCTACTCATAACCTCTGTAATATATGTTATATCTATACAGTCAGATACATTGTTGTAGACAAGAAGTACTACAAGAACAACTAGATCCTGAGGGCACCACCCTCAACCAATATGTGTGCCAACTTCAGCTCTCGCTCCCGCAATTCCACCCTGCTATTTTCGGGACTTTTCTCTGGTAGGGGCTTAAGTGAAGGTACGAGTAGTTTGCATAGCAACAGGTAAGTGAAACAGCTTCTTGCAACTGAAGGGAATAATTATAAAATCGTTAGAAGATTTAGCGCGAGACAACAGAGACAGCTGACGCATTTCGATCAGGAACAACACATTAAACTTCGTTGCATTCGCGTAAAGCTTCATCCTGCCATGAATCATCGTACTACATCCAATGTCCCCTATCGTACATCACTCGTGAACATTGTGGATGTTTCCACTATCATCGATCTCCACCTTTGCCCTTTTCAAACTAGCTTTCCTTGGATTGGGCGCCTCAAAGATCTCCTTAAGCTCCTCGAGAGTCTTGCCTGCAGTCTCAACGAAGAAGAAGAAGATAAGGGCAATCTCGATGCAAATCCATGCAATGTAAACGAGGTAAAGCTTCCATCCGATCTTCTCAATTCCCACTGAGATACCGTAGGTGTTGACCACCATAGCGACGTTGAGGAACAGGAAGTTGAGACCAGATCCCTTTGCGCGAGTACGGTTCTCTAAGCATTCGACGGCATATAGGGTTTGTAGGGGGGTCCAACCCCAGGCGAAAAAGATGCCGAAGAGGTAAATGGAGACGATGGTGCCGTAGGCGAGGTTGTTGTCCTTGGTCGCGGTAGCAGTGAAGGCTGTGAGGAGAACGTAGGCGAAGAGACCACCCCAGAGACCGCCCATAAGCATCTTTCGGCGACCAAGCTTGTCGAGAAGAGTGGCACCGTAGATGGCAGCAATCATCGAGAAAATTGGGTTAATCGCGTTGATGAGCAATTGCTTGTTGGGATCTGTGATGCCGGCATTCTTGACTGCAGATTTGAAAATACGAAGTCAGTGTATGTCTTACATGCATTTCGTATAGGCACAACTTACCCATTGCGGGCATGAAATAGCTGACAACGTTGTTACCACTCCATTGACCAAAGAAAGCCATTGCAATGACCATGGCCAATCGGTAACGTGCTGCCTTGGTATTGCCAAGCTCACGGAAGTCCCACCAGGGATTGTCGTTGCGAGTGACGGCAAAGTCCTCGGTGATCTCGTGTAGCTGAAGCTGTACGATAGGAGAGTTGGGGTTGCCGTTTCCGTGGTATTTTGCCATGATAGCGATGGCTTCCTCTCTGCGGTCATGCGCCAAGAGCCAACGAGGCGTTTCTGGGAAAAACATGATCAAGGCCATAACGATGGTAGGGAGAATGCACTGGACAATGGTGGGGATTCTCCATGCCCATGAAGAGTTGCCCATGTGAAGATTGGTACCGTACGTCGTCCAACCTGCCTAGTGTTGTGAAGAGACGAAGTTAGTAAATGTCTCACATGCATTTCGTACAAGCACAACTTACCAGAATATTGCCGACCCACCAGAAGTTGTTGTACATTCCAGCCATGGTTCCACGATAGGCAGGGTGCGCGAGTTCAACGGTGTAGGCGGGACCAGCAGCAGAGGCGATGGACGCGCCAAATCCGAGGATGAAGCGACCAGCAATGAAGTGACCCATCTCGTTGGCCGTAGCTTGAACGGCGGTTCCAACGAGCACTAGCGCGCAGCCAACGGCGATGCAGACCCGGCGACCATATCCATCAGCAAGAAATCCACAGCTGAACAACGTTAGTCGCAAGAAAAACTGGTACCTACGTCTGACGCCTACTTACAATGGAAAAGCGGCAATTTGGCCCAGATTGTAGATAATGAAGATGATACCAGTGCTGGATCCTTGACCAGTCAGACCAAACGTGTTCTGGTAGGCTTTCATCGCGTTGATGGATCCCATGAGAGAGCTGTCGAAACCGTTGAGCGTAGAGACGAGGTAGCCAATGCCCATGATCATGTAGAGCTGGATCATGCCTCGAGACCACAGCTTCGGCTTTTCTGCCTCCATGGCAGCGGCTACGCGCTATCAGTATTGACTCTTACCATTCACTGAGGCTTCAAAATGAAACTTACTTAGAGCCACTGAGGCTACGTTAGCCTCCTTGACGTTCGCATGCTTGTTCATGTCATCGTCGACCTGGCTGAGTTGGTGCGTAACAGCGCCCATCTCATCTTTCTTCTCCGCCATCTTGAATATGCAGCCGGCAAAGACTGGAGAAGATCTGGAGTTGTGGAGGGAAAAAATGGAACTGCTCTCCACTCGATGGCCAATGTGCAACGATGCTCAAGGATTCCGGAATACTGGGTCTTTTTATAGTGTACAGGCTTCTCCGCAAAACAATTCGCGCTTGCAACCCCATGGCACCGAGGCTCCTACCATGCTTGCCTGACCCGATGCATGGTTTGCTCTGGATGCAGTGATGCGGCGTTCAGGGCGCCACGCCGTTAGCCAAGTATGCTTAATGAGCGGTAATAGCACCGCTTTAGGGTCGGAGTGACAGCGGAGTGACTGGGAAATTTTTACCTTCCAAGCTCGCTATGCCTCGAAGGTGCTATAGCCAAGTAATAGGCCCTTCTAATAGAGCGGATCCAGGCCCAGAAGCAGTTCGGCAAACGGACGGGCTTCCCAAAGCATACCAGTTCTAGAGCGCCACGCGTGAAGTCTTTACGATGCAGATGAATCAAGAAATGAGCCGGTCGGTCTGCCAGTGAATCGTAAAGAACCAGGCGAGAGTGGATATGGTGTAGTACGGCTGGGCAGCGGGGTCTGGGGATGGATTCGTGGAGAAGGAGGCAGCCAAATACAGAAGCTGCCTTGTTGATCTGGCAGGGGCCCCCGCTCGCGCCCGGACCATCCAACCCCCGATGCACGCTTCCACATGCAACACGCGCCGTCAATTGCCGTCACGTTTTCTAGTTCATGTCACCAGAGGGGCAGATGGTCGGTTCCCTTGGCTTTCACCATGTGTGACCGGATGGCTTTCCTGATGGGTCAAAGTCGCGTTGTGTACGGCCATATAGTGGGGCTACAACGACTGTATCAGACGAGAAGAACGTAGAGCAGAGGTTCGTGAGAGTACCATCAACTTTCAACTCATCCATCATGGCTTCAGGTCAACACCCAGCAAGCGTTCCGGACTGGAACAATCTTGACATCCTTCACAAGAATACGCTGCCTGCACGCGCATACTTCCACAACTACAAGTCCGAGGCTGACGCACTTGGTTCCGATGTGAACAAGTCTACGACACATAGCCTCTCCGGCACGTGGAAGTTCCAGCATTCATTTTCACCCTTTGAAGCTCCTGAAGGCTTTGAGTCGACTTCGTTCGACACATCGTCATGGAGCGACATTGCTGTACCAGGCATGTGGCAGTTACAGGGATTCGGCAAAGGCCCCCAGTATACGAACGTCATTTATCACATCCCAGTCGATCCTCCAAACGTTCCTTTTACTGAGAACGAGACTGGATCGTACATACGTAAGTTTGAGGTTCCGAAACAACTCCAGGACGGTCAACTTCGACTCAGGTTTGAGGGCGTTGATGCTGCTTTCCATGTATGGGTAAACGGAAAGGAAGTCGGATATTCTCAGGGCAGCAGAAACCCAGATGAGTTCGATATTACCTCGGTTGTTGATCTTAATGCCGAGAACACCCTGGCCGTCAGAGTGTATCAACATTGCGACGGAACTTATATTGAAGATCAAGACCAGTGGTGGCTGAGTGGCATGTAAGTAAAGTCTGTTTAAGACAAATCATAAACTCACAACTACAGATTTCGTGACGTCTTCTTGGTGGGTTTCCCCAAGGCGTCGCGCATCGAAAATGTCTTTGCTCAGACGATCTTGGATTCATCCTACACCGACGCGGAACTGAAGATCAAGGTCAGCGCGACCGGATCTGGCAAGCTCACAGCGAAACTCCTGGATGAGAAGAAGCAAGAAATTGCTTCGTCAGATGCAGACATCAAGAGTGATGGCGTAACTGAACTCAGCATCCAAGTAAAGGACCCTCTAAAGTGGACTGCTGAATCGCCCAACCTGTACCACCTCGTGGTCTCTACCGGTGATCAAGTTATCGCCCAGCGTATCGGCTTCAGACAAGTTGAGATGAAAGACGGCTTAATCAAAGTCAATGGTAAGAGAGTCGTTTTCCGCGGGGTCAACCGTCACGAACACCACCCCACTTTTGGTCGTGCTGTGCCATATGAATTCATGAAAGAAGACCTTCTGATCATGAAGCGTCACAACATCAACGCCATCCGCACCTCCCATCAACTCAACGACCCACGACTATACGATCTTGCAGACGAGATGGGCTTTTGGGTGATTGACGAAGCTGATTTAGAGTGCCACGGCTTTGAAAGTATCGCCGATGCTGCTTTGTCAAAAGAAGAGCGCAACCTTCCTTTCCGTGAGCGCCAGCTTCTGACTAGGTCAAAGGCCGCGGAATGGACAACCGACAACCCAGCCTGGACGCATGCGTACGTGGACCGTGCAGAAGCACTCATCAAGAGAGATCAGATGCATCCGTCTGTCATCATATGGAGTCTCGGCAATGAAGCTTTCATGGGACGTAACTTCGTGGCCATGTACGAGCACATCAAAAAGTACGACGACAGCCGGCCTATTCACTACGAAGCAGACATCTACGCGGATACTATGGACATGTACTCCAGGATGTATCCCCCAATCGACGAGATTATCAAGTTCGGTGAAGACAAGAGCAAGAAGAAGCCATTGGTTCTTTGCGAATATGTAAGGTATACTCCGTCGAACTCCAGTGCTATGACTGACTATATTAGATCCACGCCATGGGTAACGGTCCTGGTAATATCGAGGAATACATCGACGCTTTCTACAAATACCCAACCCTTCAGGGAGGTTTCGCATGGGAGTGGGCGAATCACGGTCTTCTTACCAAGGACAAGCAAACTGGTGAGGAGTTCTATGCCTACGGCGGTGATTTTGGTGAAGAAGTTCACGATGCAACATTCGTTATGGACGGTCTTGTCAACTCCGACCA